TTATTAAAATAGACTCTTATAAAAAAAAATAGAGATTAAAGTCTCTAAATAAATTAAATATATTTAGAAAATCTGTATTAGAATAGAGAAAAATCTAATTTTTATTTATAAAAAATAAAAATAATTCTATAATTATAAAAAATAAATAAAAAACTTTGTATTAGAAGAGATAATCTAATTATTTATAAAATATTTTTTATAAAAATAAATTAGTAAGAAACTAAACCCGCGAAATAAAGAATTTTATTATATTATTAAATAAATAGACTTATAAGTCTATAAACTAAAGTTACTCGCAGAATTATAAATATATAATATATTTTATATATTATTATTTTATAAATATTATAAAATAAATAAAATAGATTTATAAGAATATTTTCTTATAAAAAAAAATAGTTATAAATATTATTTAAAGATTTTATTAATCTCGCGGAGTTAAAATAGATTCTTAGAAATTTTAATTAAATAAAAGAATTATTTTAATAAAAATAATATCTAAAAATCAGCTATGAATTTATATTATTTATAATTTTATAAAAAATTTATTTACAAATATAGTTTTTATTTAAAAAATAAAAAATAAAATAAAATAATAAAATAATAGAAAAGATTATTTATAAGAATTTTTATCTAATAATAGCTTAAAATATAAGATATAATAAATATTTATAAAAATAAAAATAGATAGATTAATTATTTAATTTATAAAAAATAAATTTTATATCTAATCTAAATATAATTATTATATCTCTGTCTGTAATTATTATTAATATATATTATAAATATTTTTAAGCTCAAGAAATTGTGATATATATTATATATTTAATTAAAAAGAGAAAGTTAATTAATTCTAGTTATAAAAAAAATCTTATAAAGCTGAATCTAAATCTTTAGCTAATAATAATTATTAAATTTAATAAAAAAAATAGATTATATTATTAGTTATATAATTTAATATTTTTTTTAATTAAATAAAGATTATAATTTTATTTAGAAGAGAAAATCTAGCAGAATTATTAATATATTTATAAAGATATTAATAAATTAATTTATTATAAATAGATTTATAAACTAAATTAAAGTCTAGTTTATAATTCTAATATTCTGCAGAATAGATTAATTTTAAATAAATCTAAATATATTCTTTAAAAAACAGAGTAATTTATTTATTTATTATTTATAAGTTACAGAGATAATAAAAATATTATTTAAAATAATATCTTTATTATAATAACAGACTATAAGAAAAGTATAAAGAAATAATATTATAAAAAATTAGATTATTTTAAAAATTTTAATTAATAAAATAATAAATTATATATAAATTAGTTTTTTATATTTTATAAAAAAAACAGATATTTATTATAAAAGAAAAAAATAAAAAAGCTATAGCAAAAGCAGTAGTAATATTAGTAGTAATAATAATAATAGAGATAAAGACAGCAGTAACAGCAGTAATAGTAATAATAATAATAATAATAATAATAATAATTATAGAAATAAACTATTCTAATTTCATATTAATTATAAAAAATAAAATAAATCTCTCTAAGAAATTATTTATCGCGAATACTCGCGGGAAAAGAGAAAGAAAAAAAAAATAAAAAAAAAAAAAGAATAAAAATCTAGTAATAAAAATAGTAATTTTTTTATAAAAAAAAAATTAATAAATATATAATATAAAAAAAAATATTAAAATAATTAATTATAATTTTTAGATTAGATTATATATATCTTAGACTTGTAAAATAATAAGTATCTGTAAATTAATAAAAATTATAAAATATTATATCTTATAATTTAATATAGATACTTCAGAGCCGCGAGAGTATAAAATAATTATAAAAAATAAAATAAATTATAAAAATAAAAAACAGTTATAAAGATATAAAATAAATTATAAAAATTATAAAATAATTATAAAAATATAAAATAACTACAAAGATATAAAACAAGCCGCGAAGATATAAAACAGCTGTAAAGATATAAAGTAAACTATAAAAAATATAAAATAATTATAAAAATATAAAATAGCTGTAAGAATATAAATAATTATAAGAATTCTTTAAATAAGTATTTATTTATAATAATAATAATAATTAAAGAGGGGAAAGACCGCAGAGATTAAGAAAAAAAAATTAAAAAATAAAAAAAGTTAAGAAAAAAAAAAAAAAAAAAGAATTTAAAAAAATATTCTTTCTTAAAATTCTAAGTTCTAAGTCTTGAGCTCTGATTTATATTTAAATTAAAAAATATTATATTATATTTATTATTTAATTATAATTATAAAGATATTTATAATATTTATTATCTAATTATAATTATAGAAATCTAAAATATAATAAATAATAATATAATTATAGCTATATAAAACAGCCATGATAAATTTATATAAAATAAATATTATAAAAAAAAATTATCTTTTTTTTAATTAATTTTTTTATAAAAAAGATTTTATAGCAGAAGTTTTAATAATATCTAATTTTTTATAAATAATAATGTCAATAATATAGGCAGACTGGCCAGTTCGCTGCCTAAGGCTCGCCAGTTCACTGCCTAAGGCTCGCCAGTTGATAATCTCAGGCTAGTTGACTGCAGAGCTAAGCCAGTTATTTAAATTTTATATAATCACTTAAATAGAAAATTATAGATTTAATAATTAAATTATATTAATAAGATTATTAATAAGTTTAATTTAAAATAAAGAAAAAGCTCTAAATCTCTACTTTTAAGTAAAAAATTAATAAAAAATCTACTTTACTAGATTATTATTAATTAAATTTATAAATTTTAGTAGAAAGTAGAATTAGTTCTATATTTTATAATTTAAACTAGATTTAATATTATTAAATTATATTAGTTAATTTCAGAATATCTAATTAATTTAAGTTTTAAATATCTTAGAACTATAGATTATTTAATTTTTTATTTAAAAAAAATAAAAAACTTAGTTATTAAATTTAACTCTAGTTTTATTTTATTTTATATAATTAGTAATACTAGTTTTACTAATAATTAAGATTATACTAATTTAATAGAATATATTATTTATTTATTTAATAATTCTATTAATTAACTAAGTAAGAAATAATATTATATAATTTTTTTAATTACTAAAGCTGAATTATTAGTTCTAATTGTTATAGTTAAATAACTTTTTTAATAAAGAAGATTTTTTAAATAAATAGAATTTAATTCTAATTAATACTTCTCTATATTATATAATAATTATTAAATAGTTAAAATTCTTATTAATAAGAATTTTTTATTTTAGACTAGTCTGAAATATATTGATATTATTAATTATTAATTAAGGCAAGAAGTTCTGAATAAAATAATTAATATTTAATAAATATCTATTAATAAAATATAAATAAATAGTCTGATTAAGTAGTTTCTTAATTAGAAATATATTTAATTTATTAAATAGTTAAATATAATAATTTATTAAATTCTATTATTATTATTTTCTATTTTAGTAATTTATTTACTTCAGTTTTTTCTGATATTTTATCTTATTAAAACTATAAGAATATATTAATAATATAGATAGATTAGCTAGTTTACTATCTAAGACTTATTAATTTATTATTTAAGATTTATTAATTAATAATCTTAGATTAGTTAACTATAGAGCCAAGTTAATTAATTATCTTAGATTATTAATTAGTAGATTAATTTTAAGTTTTATCTATCCTGTAGTAGAGTAAGAGATCTTATTTTTATTAATTATTTTAGTCTTTATTTAATTACTAATTCTATTATTCTTGACCCTGTTCTATTTATATAATTTTTATATAATTTTTATATATTTTTATATATTTTTGATAGCTAATTAATTATAAATATAAATAAAAAGATCTCTTAGTTTTTAATTAATTTTTTAATAAGTTCTAATCAAGTTGAATTAGTTTTTAGTCTTTTTTTAATTTTTAATTTTTTTTATTATTTTTTTTATCTTTCTTTTATCTTTCTTTTATCTTTATCTTACTTTTATCTTATTTTTATACTTAATTTATATAAGAAAATAAGAGTTCAGTAAAATCTTTCTAAGAGATTAGAGAAAAGTTCTTACTTAGTTATCTAATCTCTGATTCTTTTTATTTTTTTACTTCTCTTATCTTTCTCTCACTTTCATCTTACTTTTGTACTAAATTTGTATGAGAAAGTGAAAGTTCAATAAAGTCTTCTTAAGAAAAGTTCTTAAATAATCTTAGAAATTAAGATTCTAAGAAAAGAAATAATTATAAGAATAATAATTCTTATAATTTTTATAATATAATATATTATAAGAAATATTTATACTGCGGAGACAGTTTCTCGCAAAGTAATTATATTAATATAATATATAACTTATAAAATTCTTATAGATATATCTATTTATAAAAAAAGCTAGATAAAAGACTAGTAATAATACTTTAAATAATACAGATACTATCTTGACTTCGCGATAGATATACTTTCTTCACACTATCTCAATACACACTCTTATATATTGTCAAGTATTTGGGATTTGGAGGGTTTGTACGAGAACCCCATAACACTAGCTAGCAAACCAGCGACAACACTTTAAGTAATACAACCCCTATCTTGACTTCGCGATAGATATATATCTTCTTCACACTATCTCATACAATCAACCCCTTATAATGATTCCATATAAAAATCTATATAAAATTATATATTATATATATAGACTTAAGAAAAATCTATATAAAATTATATATTATATATATAGATCTAAGAAAAATCTTGTAGATAAACCTTTTTTAAAAAAAAATAAAAAAATAATATAATTATATAAAAATTAAAAAATTATATAATAAAATTATAATTTATAAAACTCTGCAGAAATCAGAATTATTATATAATTAAATTTTATAAAAATTAAAATCTTTATAAAGATTAGAAGATTCTGCTATTATTTTCTGACTCTTATCAAGAATTATTTCAGTTCCAGGCTTCCAGCCTGATCCTTCTGCAACTTTTTCTGAACCCGCCGGAGCTGTATGCCCGAATCCACTTCACCATCTATCCCTCCCGGAAGAAAACGTCATCTTCTTCCTCTTCATGAAGTTACAATATACAATTGTAGCTGGATACCATATCTCCCCGATTCAGACCACCCGGACTGACGGGATGACGCCGTGCTGAAAGACTGCGCAGGAAAGTTCCCCACAGCTGAGAAGCGGCGGGGTATACTACAATCTATCTACCACCCTACGATCTACTTACTTTGAACTGCTGTAACATCAGTTCTCCCTATCTACATTGTGTGCTTGAGACTGTATAGGCTGACAGTCAGAACCGGCTGACCAAGCCATGTCGTTCAAGGCAAAGGACCTCGCCTATGGTGCGCTTCTTTGTACCCCTCGCCCCCTTCCCAGACAACGCTAACCGATTCCCAGAGGCCAAACAGCCAGCGTTCCTACAAAGACTCAAGAACCAGTACGGAGACACCTCCGGTCGTCTGGAGAGACCCATTGCGCGACCGCGAAAACCGAAGAACGAGACCGACGATGACGGACCTACCTACGTCGACGAGGAGAGTAATGAGATCATCTCCAAGGAAGAATACGAAGCTCTCGTTCGCGGCGACGAGGACAGGGAAGGCTATAACGACAATGCCCCGAAGGACCCGGAAGACAAAGGCGCGTCCGGGTCTGGGATGGGCGTGGACGGGACGGCCTCCAAACAGAACGTGGCGGAGATAGGAGGACCTCGCAAGAGGAAGCAGGCCAAGGTGGTCGGAGAAGAACCTCGTGCGGAAGAAACCAAGGAGACACCGAGGAAAGACTCAGGCAGTCGCAAGGCGAAGCAGAAGAAAAAGATCAAGCTCTCGTTTGATGATGAGTCATGATGATGCCATTTGAGTCATTCCACTTCACCTTTGTACTATACCCATTGTATACCACCATGTCTGGAATTTAGTTGCATGCCCCCTAAGTAGTAGTAGCGAGCAAGGGCAGGATCATGATCATACATACATCCATCCATCGTCCGCCAGGATACTGGCATAAGAGAACCGGATGCCTGCGTATATATCCAAGACAGACACCTTGTCGGAATGCGACTTAATTAGCAGAATCGCAGCCATTAATAATCAAGAACCTCAGTCCCAGCAACCTCTGGCTGTTCTGGTGTCATACTGGTCAGAGTCCTGCGTGAATTGCCATCTCCGCGCCCGAAACACAGGATCTTTTGGCTGATTGATTGCATTTGCCGGCGACCAGATTTTCCTCCTCAGACCCGCAGCGCGCCGAACTCCAGAAAGAATCCAACCGCAAGTCTCCAGCCAGTCGAGCAACTTTCTGGCCTGGAAGCTGTGCGACAGCGCCAGATCTTTTGCAAAATGCCCGTCGTCAATGTGGACGATCTTGTGCGTCTGCAACGGAAGCCCGACGACGTACGGAATGCAAGTTGCCCCTCCATCCATCCATCCATCCTCATCCCACTTCTGCCCGCCCTGTCGCGCTGCAAAGCCCCATGTCAAAACCAACGCTAACTCCCATCACAGATCTGCATTCTCGCGCACGTCGTATGTGCTCCAGCCCTACGGACAGCCAGAATTCCTGAGTTCCCCCACTAACCCAACTCCAGGATCACGGTAAAACATCACTGACAGACAGCTTGATCGCCACCAATGGCATCATCTCGCCCAAGCTGGCGGGCAAGATCCGCTACCTGGACTCACGTCCAGACGAGCAGCTCCGCGGAATCACGATGGAATCGTCGGCGATTTCGCTCTTCTTCTCCATGATGCGGCGATCGGCTCCGGACGCGGCACCCGAGGCCAAAGAGTACCTGATCAATCTGATCGACTCGCCGGGGCATATCGATTTCAGCAGCGAGGTGTCGACGGCGTCGCGTCTGTGCGATGGCGCGCTGGTGCTGGTCGATGCCGTGGAGGGCGTCTGCAGTCAGACGGTCACCGTGCTGCGGCAATCGTGGGTCGAGCAGCTCAAGCCCATCCTGGTCATCAACAAGATCGACCGACTGGTCACCGAGCTGAAGATGAGCCCGAGTGAGGCCTACCAGCACATGAGCAAGCTGCTGGAGCAGGTCAACGCCGTCATCGGCAGTTTCTACCAGGGCGAGCGCATGGAGGAGGACCTGCAGTGGCGGGAGCGCATGGAGGAGCGGGTCAACAACGCATCGTCGAAGCATGACCAGGATGACGAGCCGACGGCGGAGTACGAGGAGCGAGACGACGAGGACCTCTACTTTGCGCCGGAGAAGAACAACGTCATCTTCTGCAGTGCTGTCGATGGCTGGGCCTTTACGATCCGCCAGTTTGCGGCCATCTACGAGAAGAAGCTGGGGATCAAGCGCGCCGTCCTCGAGAAGGTTCTCTGGGGCGATTACTACCTCGATCCTAAGACCAAGCGAGTGCTGGGCCAGAAGCATCTGAAGGGTCGCGCGTTGAAGCCCATGTTCGTCCAGCTCGTGTTGGACAGTATCTGGGCGGCGTACGAAGCCACAACCGGTGCGGGCACAGGAAAGGGGTACGGTCGGTTGGCATGCGTTTGAACTTCATCTGCTAACCTGCGGTAGGGACCCGGCTCTGCTGGAGAAGATCACCAAATCTCTGAATGTCAACATTCCGGCGTATATCCTGCGCTCGCGCGACCCCAAGAATGTCATGACGACGCTGTTCTCGATGTGGCTGCCTCTATCGACCGCCGTTTTGGTGTCGGTCATCGAATATCTCCCCAGCCCGCGCGCCGCCCAAGCAGAGCGGTTGCCGCCCATGATCGAAGACTCCCCCGGATCTAGCTTCGTGGACCAGAAAATCAAGGACGCCATGATCAGTTTCAAGACGCAGCCGGACGAGCCTGTCGTTGCGTACGTCAGTAAGATGGTGGCTATCCCCGAAAGCGAGCTGATGTCCAGCAAGAAGCGATCTGGAGCCACCATGTCGGCGGACGAGGCCCGGGAAATTGCTCGCAAGAAGAGAGAGGAAATCGCCAAATTGCAGGCAGAGGCCGGCAATGACCAGACGGACGACTTCGTTCACATGACTTCAGCCCTCCAGCATACGACCATCACGGACGACGAGCCAGCTCAAGAGGAGGAAGAGAAGGAGGACCCCGAACATCTGATTGGGTTTGCGCGTCTCTACTCAGGCACGCTCTCAGTTGGAGACTCCGTGTATGTTTTGGCGCCCAAGTTCTCGCCGGAGAACCCACACGCCAGCCCCGAGCCTCAGAAGGTGGTCGTCACCGATCTGTACCTGCTGATGGGCCGGAGTCTCGAACCTCTTCAGTCTGTCCCCGCCGGTGCTGTGTTCGGCATTGGCGGTCTCGCAGGCCACGTCCTCAAGTCAGGAACGCTGTGCTCGCAGCTCGAGGGTAGCATCAACCTGGCTGGTGTCTCGCTTGCCAGTCCCCCCATTGTGCGAGTTTCCCTCGAGCCGACGAACCCAGCAGACCTGAGCAAGATGGTGACGGGTCTGCGCCTGCTGGAGCAAAGCGACCCATGCGCGCAATACGAAGTCCTCCCCAGCGGCGAGCATGTCATCCTGACGGCGGGCGAGCTGCATCTCGAACGGTGCATCAAGGATCTCCGCGAGCGGTTCGCCAAATGCGACATCCAAACCGGCGAGACCATCGTGCCATACCGGGAAACCATCACCAGCGCGCCGGAGATGGCAGCTCCCAAGAACCCCGAGCTCGGACGAGGCGGAGTCCTGGCCGTCTCGCCGTCCAAGCAACTGACCATGCGCCTGCGCGTCGTCCCTCTCCCCTCCGCCGTGACCGACTTCATCTCCAAGCACGTCGGAACCCTCAAGCGACTCCAGACCGAGAAGCGCACAGCCGCTGAAAGCCAACCCACCAACACCACTACGGCCGAGACCGCGCAAGCCGAAGCCGCCGACGCCACGGACGAGGCGCGCGAAACCACGTCCCTCTCGCTGCAGGAGTTCCGGAAAGAGCTGAGCAGGATCGTCGACGAAGAAGTCACCGACAACGACAAAGGGCTATGGAAGAACATCGTCGACCGAATCACGGCATTCGGACCGCGACGCGTTGGCCCTAACATCCTCGTCGACGCCACCGAAGTCAACACCTGCGAGAAATTGTACCTCATCCCCTCTATCCTAACCCCAAATATCATCCTCAAACCAAACCCAGACTAACAAACAATCAATCCAGCCTCCTCGACGACCCGAAACAACAACCCAGCGTCAACGCCGACACCAGCAGCCGCGAAGCGCTCATCGTGCGCGACTTCTGCGACAAAATCGCATATGCCTTCCAGATGGCCACCGCCCAGGGTCCTCTGTGTCTGGAACCGATTCAGGGGATCGCCGTGTTCCTGGAAGATCTGTCCGTGAACGCGGCGTCCGAAGAAGATATCGATCTGGGCCGACTCACCGGCGAAGCCATCCGGCTTGTCCGCGATAGTATCTCGCAAGGCTTCCTGGACTGGAGTCCCCGGATCATGCTGGCTATGTATAGTTGTGAGATTCAAGCTTCGAGTACGTTCTCCCTCCCTCCCTCCCTCCTTTCCTCTCCACACAACCCCATACCCCATACCCCATACCCCAACCCCATACCAAAACCCCAAACCAAAACCACGCACTAACCGCAACCCTTCCCCCCCCCCCAAAAGCCGAAGTCCTCGGCCGCGTCTACGCCGTAATAACCCGCCGCCGGGGCCGAATCCTCTCCGAACAAATGAAAGAAGGAACGCCGTTCTTCACGATCCTCGCGCTCCTACCGGTAGCAGAATCGTTCGGGTTCGCGGAAGAGATCCGCAAGCGGACGTCGGGGGCGGCGCAGCCGCAGCTGATCTTCGCGGGCTTCGAGGCGCTGGACGAGGACCCGTTCTGGGTGCCGGCAACGGAGGAGGAGTTGGAAGATCTGGGCGAGTTGGCCGATCGGGAAAATGTCGCGAAGAGGTATATGGATAATGTGCGACGGAGGAAGGGGTTGGTGGTTGGGGGGAGGGGGAGGAAATTGATTGATGCGGAGAAGCAGAAGACGTTGAAGAAGTAAGAGTACCTAGATTCTGAGGGTTGGTTTATGGGGCTGGGACTGGGGGGAGAGGGGGAGGGGGAGGGGGGAAAGAGTGTTCTATTTTTCTTGTCTTTGGGTTTGTTTGTTTCTGTTTTTGTTTGATAAGGTGGGGAGGGGGATAGACTACATAAAGTACTATACATACATACATCCTGAATATGTTAAACAAGAGAGGATTTCAAAATTGACGAAGGGGAATGTGTTCATGGTAAGTTTTTCTTCTTAACTCTATAACAATCATAGCAGTAGCACTAGATACTAGATAGGTAATGCAACTACTAAGGCAGGCAACTATCCGTAGTAGGTCCATGAAATAGATAGATGAACCCGGTAGGTACGGTATACTTTGTATCCACAGCACAAGATTCGAACCGAACGTACCTACAACAGTACCTACTAAGCGGACTTACAAGAACAATCTCACCAACACAACCTACACAAACGCAGAAAGACCGAAGCTATCAATCTATCCATCTATGTATACCTACCGCAGTCAGAACAGCAGCCATCTGCAGGATACGTCTTGAGAACTAGAATAAGAAGAGAGAAGAGAACTAAGCACCAGCATTACCACCAAATTATTTATTCAACCCATGAGAAAAGATGTCTTCTCCCAGGTGGATAAGAGGAGTAAATAGTAAGTAGGTAGGTAGATAGATAGTCATCCGCAGCTTCATAATGCGGACGGACGGAGTTGAGATGCCCGAGCCCGAGCATCAACTGGGTATGTACAGTCATAAGTCGTGATGAGTCCGCTCGTCGGTGGGTCAGTCAGAGAGATACTCCGTATATCTTCTCGGTCTGCGACACGCGCAACGGCATGTGGTCGGTTCACTGACGTCTCGAGCAGAACTGACGGAGCGGTAACGCTGACCGGGGCGGTAGGTATGGATATGGATATGGGTATAGAAGGGGGCCTTAGAGGTGTAGGCCAGGCCAGATGATATGAAGGGATCTGGCAACAGCGCACATCACTTTTCATCATGAGGCGGAAGATCTAGCCCGGCAGACCGACGGACCCAACCCGACCCAAACAGACAGGACAGGACGAGAATAAAGAACGAACGCCTAGCTCTCGCCAGACAATCTCAGACTCAAAACGGCCTCGCCACCTTCCTCAACTCCGACCCCCCTCCAACAGGATCCCTCATATCCTTCCAACTAACCGGAAACATCATATTGCCCGCCTCACTCCTGGCCATAACAACCCCCAGATCATTCCTCGCCGTAGTAAGATAATAAAAGCTCTGATCGCCAAGCGAAATAACCGAGCCCCTCACAATATCACCGACTCGGAACATCTCATCCATGACGACGCGATCCTTCTCGACAGCACGGACGTCCTCGCGCCGAATAAGCGCCTGGAAGCGCAGCTCATCGGAACTGGAATGGTTCTCGGGGTTCGCGGCGGACGAGAGGATGGCTTCGATGTTATCGTTGTCCGAGGCTGAGACGGTGGGGTTGAGGGGGTGCGAGCTGACGGAGTCGTCGAGCACGACGAGGATGGAGACCGTGGCTTGGCGTTTCTGGACGCGGGTGACGCGGGCGAGCACGACCGAGTCGACGGCGGGGAGGGTGTTGTAGCGGGGTTTGTTGGGTTTGGGGGGCTGGGGTCCGGATGTGGTGGTGGTTGTTGTTGTTGGTGGTGGTGGTGTTGAGGAGGAGGGGGCGGCGGAGGGGTTGCGGAGGGCGGTGCGCGAGACGCTCAGCGTGGACTTGGTCTTGGAGGAGGGGTGGGCGTCGACGAGGACCGGGCCGGCGATCGAGGCGTAGATGTTGGCGTTCTGCACGTGGGTGCCGGGGCCGGCGGAGAAGGAGGCAATTGGGCCCAGGCGCTGGCCCGGGATGGCCACAGCTGGCAGCGTGCTGGTCATGGTGGAGGTGGGTGAGAGGCGGTGCAATGGAGCTTGTTTGGTGAGGGGATTCGGAGATTCAAGCAATGCGCAGCAAAGCTTTTCTTTTCTTTCTGCCGTGGGCGGTGACGCGGCGGGAGAAACCTTTGGCCGGTCATCCCATGACATCAGCATTTACTACTAGATACTACAACACAGTAGTTGGTACATACAGTATCCACAAGATTTACTGTCGTAGAATAACACTCATATCGATGTATTGCAATATAGACTCGATATCTGCTCTAACATGAATACAGTATTATGCGCAGACACCTCAAGTCAGCACAGCGTCTTCCCAGCGGAGACTATAGACGACAACGGACAGCATCTCAACAAAGCAAACAAGGCCATCACACCGAATGCTCGCTGACACGAATCAAGACACACCGAATCAAATGCCCGCTTAACACCGGTGACAAATATAGGGCGACGTGTCGGAACAGTAGAACACACGGCGACTCAACTTATAGATAAGAAAACACTCGGCGGAGAATAAAGGATAAAGGACACGAAAGTAAATAGGTAGAACGTAGGGAGAGAAGAGAACGCGTCGGTCCGGAGCCATACAAGTCGTCAAGAGGGGGACCCATTAGCCCTCGACCAGGGTCTGCCGGTGACCGTTCCCAAGAAACTCGAGGCATCGCCGAGCCAGCGCGATGACCTCGCCCTCGCCGTCGTCGGCCTCCTCCTCGTCGGACTCGATGCTCTTGTCGGAGATAGTCTTCACCATCTGTACAATGTCGTCCGACTGCGCGATGTATCCGACGAGTCTCTGGTCCTCCGACTCCAAGAGCTGGAGCAGCGTCCAGATGGCGATGTGCTGGAAGGTGGGGTCGCCGCTGGCGAGGAATCGGTTGAGGTACCCGTGAATGCCGCCGTTGGGGTCTGCCCAGTCACGCACGAAGATGGAATAATCCCCCACTAGTTCAAGTCAGCATCTGGGGGTGTAACACTGGGGAAGAGTGCGTCCATACCTTTCGACGACAGATTGCCCAGAGCCGCGGCGCTATTTCCTTGCACTTCAATGCTCTCCGATTCCGTGAGAGGGATCAGGACGTCAAAGACCCCGAGATTTAGGAGGTGGGGCTTCAGCTCATCGCTGAGAGCCAGCACAGCGATCGCAGCCGTCATTTCCGACTGGACGCTAAGAGGAACCCGGAGCACCAGGTCCTTGCACTTCTGCACGGCCCCGGCTTGCAGGACAAGCTCCTTGTTGCGGTCGGAGCTGGCGGCCAGGTTCCGGAGGGTCGAGATGGCGTGGCACTGGATCTCTTCGTTGTCGGTCGATCCCAGGAGATCAACCAGGGGCTTGAGGAAGCCCGCGTCAATGATGGGAGATTCGTTCAGAGGGTGAATGGAGATGTTGCGGATGCACGCGACGGCAGAGAGGATAAGAGGAAGGTAGGAAGACTGCAGCAGTCGCAGCAGTGGCGGAAGACCCTTGGCGCGAACAATCTCGAGCTGGTACTTCTCGTCGGAGGCAAGGTTGCGGAGCGCCAACGCGGCTTGACACTGCACTTTGGGGGTGGACGAATCCATGAGGTGCACCAGCGACTGAACCAACCGGGATTCGGTCTGCGCAAGCCTCTTGCGATTCGACGAGTCCACGGCGATGTTGCTGAGGGCGGTCGTGCAGTAGTATTGCACATCGACGTCGGGGGAAGAGAGCAATTGGACGAGGACGGGGATTGCACCGGCGTTGACCAGTTGTTGTCGGTTGTCATCTAGACACCCCGTAGTTAGATACGCGCTCACGGCTTTTCAGACCGGTTGCGACTCACCCGAATGTGTCATATTCAACAGCGCCCCTGTCGCATTCCGCTGGACTCGCATATCCTTCGACTTGGCGAGACGGATCAACGGACCCAATGCCCCGGACCGAGCGATCTTGGCCTTGTTATCCTCGTGGGTAGCTAGGTTGGTAATACAGCCGACCGCGTTGCATTGGACTTCCACGTTGGGTGACATCATCTGCCGTATTAGGGGAGCCAGTCCCCCCAGCGCGACGATCAGCACCTTGTTATCCGCTGGGACCAGTCAGCCGCCGTGGTTGCAGAAGGACGTAAGGGAGACAGACCATTTACAGCCAGATTGCCGAGAGCCGCACTTGCAGCGCGTTGGACTTCGATATCCGAGCTCTGCAGCAGAAAGAGGATGGGTTCCAGCGTGTCTCGGTCCACCTCGCGCACATCTGCCATGATCAATGTGTGTTAGCATTGGCTTGTCCACCACAGAAGGGGTCTGTGTAAGTCGCACCTCTCTCCGTGATCTCAGCAAATGTCAGACTGGCGCTCCGTTGCAGATCGACATTGTCGGAATAGACCAGGGTGCTTAAGGCGCGAAGGGGTTCGCCGGTGAAGAAGTCGGTTTCGGTCCTCTGTACAAAATGCGGGTGAGCAGTGAGCTGGGGGGCCCACGGGGTAGAGCAGTGGGGATGGCGACCGGGCCAGCAGGACGGAGCCAGACCCATTGGCTGGGGAATTGGACGTACGTTTTCCAGGTATCCCAAGAGATCGGAGACGGCTTCCCGCTCATTGTCTGCCAGCGTTGTCTCGTAAATTCCATCCCTTGAGCGGGCCCCGATCGGGCCGAGACAGGCTGAGATATGGCACCAACGGTCGACTGTCGAGAGGCACGACAGGCATGCATTTGTGATTCCGCTCATGCCGTCAGAATGAAAGGCCCGCCGGACCAGCAGACGGCCCCGCCGGCGATGGATAGAAAAGCAAAGGGTGGCGGGAGGTACGCCAGATGGGTCGCAGTCGGAGGCTGGGTGGGTGGTAGCGGTCGTCTATCCCATCCAACAAAAGCTGCAGCACACGCGGACGGTGGTGGACAGGCGGTCGGTCGGTCGGTCGGGAAGATGGAGGCAGAGAAGGAAGGACCGAATGGCGGTTTTTTGGGGGGGGGGGGGGGGGAGGGAGGGACAAAGAAGGGGACGGGGCGGGAACAGGACGCGGCGCGCGATAGCAGGAAGTAAGTAGTAGGCAGACGGCAACTTCCTTCGCTTCAATTTCCCGATCACCTTTCCTCGGTTACGCTTTCGAATTCGACATATAGAGAGAGAGGGAGGGAGGAATGGAGGGAGGAGAAGGACGGGTCGGAGATGAGGATGAGGATTGGGGGGGTGGGTGGGGAATGAGGATGGAGGATGAGGTTAGGAAGAGGGAAGGGGAAGATGGAAGAGGCAGAGGCAGAATCGGGGGAGGTTCATCGCATGGGGGATGGGATGGGGGATGATGGCGGTGGTGACTGGTGAGACTGAGAGCAACTGACTGCTGGGCGGACGGGGCGCCGGGCGGGCAAATGATAACGCGCAAAGAAGGGGAGCTCCCTTGGCCTTGACTCCTCCCTCTGTCATTCATTCAGGCCTCGATTCTCTCCCCCGGAGCTCCACCGGCTGGTAGCTGCTAACAGTATCTACGACTACGGACTACTGCGAGATACTTTCTACTAGTAGTTGGCTAGGCTGCTACACCGTACACTGCTAGTACCGACAGGAACCAATTCATTTCTCTTAGGCAATGGCATTATTCATTGCGACCGTCGCATCCTATCCTGCCGGTTGGGGGTGAGGCCTGACCGTTATCACAGCTGCTTGCCCCATCGTCATGCTCGCCCTCGGCCCCACCCACGCAGCTCCTCAGAGTTCAGCGATTATTTATCGTCCTCACCACCCTCACCATCCCCCCCCCCAGCCACCGACATACCACACCTGCGCCGACCGACCAGGATTGTGAAACTAGCCCGGGGGCGACAGACCTCCCATACAGTCCGTATATCTCCCAGATCGCGCCCGAATCGGTCCCCCGTCGCCCATCCCAGCACGCCTCCCTGCCGACCGTTCGAGTTTCGACCCCATCGTCATGGGGGCAAACCTCCCCCGGTTCCACCTCGGAAGCTAAGATCACTCGCGAGTCGCGACCTGACCTGACCAGACCATCCTTCCACGATCTGAGCTTCAGAACCAACCCATCAGCCAGGATCCTACTACCATCACTTGCCAGTTGCCCATTCCCTGGAGTCGGACGGTTGACGCTCGGTTGAGTGGTGGCCAGGAGATTGCACCGCACGGCTCAGAACCTTATTTCTACGAGGAGGTCCGAATAGGAGGCCCGTCCAGCCTCCAGGTGCGGTGTGGCGACAAGGGATGATCGCATCAGTGTTGTGGCCAGGGTTCGCAGGATATAAGGACGTATTGTAGTAGCCTTCACCCGACTCCTAGAAGACCGAGCGGGTGCCCCGTATCTACTGTATACCTCCGTTTGCACACACCGCAGGCAGAATCCGGCATCGGGAGGGATGCGGCATGATCACCGGACAGGAGGAATGATCATCGCGGATGAGCGTGGGGAGACGGGTTTGAATCAATCACCTGTCAGACCCGTCAACTTACACGGACGGGGAGTCCAGATCAGAGATGGTTCGTCTGTCTGTCGCATTAGCGCCATGCCCACAGCTGGATCGAGGGGGCCTCCTGGCCAACGATGACGATTGGATTTTCCTTTCATAGTAGGGAGTACGAGATAGATAGATGGATGGATGGATGGATATACCTACAAGCAGGTGTCTACTCAGGGGTTGTCACGGGTCCAGCCGTGGGCCGTGAGGATGGAGCCAGTTGCTGACAGCGACTGGATTCGTCAATTGCAACAGGCACCGTCCGCATGCACAGCCAACCTGCGTAGAGTATGAGGGAGAGGGAGGGAGGGAGTAGATATCTAGTAGTTGAGTCCATCGGACCACGTGAGGGGCTCCCTTTCGACGGGGTGCATCACATGAAGGCGTCGGGCCCATGATCCGATGCCAATCAGCCATGGCGAGAGGCTGACAAGTAAGCAGTTTAGCAGTATCGACGTGCAGCCCTCCTTCTGCCCCGCAAAGCTAAATGAGCAGCCAAGTGCGGAGGCACCCAGCGGGATCCTGGTTCATCCTCTGCGCCATCCTCCGGATGATAGACCGACTTGGGGTGGTGAGGATCTTGTAGTGAGGGAGGGGGCTCGTCATCGCCTGCCTCCTAATCCCGAACAATGCAGGCCGGGAATGCCCAGACATGGCTTGACTGCACTGCACTCACTCGAAGACAGGCCAGGCCGTTGAAATACTCTTCTTACATCAGCAGGGTTCATCTGGGTCTGATACTCCTGTGAGACCGTGATACGATCTGTCAGGCCCAATAACTAATCCAATCCTCCCTGACTAACCCTGACTGCAGGCTGGTAACTACTTGGCAGGGCTGGCGTATCCCGTGTAAATACTCCGTAGCGAGTGACGACAATGGAAGGGCAGTGGAAGGAATCTTTGCAGGAGGCCATCCATGGTTGTCAGTGTTTCGGAGGGAAGGGGGGGCAAGCCAGTAGGTCAGTCCCGTGAGAAGTCGCCGCCCCGACCCTCTTCCTCCTCATTGAGGATATGGTGCGATGTCGTTAGATACTACTGCTTTAACTAGTAGAACGACTACTACTTCACTACTACTCACTCTCCTTCAACCTGCACATTCCACTCGCCCCACTGGGAAAGATCTTACCATCTGACTCGCATGGTTGCCATCCTTTTCCGGCATTCCAGCAGCGAGGCGTTCTCCCGACGCCCTGCGCTCGCCCATTTCTCTCGCTCTCTCTCTCTCTCTCTCTCTCTCCTTTGCCCTTCTCCTTTCTTCATCACCGTTCCTCCTACTCTGCCTTTGCCTTCTCCCCCAGTCCTTTCCCCCTTGCCCTGATCGCCTGCGTCAGTTCCCACACTCGGCTTCATCCTGACCCAGAGGAACCCGATTTGCCTCCGGCTCCACCATCTTGAACCATTGCCATGCGTCGTCGCATCGACCGGCAACTCTAAACATCACCCACTCAGCGACCGATCTGACTGAATCCCAGAAGATCCCAATTTAGGGCTGTCGTGCCGATCGCAGAAGTGAAGCTGGGATCGTTCGATTTTTTTTTTTCTTCTTGACTTGGTGATAAAAATAGTTGGGCAGGACACTTCTTATTACTACGGAGAGGGAAGACGGATCTTATTTCTATTCTACTACAATCACTATTGCTGCTGCTACTTTGCCGCTTCTCCTTTACTTCTGACAGTGACTCTCGCCTGGTCCAACGCTCTTGTTGTTTGTGTTGGCCCGCACCCGCAGTAGTTAGTCGCAGCAGCAGCAGCAGCAGCAGCAGCGCCGCCCGCCGCCCGCCGAGCAGCAGCAACGCAGAAGGACGACCGACGACTGGCCCCATGTCTGCATCCGTTTCCGCCTCCGCCTCCTCCAACCTCCCATCCGACTCTCGCTCGGGGCCCCTCCGTCGCCTAAGCCAACTGCGTGCCTACACCCAACTGCACTTTTCCGCGCAGCCCTCCTCCTCCTCATCCTCCTCCAACGCCCCTCGTGTCTCGCGCCGTCATACGCTCGGCAATCGAGTTTCCTGGTTTTCTCCCGCCTCCACCGGAACCGAGTCTGCCCACCTCACGCCTGTGGGGACAACCAACTCGGGCCCATGCCCGGAAACTGAACAGCCGTCCACCTTCGCCCGCTATAGTTCCGTTTTTTTCCCCAGCTACCGCGGCCTCGACATTGACCTGCGCTCGTCTCTCCCCCATCCCGAGTCCGCCAGCTCATCCCCGTCCAACGATACCATGTCGCGGCCGAGGGGATCTTCCCAGGCGCTCGATGTGAGGCCCGACCTCGAGGGATCCAGCCCCTCAGGATCAGGCAATCTCCACGCGGGCGCCCTGGAGTCGGCCGACCCCGTCATGTCGGAGAATCCGTCCACCTCGTCCCCGCGACCGAAGCAGAAGGCCACCATCCGCTTCTTCTCCCACCAGGACTCCCACCAGAGCTCGCGACCCTCCCTGCCCTTCATCCCGGTCTCGCGCACGTTGCCGTCCGAAAGTTGCGTCATCCGCGTGGGGCGATACTCCGAGCGCGATGGGCTGCCCGTGGCCAACCCGACCGAGCCCTCCGATGCTCCCGTGGGGTTCAAGTCGAAGGTCGTGAGTCGGAAGCATTGCGAGTTTCTATACCTGAACGGCCAGTGGCACGTCAAGGATGTCGGAAGTTCCTCAGGGACGTTTCTGAACCACATGCGACTGAGCCAGCCCAACATGCCGTCTCGGCTGTACAGTGTGAAAGATGGCGATATCGTGCAGCTGGGGATTGACTTCCGCGGAGGCGAGGAGATGATCTTTCGCTGCGTGCGCATACGGATCGAGTGTAACCGGTCCTGGCAGCAGCAGCCGAACGAGTTTAAGTACGGCATCCTTTTTGTATTGTTGAATACAGGCTAATGGCGATATAGCAAAAACACGGAAAGTCTAATCAAGAACCTGGGCAAGGGAGAAACGGCGGACTACTCTGGGTGTCGGGAATGCTCGATCTGTCTGGGATCTGTGCTGGTTCGTCTCCATTCTCTCAAGTTTCCATTCGAGGAGCTAATGTCTTGAAGCGGCCTTACCAGTGTCTGTTCATGGCGGCCTGCGCGCACGTCTGGCATTACAAATGCGTCAGTCGTCTCATCCACACGCCCGACTACCCCATGTTCCAGTGCCCGAATTGCCGCGCCTATACCGATCTGAGCGCCGAGGTCGATGATACGAACGATATTGAGGAGGAAGCCAAACAAGCTGCGTCGGCGGAGAAGCAAGGCTCGTCCGAAGCCTCTCGGTCGGGAACGCCCTCCCACCAGCCGGAAGCCGAGCCCGCCCGGGAAGCGGTACAGAGCTCGTTTGACGACCACCGATCGGGCAGTCTGCCGGTCGAGGCGGGTCTGGCTGCCAATATTGAGAACATGCACCTTCACGACACCGATGCGTCGGACGCGGAACCTGCGCCCGCACCAACTTCGAATCCCGAGGCCACCCTCTCCAACGGCAGCGAGGTCCCTGGCTGGCAGTCTCTGACCCAGACCCCCAGCACGATTCAGACCCGACAGCCACACCTGCGCGCCGATACCCCGGTGCGATCGGAGTCGTCGGACGACAATCCCCTCACGCCCCTGAATGATTCCGGCCCGTTGGCGCTCGACGGGCGAGCGGCCGTGCCTTGAGATAGTGGTCGTGAACATGAAAACTTGGACATTTTTTTACCCCCAGACATCTGGACAAATCGCATATTCACATCTGCACTATTTTTACCGAGCTGGCAGTCCTGCATACATACAGTCCGTCGACTGAGCCATTTCCTTCCCCTCCGAACACATCCCATTGTTACCTACCAGTTCTAGCATCGAGCATTGCGTTGTTGTTTTCCTCCCCCCGCCAATCGAAGATCACTTATACCCATTTGCAGCATACTTTCTCTCTCTCTCTCCCTCTCTCTCTCTCTCCCCCCCTCCCTCTCTGTCTCTGTTTCTCCCTCGCTTCGCATTTGTTCGGCGGTGGCTCTTCGCCGTCCCTCTCGCATGCATCGGACTGCCGTGCCATGCCGTGCCATGTCTCGAACGACCGGTACCAGGACCAGCTTTGGGGCCCTTAAATTTCATCATTCCCCGACAATTTGGCGTTGGTGGTGGATGGATGGATGGATGGATGGATGGGTGCATGAGTGTGATCGGCAGTCGTCGGTTAGTCACTGACCTGCTACTACACTACTACTATTACTTACTTATGGTACTTATGGTCGACCATTTTTTTTCTTTTCTTTTCTTTTCTTTTTCTTCAATTCTGTTTTTTCTTTTTTTCTTTTTTTTTTTTTTTTTCCCATCTTTGGTGGCGCGGGTCGAGATGTAGATAGTATCTATACATGCATATTACGCTATAGTCACTTACCTTAATTCCCCCTCGTGATTAGTAGCTCCTATTCTTCTACGGTATATTTTCATAATTAGCGGTTAGTTGTTGTCAAGTGGCTTGACTGACTGATTGACTCATTGACTGTCTGTCTGTCTGTATGTCTATCTTTTAATCTGTCTTCTACGCCTACTGTATCTATCTGATAAAGGTATATAGGTATAGGTAGTACAGTACAGTACTCTGTACCCCGTCTCAGAATCCTAAGTATAGGTCCTACTAGGCAGGCAGGCAGGCAGGCAGGCAGGTAAGTAGAAAGGTAGGTAGGCAAGTAAAATAAGTAGGTAGCATCTACTATCTATCCATTCCACCAGCAATCCATAAACAAGTAAGTAATCAATCAAGATCGATCACGCAAAGCCCGTTGACGTTCCAACACCGCTGCTTTGACTACCTACTTACCTACCTACCTACCTACCTACCTACCTACCTACCTACCTACCTACCTATCACAGATACAAAAGACCAACGATTAGTTACTTTTCTGCCTATGTTATGGAGTATGGAGTGTGGAGTACGAGTTGGCGATTTACAAGGAACATCAACAAGCTTGATAGATGGATAGATGGATGGATGGATTGATAGATTCATTAAATTGAAAACAACACTGATAAAAGTACAAGTTATCTTCGTAGGCAAAGGTAATTAATAAATAACCCGCTGGTATCAAACAAACCCGAGCCACAATCTCATAATCGTATCGTAACAACCCGAAATAAGTGCGCATAGCCATAATCATATCGTAACAGCGTCAGTGGGACGGGGGGGGGAAAAGATTCAAGTCAGCTACCATAACATAAGTGGCAGAGTCGGTCAGTCAGTCAATCACTCAAGACTAGACATCTAGATCCCTTGAAGAATCCCTTAGAATCCCCGCTGAGTACCCAAAGTGCCCCTGTTGTCCAAATCCGAATCGACACGGGGATCAAGCTTGTTCGCGACGTTAGAGCCATGAGGACCAGCCGTGGCGTGGGAGCCAGTGCCAGGGGCATTGTAGCTGCTGCTGGCGAGACCCTGGTGACGGGCACGGTTGTCGCGGTCCGAGTCGACCCGGGGATCAACCTTGTTCATCAGGTTGGAGTCATGAGGGCCGGCGTTCGTGCTGCCAGCGCCAGTACCGTATCCGGTGCCAGCGCCAGCGCCAGCGCCGGTGGTGCCGGTGGTGTATTCGCCAGGGAGGCCGCCGCTGCCGACACCAGAGCCGACGCCAGAGCTGGGGGCGCCGTAGTTGGAGGTGTGGTGGCCGTGGTGGGTGTTGGTGCCAGTGCTAGATCCAAGGCCGGTCGATGTGCCCGTGGGACCCGTGGTGCCGGTGGTGTATTCGCCGGGGAAACCACCAGAGCCGACGCCAGAGCCGACGCCAGAGCTGGGAGCGCCATAGTTGGAGGTGTGGTGACCATGGTGGGTGTTGGTGTTTCCAAGGCCGGTGCCAGTGCCAGAGAGTCCAGCGGCGCGGTTGTCTATACGGTTGGTTAGTCTTTCCTTTATACGAATGAATCGAAGGGGAAAGAAAGGGTGGATGGGTAACATACCCCGATCACTATCCACGCGAGGATCCATCTTGTTCACGACGCCGGTATCATGAGGGCCCTGCGGACCGCCCAGCGCCTCATGACGAACACGGTTATCGCGGTCCGAGTCGACGCGGGGATCAGCCTTGTTGGCGAGCTTCGAGTCGTGCGGGCCGGTGGTTGCGCCGCCGCCGCTCATGGTAGGCTGGGCGCGGTGGTCGCGGTCTGAGTCGACACGGGGGTCGGCCTTGTTGGCGAGCTTGGAGTCGTGGGGGCCGTGGGTGGTGGAGGTGTTGCTGAAGCCACCGGGCTGGGCGCGGTGGTCTCGGTCGGAGTCGACGCGGGGGTCGGCCTTGTTGGCTGTGCTGGAGGAGTGAGGGCCTTGGGCGGTCGTGGTGGTGGTGGATGGTTGGCTGGCGCGGGCTTCTATATTATTGAGGGGGTTCGTTAGAAGGTGGTTGAGGAGGGATGGAAGGATGGAGGAAGAGGGGCTTGGACTTACCGGCTTCACTGTCGACGCGGGGGTCGAGCTTGTTGGCGATCTTGGAGGAGTGAGGGCCGTTGGAGGCAGTGTTGTTGGTGGTGGAGGTGTTGGAGGAGTCGTGATGGCCGGTCACGGCATCCTTAACCTTGTGGATGATTCCAGACATGATGCTTTTTTTAGTTGAGATATGGAAAGGAAGGAGAGTTGATAACTTGAGAAGTCTTGATGCTTTACTAGAAAGTCTTGTTGTTATTGTTATGATGGTTGTGTTGTTGATGAGGAGAAGATACTGAAGTCCACCGATGCCTGAGGGGGTTTATATAGCTTCTGCCCTCCACAGACATGACGTAAGTGCGGTAGACAAAGAGGTGCCACTTGCGGTGCTATTCACAACTGGTACGAGCGAGGTCAGTTGGCGATTCACTCGAGGGGCTTCCTGCTTCATGATGACGTTCGGATGTGCTAATTAATGATGGGCCAGCCAGTCACGACTTCCAGCCTAGGGTTCGAGGGACTATGACCAGAGCGGCAGGGGTGGTGGTCGCCCGCGTCGATCGCTACGCTGGATCGGGAGCTGGAGCTCTGGCCCCGGCCCATGCAGGGCATAGGGCGGCACTAAGGAGGTGTTTAATTGCGACCCCGTACTTTCTACTATTATTCCTGTATCATAGTAAGTACGTAGTATCTTGGTGGTAGCCTGGCAGGCGAGCAGGCGATGCCGTTGTCGATCATGACGGCCTTGATGACCTCAGCCCAGTCGGCGCAACTGAATGGCGTCGGCCAAGCCTGCAGCTGGGGCTGTGATTGGGCTCGAGGCCACAGGTTGTGGGGGTCAGGGGCCATTTGGTCCCACCGCGTGGCTCCACCTCCCGCGGATGAAAGTGGTCCCCGATCTAATCAATGCCGGTCCTCCCCCTCCAGTCCCTGCCATCGCCATGCAAGATAAACTCGCCCTCTGGCGATTGCCTGTGCGTGTTTCCCGTGTGCACGGTCATATCATTGGGGGCGTCTCGTCTCGAACTTGTCCTTATACCTGTGGGCTGTGACTGTGGCTTTTTCTTCTCTTCTCTTCTACTACTGTGACTCGGTACATGGTTGACGATCCGACAGTTCGTACCGATCTTCACCCTGCCGCTTTACATCACCGGCTGGCCCGACCCAGGGAATGAATGGTAGGCGGTTCGGCACCCGGGGCTATCACTGCCTGTTTCATGCTATACGTGTTGAAGGGGTAGTGTTGTTTCACTCTGGATGATGCAATATAGTGCTTCATTCCTGCAGTGAAATGATCATGATGATGTGTTGGCTGTGGGAGTCAATGCGCATGGCGGGACCCGATGGAATGGACTGGAAAGGACGGTGCCTGAAACGGACTTGCTGCTTTGGTGGTACGGGAAGGTCTAAAAACAGATTCCGGGGTAAGCACCTTCAGTCTGGACGGACACGAATTGTGTCTCTTGATATCTATGGAATCGAAACGATTCACCGAGGTCGAGATCGATTCATTGGAAACTCGACCCTCGGAAGTTGTACCGCTGCAAATCAACACCAGATGCTATGACAGCCCACACCCTCTTTCGAACCTCAGTGAAGAGAATTGTCGTTCGTCACCTTGGTAAAACCAAACGATGACAGAAGGTGCTTATTCTATCACGATTTTCAAGGACCCGGATACATTGCGCAGCACTGTTGGTGGAGAAGGCCAGACCGAATACAAGAATGCGACATGGTTGAGGCCTTATCATGGTCCCACCCAGGCCCCAAAAGACCGGACAGAGTAATCAAACCCATTGCAATATTGACGGTGTTTGCCATGAGGACCACTAACCAACCACAGTACAACAAACTGATCTAGTTCTTAAACTGGCGGCAGTTGGAGCCCACAAAGTATCCCTGAGGAAGACTGAGCTGCCTTCTTCGCGGTCGGTAGGTTTCCGATGACACGTTTCCTATGGGATGTAATTTGCAGAGTGAATTTATCAGGTGGTGCTCAGCCGGGATGTCATGTAGATTGAGGATGGAATTCGGAAAGCCTCTCCTATATGCTTCAGCAGCGATTCATCATGAAATGTTTCCGCGTATTCGTCACGAACAGCGTCATTTCTGACAAATATGCATCTCCTAACTAGGACAAGCACACGTTGAGGGAGACTGGATGGCCATCATTCACCAGGACACCACCTCGAGACAATCCAACAAGTCCAGCGATGTAGTCTGTCTAGAATCTTGGCTACTGACTGAGTGTAGTATAAACAAAGAACCAACCCAATCTCGGCGACCTTTTCGAGTCGAAGATGGAACAAAGGAGAGTGTTGGTTAAGATTACTTTTTTTTTTTTTTTTCTTTTGGAAATTTCTGACTGTCCAAGAATAGAAGTGCGATTTATTTGCTCTTTATACCTGGGTAGGCAAACTAGTAGATGCCTTATCGTGTGCACTCGACCTATGAGAATGGCCAAAGCGGAAACATAAACCACAATATATTTGACCCCTCAACCAAGCTCATCGCATTTTACACAAAGTATTCAGTTCTTCCCCATCTCACCTACCCCAACTTTCAACCCGAAAAAAACTTCATAGCGGTTCCTCTCCGTCAGAATCCCTCCAACGCTATCTGCCTCAGACTCACTCATGAGTGGTGCGGCAGATAGTACTCACCATGACCAACCAGCGCATCCATCACCTATGCTGATCCCCCACAATCCAAATGACACCCTCCCCCCCCCCTATTCTTTCCTATTTCTTCCCTCCAAATCCCCATCCGACAACAATATCACTGCTAGAAAAACATCACCGGGCGTACAGTAGGTAAGCGTGGGCTTTGCCACCGATCCCATTCATCGTTTTGTTTTGTTTTGTTATGTTTTGTTTCGTTTCGTTTCAGCCAGCCAGCAACTAATCCAAATCCAAGTTAGACCACCACACCACCAAACTGATTGACTGACCGCTACATGCAAACTCTTCCACCATCACATCGCCATCGCATCACATCAACTCCTGCATAAACCTATCCTCTGAGCTCATACAAAAGAGACAAAAATAATAATAATAATAATAATAGAAAGATAAAGAATCAGAACCATGCGGCTGAATTTCAGCCAACCCCCGACCCCGGCCCTAAGCCGACGAAACACCATGTTCCTGAACAACGCGCATCATTATCGCGCCGGGACCCACCCGCATCTGCTGTCGAGTCGAAGCAAACCGCGACGGTGAGGATATGTCCTGTCCGTCTTCAGATGACACGATTTGAAAAGCTGATTGTCTATCGATCGAGGGATATGAAGATGGCCGCTCGTCTTCCGATTCATCAAAGGCGCTATCCACGGGGCTATTCTGCTGCCCGTGTTCCTGCATGCCGCGTTCACGGCCTTTGTTGTCTGGCTTGACCAGTGCGTTTTTGAGACGGTCGGGCTGCCGAGTAGTATTGTATGGTCCTTGATTTGATTACAATCTTTAATCCAGACAGAGTGACGGTGACAACGCTAATAGCACCGCAGATCCCCTCCCTCTCGATAGTCGTAGGTCTCATGCTGGTCTTCCGCAACCAAACATCCTACAGCCGGTTCTGGGACGGGCGCAACAACATGAACACGATCTACACGAGCGTGCGCAACCTGGTGCGCACGATCGTCACGAACGGCTACAGCACCGCGGGGCCTCCCACGGCCGCCGAGAAAGAGGACATCGAGCGCACGATCCGCATCCTCATGGCCATTCCCTTCGCCGTCAAGAGCCATCTGCGCGCGGAATGGGGCGCCGCGTGGGCGCTCGGCAACGACGTCGCCGAGAACGGCGTCGTCGCGTTTAACCCGGACTATGCGAGTCTGCTGCCCGAGGGCTTGGTGGGCCATGAGGATGAGGGACTGGGGTTGCCGTTTCAGTTGACGTTTTTCGTGGACGGGTTTGTGAAGCGCGGTGTCGAACGGGGGTGGTTCAATGCGCCCGGGGCGAGTCAGATGCAGGCGCAGTTGAATTCGTTGACGGATGCGTATGGCAAGATGGAGACGATTAAGTTGACCCCCATTCCGGTGGCGCATTTGTGAGTACTGCTCCGTTTTTCTGCGTTTGGGTTTGGGCGGTGGTTTGGGTTTACCGGCTGCTGCTATAGGCTTGAGAGTTTGAGCTGACACGTCGAAGGATCCATCAAAAGCAGGTCCTTGCCCTCTTCGGCTGTGTTCTTCCCTTCGGCATGGTAGATGACATGGGCTGGTGGACTATCCCCATGGTCAGTCTTGTCATCTTCACGCTATACGGTATCGAAGGCATCGGTTCGCAGCTCGAAGACCCCTTCGGATACGACCGAAACGATATCAAGATGGATGCCATCGTCGGCGACGCCAAGACCGAGATCGAGGTCGTGCTGACCGAGTGGCGAAGACTGATGGCGTCGCTTGAAGTACCTCCTACCGATCAAAACATCGATGACAGTCCCGTTTCCAACGGCAGGCAGGAGGAAAAGGGGGATAAGTTCGTTCCGCCGGATATGTTTCTGACGAACCGGGCGCGAAGGTCCTGATGATGATAGGTAGTAGGGGTTGGGTTCGTATTGTCTTCAAACTGACCGCTGAGGGGGTTCAACGAGGCTGTGGGGGAGTGGGTTCGTAGATTTATGCCGCTAACGATGGAATTTTTATGTGAAACATGTATATACCGGACTGGGCCATTATCGAAGCATGCGTAAGAGACGAACAGTTGTTATAAAGGCGCCTCCAGCGTGAGCACTCCGTCTAATATCGAGTCTGGGTTGGCATACTCCAGCACCTGCGACACGGCTTTGAAATCACTCCCGTACTGCAAGCTGCGATCTTCCTCGGGGCTTGCCACAATGATCCGATGGCGGAAGACTTTCTTCGCGGCCAGCGCCACGATGGAAGGCGTGAGGTAGTCGATCCCGTGCAATACGGCAAGAAGTCTGACGGGGTTAGCGAGGTTCAAGTTTTCAACCCAGAGTGAAGGAATTAACTGACTTCGAAAACGCCTTGAAGTGGAGGTTCGATCGCGTGGAGATCCCCCCGGAGACTGCGCGACTGAGCCGCAGAAACACCGTGATGTCCTGCTGGTACCGGGCGATGTCTGCGCCGACTGTAACAGCGTTGCTGAGTTGTTGGAGATGGTCCAGTGTCTTTGTACCCGTCAGTGCCAGTTTGCAGTATCAAGAAGGAAAGGGCTGAATCACCTGACGGTCTATACCCGGATGACTCTTCTTGATTGGAGTCTCCAATTTGCGGATGACCGACGACGCCGACATCTGGCCATCGGACAGCCAGTCGGCGTTTTCTTCCAGATAGGCGAACCCGTCCTCGGTGTCATGGAAGTGTGAGATGAATATATAGTCATTCTTACCAGACGTTAGTTTTTTTTTCATAATAATATCAACAAGTGGGAGGGCATACTAGATGCGGATTCAATCCAGTTTGGTTCTGGTTCTGTTTTGCAGTGCGCACCGTAAGCGGCACGAAGAGGAATTCCGCCGGCGCTTCCAAGATCCCCGCCTGGGTGGCTAGTCGCTTGGAGTGCATCAACTGCGAGACGATGTCAGGAGGGATTCCTGCTGAAAGAGCGGTTACACACGCACCTCAAGAGCCTGACGCTGGATATCGTCGTTGACGTGGTTGAAGTTCTTGGCGATGACCACGTTGACGATCTCTCGCTTGGGCTCGATGGTGGCGGACCTGAAGCGGCCCCTGAGGTCTCGCGAGTCCTGCATGGAGGAAAGAGTCACCGACTGAACTAATCAGCGGAGATTTTCATACTGTCAGATGAGAAAAAAATACCGACTCCGTGGTCATGCGCGAGCGTGAAGGGCGAACATGGCCCTTGACGATGTCTGGGGGGAGCAGCTCGGCGCAAAAGTCATCGTAGGACGTAGCGCTCGAACAGTCCAGGATCGTGTAAGAGAGCCCGAAGGTGTTGGTGCATATCTGAACCCAGTCAGTGGTTGTCCGGATATTTCGCATATGAGGAGGTACATTACCAGCGCGAGCTCCTTTGCGACGTCATGGATGTTGGCGTCGGTCGCCTCGATGCGACAGTGCTCGTGGACCGCCAGACAGAGGAAAAGAGCTACTTCCAGGTCCGACAGCTCCAGAGCCAGACTGGTGATGTCCGAGCTGTCATCCATAATCCCGATGGGGCATTCACGGGCATGGTGCTGTTGTTGCAGCCTCCGAGGCGTTCCCGCCGGATAGAGAGACGCTGCGCACCTCAGGCACCCCTTGGACGGGCGGCCCGATCGGGTTAGCGGCGGCGGAGGCGTGAGCTGGAGCTTCGGGTGGATCGAAGAGTAGAGACACAACATATCCCCATCCCATCCCATCCCATCCCATCCCCACCCACTCCCCGTCGTTCATGACATTGCCCGTTGGAAATGGCGCCGTCCAACCCGCTGGCCAACTGGGAGCGACTGGGAGACAGCTTCTATAGGAAAGTCCCCATCTACGACGCCATCTTCGACGAGGATGTCGAGTTAGAGAACTACATCATCGCCGGCGCTCCCTACGGAGGGGCTATCGGTATGTCGGGGGATGCTGAGCTCCCATCTTCCTCGTCCCAACTAACCAGGCCCTAGCTCTGCACCGGGACGAGAGTAAACCGTACCGGTTCCGAGATGCCCAAACCGCCAAATCGAGCATCGACATCTACTCGTGCTCCGGCAAGCACATCAATCGACTCAATGTCAGTGGCTTATCATGGTCGCAGGGCCTGTATCCTTGATCTCTAACGCCTGGCAGTGGGAGTATGGCACCATTCGGGGTCTCGGCTGGTCCGACAAGGAAGAACTCCTGGTGATCACCGAGGACGGCACCGTCAGACGGTACTTTGGCCTGTACGGCGATTTCACTTCCTTCTCGCTAGGGAATGTAAGGCTTCCGAGAATCGGATTGCGCTGCGCTCCTATTGACGTTCGTGCAGGGTGCTGAGGATTATGGCGTGAGGGCCTGCCGGTTCTGGACCTCCGGGTTTGTTGCTCTACTCTCCAATAACCAGTTGGTTGCGGTGTCGAACTACGATGAGCCCCGGCCGAAGCTGCTCGCGCCTTGTCCGGAAGGGGAAGTCTCGTCCTGGTCTTTGATACCGCCAGCCTACACGCTGTCCCGCTCAGTGGAGGTGCTGCTTGCCGTTGATAAAACGGTTTACCTGGTCGACCCCACGGAGGCAGAGGATAAGGTGCTTCAGAATGGACCTTTTAAGCACGCCAGTGTGTCACCAACCGGGAGATTCGTTGCACTAATCACAGCTGAAGGAACGGTTTGGGTGGTCAGCAGTGACTTCCAAAGTAAGTACAGCGAGTACGACCCAGACTCGCGGGTCACCCCCCGGACGGTTGACTGGTGCGGCGATGATGCCGTGGTCATTGCGTGGGAAGACGAGGTCCATCTCATTGGGCCAAATGGTGTTGCCGCGAGGTATGGCTCTTGAACACCACGGTTAATGTGTCACTGACAAGCCAAGGTACTATTATGATGGTACAGTCCATGTCGTGCCAGAATTCGACGGTGTGCGCTTGATCACCAATGATACATGCGAGTTCTTGCATAAAGTTGTTGGTGAGTTACCATGTCGCCTGGTGTTTGAAAGTTCTAACGGGTGGAAGATGTCACCGAGGCGATCTTCCGACTGGGGTCTACCTCCCCTGCCTCCGTCCTCTTGGACTCGATAGACCTTCTGGAGAAGAAGTCCCCCAAAGCCGACGAGAACATCCAACGCATTCGACCGAGCTTGCCAGAGGCGGTTGACACCTGCGTGAAAGCCGCTGGCCATGAATTCGACCCACAGTGGCAAAAGCGCTTGCTGAAGGCTGCCTCGTTCGGAAAGTCTGTCCTGGACTTGTATAATAGCGATGAATTCGTCGAGATGACCGAGAAGCTCCGAGTTTTGAAGGCAGTGCGGGAGTACCAAATCGGACTGCCGCTTTCCTACGAGCAATACATGCGTCTCACCCCGGAAAGGCTCATCGAGCGCTTGGTGAACAGGCACGAATATCTCCTTGCCATCCGCATCTCCGAATATCTTGAGCTTCCCGCCGATCGGATCTACGTGCACTGGGCCAGCCAGAAGGTCAAGGTTTCCTCGGTGGACGATGATGCCGTCTGCAAGCTCATCGTCCAGAGACTGGAAGGCAAGCCGGGCATCTCGTTCGAGCTGATCGCACAAGCGGCTTACGACGAAGGACGGGCTCACCTAGCCACCCAGCTTTTGAACCACGAGCCCCGGGCTGGAAAGCAGGTTCCGCTATTGTTGAATATGGAGGAGGACGAGATCGCCTTGGATAAGGCCATCGAAAGTGGAGATGCCGATCTGGTGAATTTTGTTCTGTTACACCTGAAAACCAAGCTACCTCTCGCCAGCTTCTTCAGGACGATCAACACTCGTCCTATGGCGTCCGCTCTCGTGGAAACTACCGCCCGAGGGCAGGATACGGAATTGCTGAAGGACCTCTTCTACCAGGACGATCGTCCCATTGATGGTTCGAATGTCCTACTCGCGGAGGCGCTAGAAGAGACTGAACTGCCGCGCAAGACGGACAAGCTCCAGCTCGCATCTCGCCTGCTGTCCGACTCCAAAGACCCCTCTGTTGTCTTACAGCAAAAACTACTGAACGAAGCGTCCCAGCTGCTGAAGGTCCAGGAAGGCCTGGACAAAGACCTGGCCGACCGGTCGGAGTTCCTGGGGCTGAGCTTAAACGAGACTGTCTACAGACTGATCCGATCAGGCTACGGGAAAAGAGCGCAGAAGATGCAAAGCGAATTCAGAATGCCCGAGAAGACCTTCTGGTGGTTGCGATTAAGAGCCTTGGTAGCTAAGCGCGACTGGGGGGAACTGGAAGAAATCGCGAAAAACAAGAAGTCCCCGATCGGATGGGAGGTAAGCCGACCGACCCGCAGTAGATGCGCCCATGTGCTCACAGATAACCACAGCCTTTTTACAATGAGATCCTGGGTGCTGGAAACACCAAGCTCGCTTCGTTATTTGTGCCCAAATGCACCAACCTGTCGGCCGAGGACAAGATGGAGATGTGGGTGAAATGCGGAATGATTGCAAAAGCTGGCGAGGAAGCCTTCCGGACAAAGAACGTCAACGCCCTCGAACTCCTCCAGGCGAGGGCTTCGGGGCCAGCCGCCGCTGAGATCGACCGGATGATCAACCAGCTGAGGCCAAGGAAATAGATGACTGGCGACCTGTGATGTCCGCGCTCAGGTGATGTCCTCGTCCACGTCAATGCCCGCGGGTTCGTCCGCAACGAGGTTCTGTGCGGGAACTGGCTGCAATGCGCGCTTCTTGGACTTGGACGGCGCCTCGTCATCCATCATGGCATCGTCCGAGTTGTCGCCCTCGTCGTTGAGGCCGGCGAACATCGACTTCGTCGCCGCCGCCTTGCGGTTCTGATCTTCCCACTCGGCCTACAATCCGTTCTGTCAGCACCCCTGGTAACCCGACTGGAAGAATTTTGTGTGGCATCCATCCATACCTTACGAGAGTGCACGGCCTTGGAGCGGTTGATACTGCGGTTGACCTTCTTCTCCAGCTGATCGACGACGGCCTCAGCTCTGTCCATGCCCTTCTGTTGTCTCAAGCGTTGTGCTCTGCTCTTGCTCTGCTTCCTTGATGTTTTCTTAGATACACCGGCATTTGCGCGCTCGGACAGAATCGATTCCCGCTGGACCGTGGTGTCCTGGGCCCGCGGAAGAGAGGTCAACGACTTGTCGACGTCGAGAGTGGGGGACTCTGCGCGCCGGGCGGCACGGGAATGCTTTGACTGGGCTGGAGGGAGGACATAGTGTTAGAATTAATGAACCCGAATCCTAAAACAGAGACTCACGTCTAGACTTCGCCATGGTGGTAGATGCGGACACAAAAGATGCAAGCCGCAGAAGATAATTTGTGTGGGGCCGACTATCGATAGAGAAAGCAGTGCGGGCGGCGGGAGCGACCCAAAGCGCACGCGGCTGCTTACTTGGGATTCTGCGGCGGCCGCGAATAATAAGTATGAATCGTCACTTTTGGCTGCTCTTCTCCTCGAGTGATGTCCCTCGCCTCCCTCGTCTCCACCACCGCGTCCCTATGCCGTGCTCCCGTTTCTCGCTCCACCAGCCATGAATGCTCGCAGAGAGGGCATTGACTTCTCCGCTCGGAATCCCTTCACCAACGCGCAGTACCGCAGCAGCTATGGTACACAGCCGCCGTTTGCGCAGGGCATCCCCAACCTCATCGCCTCCATCCTCCTCGCCGTCATCTCCGTCCTCTTCTTCCTGAACTACTTCGGGCTGACCATCGCCTCCCTGGGTCGGCTCGTCTGGAAAATCCTGGTGCATCTAACACCGACACGCCTCGTCGCCGCCTTGGACTCCAAGGCCACGACAACCGACCCGGCCGACGAACCCACTCCCCCGATGACATTCGAGACCAAGAGCGAAGCCATGCAACGGATCCTCGGCCTAAATGACAGCTCTTTTTCCTCCTTCCTCCCTCGCACGCCGTCGCTACCCGGGTTCGGCACTTCCCTGTTGAGCAGCAAGAACAGCACACCGCCGGGGCTGGGGAATTGGGACAACTCATGCTATCAGAATAGCATCATCCAAGGCTTGGCGTCACTGCAATCACTGGAGGCCTTCTTGCGACAGAACGTGGAGCAGCTGGGGCAGAAGGTGTCGCTTTCGACACACCAAGCCCTGAAGGAGATCATCGAGCGGTTGAACAGCGCGGAGAACTACGGACAGCGGCTGTGGATCCCCGCGGATCTCAAGTCCATGAGCAGCTGGCAGCAGCAGGATGCGCAGGAATACTTCGCCAAGGTGGTGGATCAGTTGGATTTCGAGGTTCAGCGGGCGACTCGCCGACAGACTCGGAATATGGGCTTGAAGAAGACCGGTCCGCAAGAACATGTCATTGGAGCGGGCCCGGTCCAGAAGTTGGATGGGGATTCGACGCCTGAAGTGCAGGAGACGGGGAGTCAGAATCAGGTCTTCCGGAACCCGTTAGAAGGGCTCCTTGCGCAGAGGGTCGGCTGTATTCAGTGCGGGTGGACGGAGGGTCTTTCGCTGATCCCGTTCAATTGCTTGACTGTTCCGCTTGGTCCGAAGTTTGAGTACGATATTCGAGAGTGTCTGCATCACTACATGCATTTGGAGCCCATTGAGGGGGTGGAATGTGCTAAGTGCACCTTGTTGCGTGCGCAGACTCAACTTGTGAACCTCCTGAAGCAGATCGAGGACGACAATGAGACACCCGGCGAAACCCCCGACTCGTCGAAAATATCCGATGCGCTGAGAGATTCCGCCACGGAGCGTCTGCAGGCCGTGGAGCAGTCCCTAGAGGAGGAGGATTTTACCGAGAAGACCCTGTCGGAAAAATGCCATATCCCCGGAAAGAACCGCGTGTCCTCGACGAAATCGAGGCAGGCTGTCATCGCGAGGCCCCCCGAGTGTCTTGTTATCCACGTCAATCGAAGCCTGTTCGACGAAACCACGGGGATGCTCCGGAAGAACTACGCCGCGGTCAAGTTCCCCAAGGGCATCGATGTGAATCAGTGGTGCCTCGGAGGGGCCTCCCAGGGCCAGGCGGAGAAGGATTCCGAGGCATGGGAAACGAACCCCAGTATTTCGATGCTCCCTCAAACCGCCGGCGATGGGCCGGGCCGACACTACGAACTTCGCGCCGTGATCACGCACTACGGCCGCCACGAGAACGGGCATTACATCTGCTACAGGAAATACTCTGCCGAGACGTTCCCCGCCCATGTGCCGGACGCCGTGATCGAGGAAGACGGCGAGAAGGAGAGGTCGGACCGTTGGTATCGGCTCAGCGACGAGGACGTGCAGATGGTTAGCGAAGACAACGTCCTGTCCCAAGGCGGCGCCTTCATGCTGTTCTACGAAGCCGTGGACTACTCCCCCGACGCGGCGCAGGCGGGCGAGCCTGTTGCTCTGGAAGACGAAAGCTCGTCCACTGCCGCTTCGGATACCCTGTCCATGACCTCTGCCACGGCCGGTTCCTCGTCGGATGTGTCGCAAGCGACCAGCGTCTCGGCCTCGGTCAAGGTCGAGCCCGAACAGCCTGAACCCGAATCCAACCCCCCCGGCGACAGTGTCCCGGTTATGACGGATGTCGATTGATCCCCGCATCTGCATCTGTCTATCCCGACTTGCCATGCCAGACTGTGTACATCATTATGATACCCCGAAGTGCGACTCATTAGAAGGCGTTTTGAATTTCCCTTAACCTGCTGGTCCGACTCACCTCTAACGGTGACGGCATTGGATATCCTGGTCGTACCATACCTGCCATACACGAATTGAGCGGTTGTATAACATTCATTGCATGTACTTATGAAGATGTGTCTGTGGATGACAGCACGGATGCATTCGTTTTCTCTCTCGGTCATCAATTATCATTATCTAGAAAAAAACGAAAACGCCAACGCCACGCCACGCCAACGCCCGTAGCCCCAGCCAAACCAACCAACCCTAGAACCATAAATACCGAACGCAGCCCAACGCCCGCTTAAAAACTCAAACAACCTTCCCAAAAACCCCTCCCCCCCCTCAAACAAATAACCGTCAAAAAACCCCCGCCCTCGCCATAACATCCCTAAACTGCCCCCGACTCACCCCGTCACTAACACCGACCCCGCCATTCGCCTCGAGAATCATATCCTTGAGTAACTCATCGCCCAGCCCGTCCTCCTTCAACTCGCGCGCTATCCGTCGCAAATGCCCCAGGGTGATCGGACCGTCGGAGCCGCGCGTGAACAGCCGGAACGCGGCATCCACCTCGGCGAGCATGGCGGATGAGTCGTCGGACCGGGAGTGCAGCTTCGCGGCCGCGACGGTCACGAAGGGCGCGTAGGGCACGTAGCCGGTGTTGGTGGGGTCGAGGGCCGAGAGGATGGTTTGTAGTTCGTTGGGGGATGTGGGGGGGAGACCTAGAGCACTGGGTTTTGTTATTGTTAGTGATGGGCGTTGAGTTTGAGTGTGAGTATAATATGAGTATCAGGATTATTATCATTAGCAAAGCACCGTAGTGCTTCGTTTGCTTGTCATGTCCATTGAAATCGATATATATCAGGAGAAGAAGAAGAAGAAGAAGAAGAAGAAGAAGAAGAAGAAGAAGAAGAAGAAGAAGAAGAACAAAGCAGCCACGGGGGTGTGGGATGGGCAATGGGCAATGGAGAATGAAGAATGAGAATAAGGATGAGGATGGGGATCCTACACAAGCGCCTTCCTTACATCCTCCCTCGGAATAACGCCCTCCTTCTCATCCGCGAACTCCTCGACCGTCTCGTGGAACAGCTCGAAGACCTCCTTGATCTCGTTCTCTTCTTCCGCGCTGATGTCGTTCTCCTTGGCGAGTTTGGATTGGCGCGCGCGCCGTTTGGGTGCGGGGGAGGCGGTCGTGGGGGGCCGCGCTTTTTGGGGGGCTGGATTTGGAGATGGGTTAGTTTTGGGATGGGATGGAATAGGATTGGAGTTGGGGTTCAGGGGAATGAGAATATTTGGGGGGGAGGGTGCTTACCATCGTGTCTGGATGGTTGTGGTGGTGGTTGTCGCAAAGGGCGGATGATGTCAGGAAGGAGGATGGTTGGAGTTGGAGTTGGAGATCAGGCGCGGGGACGGGAGAGCCATTGACACTGGCAGGGACTGCGGCACGGTTTGGGGGTTCGACAGTTCTACAGCGTTCGACGTTCGACGGTTCGCCGCGTGATGGCGCTGCTGACGTAAAACGGGTGATGCCTGAGATGCCTGCGCCGCGGCCTTCTTGATTTAAATTCATCTTCATCATTCCCATCTTACTATTTGCACATTTCCCCCTCAAACGTTTAGGAGCCACTCCCTGCAGCAAGCATCCACGCCCATCGCCATGGATGTTGAGCTGTATGTGTATGACCTGTCCAAGGTGAATGATGATTCCTAGCCCTGGTTTGGTTTGAACCTGTCAGGATCCCCGGCTAATGCTGAGCAGGGCCTCGCGCGAATGGTATGGACGGACACAGGTCCGATTCCCCCCCCCCCCCAAAATGCACCGCTCTAACCCCTGCCTGCCTAGTACTCGCTGCCCTTGACGGGCACCCAAATCGATGCCATCTATCATACGGCGCTGGTGCTGAACGGCGTCGAGTACTACTTCGGCCAGGGCATCCAGACAGCCATCCCCGGCAGCACCCATCACGGCCAGCCCATGGAGAAGCTGCACCTGGGCAAGACGGAGCTCCCCGCCGACGTGATCGAGGAGTACATCCAGTCGTTGGCGGAGATTTACACCCCGGAGGTATGTAACGACGTGCTCTGAAACCGAGACCTGTCAGCGTACATCTCACACCTAACCCGTCATCAGTCCTACGACCTCTTCCTGCACAACTGCAATAACTTCACACAGGACCTGGCCATGTTCACGCTGGGCACCGGAATCCCCGAGCACATTCAAAACCTGCCGCAGACCTTCCTCAGCACCCCCTTCGGGCAGATGATGAAGCCGCAAATCGAATCGGCCCTGCGCGGTGTAACCCAAGGCACTGGCGGCACTGATGCTCGAGCGCCGGCTCCTGCAGCACCAGCCCCGGTGGCCGTTCCTGTTACCCAAGGCACGGTGCGAATGGCAAGCAGCCTGGCGCAGCTGGAGCAACACCTGGCCAGCGCGTCTCAGTCGTGCGCCGTCATCTTCTTCACCTCGGCGACCTGTCCGCCCTGCAAGATGGTGTATCCGACCTACGACGAGCTGGCCGAAGAGGCCGGGCCCAAAGCGGTGCTGATCAAAGTCGACATCAGCAGCGCGATGGACGTCAGCACGAAATACAGCGTGCGCGCCACCCCGACCTTCATGACCTTCCTGAAGGGCGCGAAACTGGACCAATGGACCGGGGCCAACCCAGCCCAGCTGCGCGGCAACGTGCGCGTGCTGGTGGAGATGGCGCATCCCCCCCATCCGCACCGCCAGCTTCGGCTCCCCAGCTTCGAACGCCCCATCACCAACTACGTCACCTACAAGAAAGTGCCGCCGCTCGACAAGCTCGTCCAGAAACTGCAGCCGCACCACGAAGACCCACGTCTCGTCTCCATCCTGGCCTTCCTGAAGCACCGCTCCACCACCCCAACAGCCGCCAACACCCCCCTGCCCCCCTCCCTCCCCTCCTTCGCCAGCTACCTGCAAACCACCCCGGCGCTCCTCCCCCTGGCCAACCAATTCGCCCTCGTCGACCTCGCCCGGCTGCTGTTCCTCGACCCGCGCGTCTCGGGCTACTTCGCCGCCGAAGACCCCTCGCACGCCACCCTCCTCACCCTCCTCTCCCCGTCCACCCCCCTCACCTCCTGTCCCTATCCTCTCCGCATCGTCATGCTCCAGCTCGCCTGCAACCTCTCCACCACCCCCCTCTACCACCCCAGCCACCTCACCCGGACTCCCGCCGGCACCCAACTCCTCAAGACCCTCCTCCACCTCACCACCTCCTCCCTCCTGGACCCACACACCAACCTCCGCGTCGTCGCGGCCTCCCTCGCCTACAACCTCACCGCCGAGAACCACAACGCTCGCTTCGAGTCCCTTCCCGACCCGCTGTCCGAGGAAGACCAGGTCGAGCTGACGGCGTCGCTGGTCGAGGCGATCTCCCAGGAAGAGGAGAGTCAGGAGGCGTTGCATGGGCTGCTCTTTGCGTTGGGGCTGTTGGTGTATGAGGCGGAGAGCGACGGTGCGGTGGTGGATTTGTGTAGGGTCATGGGGATTCAGGAGACGGTAGTCGGGAAGAGAGGGGTGGATAAGGTGAGCGGGGAGGGGTTGATTAAGGAGGTGGGTGATGTTTTGCTGGGGAAGGGGTTGTAGGTGTTTTGATTTTCGGTGGTGAGTGACCTGGTTTGGGGGGGGGGGTACTGTTTTGGGGTAGATGGGTCGATAGATGGGTAGATGTATAGGGAGGGAGGGAAGGAGAGTGAATGGATGGATGGTACAGGCTAGATGTATACTTCGTTCCTGGCTACATGGTTATACGTTATAATGTATTCTGCTGATTCATAGATAGAAATAGGTTAATCACTTCTTCATCATTATCGTCACCACCACCACCACCACCACCACCACTACTACTATCCTTAGTGTCTTTTCCACTCAACTCAAAGCTACATCTTTTCATATCATATTCCCTGGATACCCATCCAAGCACCACCCCCCAGCTACTACACCCCAGCTACTACACCCCAGCTACTACACCCCAGCTACTACACCCCAGTACACCAGAGCCAATACCCCATCTCCATCCCATCTCCGCCCCAAACCTTCCCCAGCAAGTAAGCTACCTTCTTCTTCTTTCTTCTCTTTTCTTCTCTTTTCTTTTCTTCTCTTCTCTTTTCTTCTCTTTTCTTTTTTTTTTTTTCCCTGATCCTTTTAGTCAGATCCTGTCAGACCAAGACTACCGTGGCTGGCTGGCTGGCTGGCTGGACTACTTTCTTTTTCTCCTTTCTTTTTCTCCTTCCTTTTCTTTTTTCTTTTCTTTTTTTTTTGACCCTTTTCCGTATAGTTTGCTGTGATGATGTGAGTCAGAGTGATAGTACCTGGCTAGTGGACTAGTACCTACCTACCTACCTACCTACCTACCTATCGATCTATCGATCTATCGATCTGGATAGGTGGATGGGTAGGTAGGTGGGTAACGACCTACTACTTAGCTGGGTAGTGGATGGTGCATAGTGCATAGTGGGTAGGTAGTAGTAAAGCATGTAGCATGTAGCATGTAGCATGTAGCATATCATGTACCCACACTCGTCCAATGGTGACTAGATTACAGATGAGATGAGATGAGATGAGATGATAGATTAGATAGAAACTTCCTCAGTCCTCTGTACCTGAGTATGTATGTATGGATGTATAGCAATATGGCAGTGCTGTAGTTATGGAGTATAATCTCATTATCTATATACTTATTCATCATGGATGGTAGATGGTCTTGGAGTGCAGTCCAGAAAGATTGAAGAAAGTCATGCGCAACAGACAGACAGATAGATAGATAGATAGCTCATTCGTTCTACTAGGCTGCTACCCTAGCATCCATGATCTCACCCACTCCAGGATCTACTACTTGGTTATCTATTAGCCATGATTACAAATATCTACTAACTATAATATACTCCGCACGAGCACGGTACACTCTCTACTACAGACAGACAGACAGCCATGCGGGCGAAGAATTAAGTAGATCAAATAAGGTAGGTAGGTAGGTAGGTAAATAATAGTATACTAAATAGGGTATAAAATAACATTCAGCCGCTGGAAAACGAATTAAGAGAAAAAGGCGCTTAAGCTAAAACCATTACGCTGCAAGTATCCTGGGTATGACGCTGAGCTATGCAAATGCAAAACAAATCCATCTAAAGTCACGCTGGAGCGGTGCTGTGTAACACGCTCGGGGTATGTGGCGAAGAGCGAAGAAAAGAAAGGGAGCAACAAAACAAGAAAGTCACTCGAAAGCGAGATGACACACATACAAGACGGGGTATCTGAACGTCCGACGCTGAAAGGCAGGGGGGAAAAACAGGGAAATAGCCACGATAACAGGAGGGGGGGGGGGCAGAGGCGGGGGGATAATTAATAATAAGAGGAAATAAGTAGAGGAAGGAAGCGGAAAACCGGCAACGCTGAAAAAGAAAAGCAGCTGATGGTTCGGGGCGTCTCTGACAAGTCCCAGAATGGTAAAATCACCACCAACACCATTGCGACAACGCACGAGACAGTGGGAGAGGGAGAGGGAGAGAGAGAGAGAGAGAGTCAAGAAGGTCAAGAGGAGAGGCCCTGACAATGGCGGTGAGGGCGCGAGGACTGATAGGCTCCGCGAAGACAGCAGGGCCCTGTCCGGCGTGCAGAAGGCCGCGAGGAAGAGGGGGATTTCGCTCAATGCGCCGACAGCGACCGCGAAATTAGCTAATCAGGCAGCGAGGGGGGCTCGGGCACCAAATCAGAGGCCGCCCGCCCGCCGCGCCTTCAACTCCGGCCTGCCAATTCCGCCCCGGTTGTCGCGCGTAACCTCGACCCGTGCACGTGCGCGCCCTCTGCCGTCATCGTCGTCGGTCCCATTCGAGAATCATCGGCTGATGCCAGCACCAGAGATAGCGTCTGCTGGGTGTCGATCACAGGGTCGCGTTCTCCCACCAAGGGGAAGAAAGGAAAAAAAAAAAAAAAAAAAAAAAAAAGGAAGGCGAAGGAGGCGACAAGAAGACGTATAAAAAGAAATTAAAATAAAAAGAAAGCACCGGTTAGGCGTGTGGTGGTTGCGTTAGTTGTTCGCATCTGGGAAACTGAATCGCCTGGCTCAGATCGGCGTCGATCGTTCGACAACCCTAATCTCCGGCAGAAACAGACCCAGGTCGGCGTGGGGTGACGAGGCGTGGGGTATCAAGGTATCAGAATGGTTGGTTGTGGTGATGTTACAGGAGACACAGGTTTAAAAAAAGGAAAGGACAGCAGCAGCCGGGGCCTCTTAGGCGCGGCACGCCGTGGCTTTCGACCCCGATGCAGTGCGTCGTTTCCTGTCGGGGACCGCCTTGCGCTTCTTGCGCTTTGCGTTCTCGCGCTCGGCCGTTGCCAGCTGTGCAACCCGCATCGCCTGCTGTGCTCTCGCATGGGCCTGCACTTGCGCCAGGAAACGCGCGCGCTGGGCATCTTCTTCAGCGGCGGCGCGCATCATCTGGATCTGCTGTTCCGTCGTCAGGTCCACCACCCCCATGGGGTCCTGCGCGGCCGACTCCTCGTCGATCGCGCTCTCCGATGGCGCCGCAGACCCCCCGAGGGGGAGGAGATCCTCATCCGACAGGTACGCGCTGGCCGTCGACGCCTCCGACTGGGGACTCAGCAGAGACTCGCGGTTGGGCCACGAGGGGAAGGCGCAGGAGTTGTTCATCTCGTAGCCATTGGAGAAGGAGCACTTGCGGGGGGTGATGTCGAGCAGCGAGTCATTGGGAGAAGGGGGTGGTGGAGGCGGCATGGAGGTGGGCGAGCAGGCACTGCCGTAGCTGAAGCTGAAGGAAACATTCTGGGTGCTAGTGGTCGCCTCACTCAGGGACGAGCGGACACTAGACTGGTTCTGACTCCAGGGGAGAAAGGGATACATGGTGATGGTAGTATCTGCGAGGACGGTTGAGAGTTGAGAGGTGAGAGTGGAGAGCGGAGGTGAATAAGTAGGTCGAGACCCTTGTTACTCTTAGAGTCTGTGGAGAGAGAGAGAAGAGGACCGAGGTAGATATAACTGTGTGGAGGTGGAGTGGAGGTGAAGGAGATCGTCGGAGTCTGGGGGGTCAAACCTCTGAGCGAGGGGAGGGGAGGGCAGTAGATAAAGCTTGGATGGTGGATGATGGATGATAAACTCCGCCGGCAGCGATCAAATGGCGGAGAGCAGATGATGGAGGGAATGTATAAATGGAAGAAGGGCCAGATCGATCGGGGAAGCGCCTAGACTCCCTTGCATCTCCCAACAGATAAGGCGTCGCGGGGGTGGTTGGCAGCAGTAACACTGCACCGCACTGCTTTTTCCTCTTTCCGATTTATTTTCCCAAAGCGAGAGAAATCAATCAGAAAAAGAAAAGCAGGGTAATCGCAGCCGCCCCACCGCCGACAGCCAACAGAAATAAGTACCAGTTGACAAAGCGGCCAGAAGAGTAAATTGGAATTTTCCGTACGCAGAGCATCCACTGGCAACCTGCGTGTCAAGCGCGGCGATCAGGCGGAAGGGGCGTCCCGGCAGCTGTACGATGGAGGCAGACGAATCATCCAGCGGGAGGATGAGCAGAGGAGGTGATGGTGATGATGATGATGGTGGAGACAACCCCAAATCATACGTGTGGGAGGAGATGTCCTGGGGAGGGGGGATGGGATGGGACATGCGATGCGATGAGTCCAGTGGGATAGAGTGACGAACTCCTAGAAAATGAGATCAGTGGGATGGCGAACAGGAAAGAGAGGGAGGAGGGGGGGGGTGGGAAGTACATCTGTTTTATTAAATTATTTTATTCCATTCTTGATTTAGGGAAATGTCGGTTCTTTTTTGTTTTTAATTTGGGGGTGGATTCGACAGAGACAATCTGACAGCAGACCCCGGTCAAGGGGGCGTGGATCTGTCGCGTTTCTTTTTGTTTTCCATTGATTGTGATTATTATTTATTATTTATTATTTATTATTTATTTTCTCGTCGCGCCCAATTCGGTCCACGGGCCGGGGAAGATCGGATTGGGGGGCGAGGCGTGGGGATCAAAGAATGAGTCAACCGGGACGGGGCCCGGACGCCGTTCCATATTCCATTCCCTTTCCCCTTTCATCAGTCCCGATTGGGATTATTGTTAAATCGTAGGAAGGAAGGTACATCTTCACCCCCATCACCTCCAGAGTACAAAGGCTGGCCTGCTGATACGAGTTCGGTCAATATAGGTACGCCCCTTCAGGGACGGAGGAGGCTGAGATTAATCAGAAACATCCCCTCGACTAGTCCGCCGTCCACCACGCCCGCCCCCATCTTCTGACGGAGGTTTCATGTACTTCCTACCCAATGGTCTGGCTAGTGTTGACTAGTTAGAGGCTGTACAGACCAACCTCGAGGTGACGAGGGAGGTATACAGGCAAACAGAAACAGGTATACACAACCCCTCCTTGATGACACGCCCTGCTCCCTTTCACCTCCTGCCAGCCTGCCTCCTACGTAGCTCGAACGCTTTGATCCGCAACCCTTTGGCCCTTGGGCGGTTTGGGTTCTCGTGCGTCGCAACGGGTTCTTGCGGTCTGCCTACAGCAGGTATCTGTCGGTCAGTCCAACCGTTCGTTCAGGCCAACCTTGAACGCTCACCCCCTCCCTGCCTGCAGCTCAAACAGCCAGACCCCTAATTCCCGGACAAATCACGACGCCGCAACCTCACCGCTCCTGTTGTTTGACGTCCTCGCAGCTGCTGGATGGGAATGTCGACATACATCCGCCCGCTGTATGTATGTATGTATGTCTGTATATACATCTGGCGATAACGGGCGGATGGTAGGCAGGTCGTATATCTGGCTAGGTAGGTGACCCAGCAGGTTTCAAACGCGTTTAGGCTTTTCGCGTCCGTCCGTCCCCGGGGCTACCTCCAACGCACCATGCATCCCGAGGAGGAGAGCTGCCACTGCCACAGCCACTGTCACCGTCACCCACTGGCTATCTATCTATCTAGTATCTAGTATCTACCTACCCGTGGTTCTTGATCTGGCGGTCAGTCAGGCAAACACACGACCGCCCCCTCAAGCCTCAAACTGATGGGTGGATGGCATTGTTGGCGGCGGCTGCGGTTCGTTCGTTTTCCTGACAAACGGAATATGTACTGATTGATTGATTGTGGATTGTGGATTGTGGATTGATTATCAATATCAGCTCGTGCCGCGACCGAGTCCGGAAAAACAAATGATGGCGGTCATCCGGTCGGTCGGTCAGGTAAGATGGGTAGGTACCTAACCCGCGCGCGGTATCCGCGGTGGGCCCCGGGTATTCCCTTATGCCCTCCTCTCTCTGCCTTACTGAGTATCGAGTATCTACCTACATGATAAATATCTATCTATCTATTCTGTACGCGTAGTAAGGTCCGTGTCCATCAGGGTTGTTCTTCCGTGTTGTACGTAGTACGTAGGTAGTAGGATTGCCAACAATCAACGCGTTTTATTATTACTATTCTTCTTCTTCTTTTGATCTTTCAACCATGGGGGCATGGCACACCCGCCCCAGGACGGACGCGAACCGCTGTCAACTCCAGACTGGCACCCCCGACCGTCCGACCGACAGACAGACAGGTCGTCTTGGCCTGGAACCGCCCAGAACAAAGAAATCGGTGGTTCCCCGTCGGCTCCCCGCGCGACCCACTGTTTTTGCTACAACCAAGAAATTCAATCAATCCAATCCTAATCCTAATCCTAATCAGAATTCTAATCCTGATCCTACCTTAGTTACGGAGTACGCACAACCCCGAATATCTCTCTACTACACTTTGTCCCTACTAATAGTAAAATGTAAAATTTGATATGATTCGATCTTCGACCCCAGAAACATGGATCTACTATAAGTATGGAGTACGGAGTATGTAAAAGTCACACCAACATCAAACCAACCTCACTGTGACTAATTGACTGACTGACTGATACTATGCCTGCCCTCCCGTTTAACCGTGCTGTGTCTGTGTCTCATCCCCTCAAAAAAAAAAAAAAAAAAAAAAAAAAAAAAAAAAAAAACTCAACTTTGTCCAACCTCATCCCCAGTTTATCCCACCCCATCCTCAATCCCCGAAGTGCGCCCCCAATCTAAGCATCTAACGGCCCCAGAATGCCGCCTCTCCCCCTCCCTCTCACTCTCACTGCCACTGCCACTGTCACTGTCACTGCCGACGTTTTCGCCGTCTTAGATGAGGGCGGGCGGAGGCGGAGTGTCCTCCCCCTCCTCCTCGGATGTTGTCCGCTTCAGCCCGGTCGGCGGTCGGAGGTCCAAGGCTGCTCGTGAAAGGGAACGGGATATTACCGCATTAGGATAACCGCCGCATCGGAAGGATTGAAGGTAGTTAGATGGGATGGGATGGTAAGAGGGTTAGCGAGGCTCTTGTGGCGAGAAACGGATTTCTTCGAGAGCTTAGTGAAGTAGTTAGCCTGTTAGTCAGTTAACTATCTAGACTACTAGCCGGTCAGGGTTGTTGTGGGAGGAAAAGCGAAGATCGCGATTCGCGCCCGACCAACCGAGCGACCGAGCGACCGTTCAGAGGCGAATGCACGGTTAATCAGAAGGGCCGAGACAACGACCTAACTAAGACGGCTAGGACCTCGGCATTGGCGGGGGTGTGCGTTTATCCCCCCCCCCCCCCCTTTCACTTTGACTTACTATGTATCTATGATGTTGGCTGACTGGGGTCAGCTGTCTTGGTTTCAGGTGTTTGTTGTTCCTGTTGCTGGTGCTGGTGTTGGTGTTGGTGTTGGAGATAGAGATCTAGGGCGCAGGGACAGCGTGTTTCATGCTTTGTTCACTGGATGAGTGGAAACAAAGTGCTTGATGGTTGATGCATCCATCAGCTGGTTGTGTGGCATGCAGGTTGACTGGTTGAGTGGTACCTTTGTTCTCTGGGTGTATGTACGTACGTTGGGGGGGGTTTTCTATCTATATCGATCGCGGACTAGGATACCCATGATTGTCATGTCATGTGTGTCATGTTTGCGATCGGTGTATCAGTGTGGCTCCGTACTTCTGACTGTTGAGTGCTGTAGATCGATTGTATGTATGCATGGATGGATGGATGTAGGTACTTTACGGTCAAACGATCTAATTGTAGACGGTGTTGCATATGTACCCCTGGATTTAGCATCCTCGCTTAATTTCCCACTACGCAGGATGGGTTCAGCTTCGATATGCGAAAGAGATGGATGGATCAATGGGATGGAGGCCGGTCAAAGCTTCATTGCCCCGGAGTCCACTGCGCACTATGATCTGAGTCCATCCATAATCAGCTGTCTGTGCTCTGTCCAGCTGTCAGTGCCAGTGTCAGTGCCAGACGCCCGACATAAGTACGACGAGGAGACTATCACAGCGACTATTAGAAACGCGGTGGATCGGGGGATGAAATGCAAGGCGGGTGATTGGCGGCATCAGCAGGACAATGAAACGGCGACAAAGAGTGTGCCCTGAGGCTGGCAGATGGGCGAGTAACCTCCTGGAATTGTGTGGTTGACAGCCAGCCCGGCCAGCCAGCCAAGCCCGCCCTGGCTGGGAGACCGACTTCCAGTCGTCCTTTGAACCTGCCGGGCGGGAAAAGGTCTAGACCGTCGCCGGGACTAATTTCCCCGGGGGCAAAATGATGGTGGAAACCCCCAGCTGGACTGACTGACTGGACTGGACTGGGTAAATTAAGACCGCCTCGATCCGCGATCAATCAATAGTCGCAGATGCCATTCTTGGGTTCGCGGGCTGCGGAACCGCTCTCCGGCGATCGAACCGCCGCCTCGGATTTCCCCACCGCTCGAGAGATCATGACTGATCCTTTCGTCCATTGGCATTGGGCTTCTTAGTTTGGCGGCCATTGGCCCCCCCCCGACAGGGATCGTCGCTTCCCAATTCGGTAGTCTGGAGCATCTACTTCCATCCTAGTCTAGCCACCACGGTAGCCACACTGATGGCGGTACTTCGTTCTACTCCATCTATCACTTTTTTCCCCAGTCACGACGCGGGTAGACCCGCGGAATCACGGTGCGAGATGCCACCCCCCTGTTTTGTTTTTTTCCCATCTTCTTCAGCAGGAACCGCGCCAGGGAAGCCGCACAGGGAGCTCTCCTGGTGGCTGCAGTAGTGCGCTGCGCGAGCCCCCAAGTACCCGGTACTTTGTCTGGTGATACATCCGCCGCCCTGATGTGTGGTGCATTGCGATGACGACAAGGAGACCCGACCGATGACGATTATCTGTCCATTCCTCTGCACATGCGCATTCCACCCAGGCTGGGACTCTGAGCTGCACGTATCCCTCCCCAGCATGTACGTAAAGGCCCTACGCACGTACATCTTCCCCGGGGGGGCAGAAGTACTCCGGACTCCAGATGGGATGGATGTACTCCGTACATACTACTGTAGAATGTACATGTACCGTGTACCTCCTCCCCTCCCCTCCCCACCGAGGCACATCCGCGCCTGCAGCCACAACATTCCAGACTTCCTCGAACCCAATGCCATTCCGATCCAGGCGATCGATCGACTGATTGGTGCACACCGGCCCATCTGCTTATCCCATGATCCCGGATACCCTCCTGCATTTTCCGTCCACCCACAGCTCGTCATGCAAGGCATGCCCCAGCTTACGTACGTTTACGTGGTGAAGAACACAGCTCCTGCTACCCCTCCATAGTCCATGCGCCCGCCAGTCCAGCCCGCTGCTTGCTTTCTATGTACATACATACATACATACCTACCTACACCTACATACTGTACTATCGACCTGTTTGCTCCCACACCACCTTGCAACATACACTTATCTACCGCACACCGTCTGCAGGGACGGTCAACCCCAAAAAGCGGTGATTCACCGCTCCCTCTGTTATTGGCCCTCATGATGCCATGCCAGCGGTTTGTTGGGTACTAGTAGAGAGCAATCAAAGTCGTTGGATCAGCTTTCTCGACTCGTTTGAGCTCCTCAGGCATGGTCGAGTGATGCATCCAGCCCTCGTTCTTTGGGACCTTTGTCTTCCCGACCGGGGCACAATCCCCAATGTGGATGAAACAGTGGAAGGGCACTAGAAGCTAGCACAGAAGATCCAGCAGGGCGGTTTCGGACTCCTCACCTCGCCCATCCTTCCTCCAGCCACGGCCTTGTCCGGAGCTTAAGGTACTTACCTCTGCCGGTGCCCCGGAGCTGGATCAATGAGCATGTATCGACTCTCTGGGGATGGCGATCGTCCCCCACCGTCCTTGGAGCGCTGCACAACACCCAGGAAGGACGGGAGCCCGAGGCTGGGGCACGGATCGTGAATAAGGTGTCCTCCTCGCAGCGGATGTAGCAGACGGATGCCTGGACGCAGTTCCGCCTGCACTGGCTTCCCGGTTTGGAGGGTTGAGCTCCAGTTCCAGCTCCATTCCTGGGCAGGCCGGAGACAGCTTCCCGGGGGCGATCATCGAATGGTGGCTCACATGGGAGCGACCCATCATCTGTATGATGTCGTATCCAGAGTATATTTATAAGTACTCCGTACGGAGTACCGTCTAAGTAACTATAGTACCTACACGGGGGGCCGCACATGAGGTGAGGTGTGGCGGAGACAGGTAGGTGGCTTGAGTCTGCACAGGAACTGATCTCCGGATAGGGACCGTCCACCGCCCAAAGTACATGTGCTGTGTACAGTTGCAACCCTCCAACCCTCCGAACCAACTGGACAGGTTCCCATTCAATAAGTATTCAGACTGCCGATCGGCAAGGCCGAGACCTACCCAAACCGGTTTCTTGGAATGAACATCGCCGTCACCGGTCTCTGCCTCCGTCGTCATTCCTCAAGTCCTCACTCTAACTGTCGCAGGGAAAACACATCCATCTGTCATCGTGTCTGTCCATCTGACCACGATACTGATAGTCGGCGCGCGCGGCTGACGATAGTACTCAATAACCCCCTGCACCTCCGGGCCTGCCGTGCACCGCTGCTATCTATCGATAAGCTCGCACATGGATTGTCCTACGCGACGCGGAGTGACAATGTCATTCCACTCCGCCGGAGTACGAACGCGACGTAGGACGACGGTGCGACATGAATGGGATCGTGCTGACGCTGAGTCGCTGACTCGATGCCCCCCCCAAACCCCTATTTTCTAACGCCATGGACGCGGAGAACTCCGGATTACCTTCTCCGCGTAAGCACGACAGCTGTAAGCAATGATAATGAGGTAGTTAGTAGATACCGACCTACCAGTAGCTTACCGGGGTTATTTATATCATTGGAGCCTCACCCCCTCGTCAGAGCCTCGTATATAATATTACCACCGGCACCATCGTGTAGCTAGCTAATCGGGAAATACCATGTCACTCACTCACTCACTCACTCACAACCTACCTGCCTGTTTGTCTGCTGATTTCCATTCATCCATACGCGAGGCGAGGCGATGCGATGCGGCTCGGCCTTGTAGAAATGATGCGGTTGCTAATGTTTCATCAGGCGGCAAGAGCAGCCAAGCGCGACCAGCCAAGCAACCAAGCAACTTACCCACCCACCCACCGGTCGGATGATGCTATCCACGGGTTCGGGGATTATTGGCGATGGCAGCCACGCTGTTCGACACTGGACAATCGACAGTCGAGTTTTGAATAGCCGATTTACCCCATACTACTTACTTTACTTTTTACCCCCCCCCCCCCCCCCCAATGCATGAATCTGTTCAGGCACGACAGGCACACGTCGCGGGGGCCGCGCTGTCTCATTCTCCCCCATCTTACGGTGGCAAATACTCGATAAATCTGTAAACCCAACTCAACTATCCGCTACATACTTTAGTACTATGTGTCAATCAATAATAGATCCATCCCGCAACCGAGATAGGCGGGGATAAGTAGGTAGCATATGATGTAAATCTTCCCGCCCTCGGTTATTATATATATATATATATATATATACTACGTACTTACTTAGAGTATCAGGGTCGCATCCACATCCGCAACCGCATCCGCACCCGCCCTCCTACCGCCCCCCACCAATCCACCGTGACACCACCACATCAACTTAACAGCTGATAAAAATAGCACTGGTGCTTCAACACTTCATGACCAGTGAATATCATCCGGTGTGGAAAAGTCAGATAGGAGGCGAAAGTGTATACCAAGAGTGATGGATCACACCTGAATTAGTAACCGCAGCAGCAACAGCAACAGCAACAGCAAGCAACAGAAACCGAAACAGTAATAAACTCCGTGGTTTGAATGTAATGTAACCTTCCCCCTCGAATAAGAGAACGTCGGTCGCACAAGACGGAACTCTATGGCCCGGATGGGGATGTGTATGACTTTCTCTTTCTGTTGGGGGTGGGGGTTTGGATTTGGGATCGCTGAGGTTCTACTCCGTAAATCTAAATCTAAATCGGAATCGGAGTCCGAATCTAAATGTGGTTATTATCATGTTACTGATTATGAATTGGATTATAAAATGAGGTGCGTTGGTCCTCCCCTCCTCCCCTCCTTCCCTCCTTCCCTCCCCCGCCCACTTAACGGTTGGTTGGTGGTGATGGGTGGATAGTATTTAGGTGGGAAGGTGGGGGACCAGGCAGATAGTAGATAGTAGTAAGTAGTAGATAATAGATAAGCGCATTATGCATCCCGATTCGCCCCAAATCGGTTGTCGAGAGGGGGGGATGTTCGAGAACGTTTCCATACATGAGACGGTCGGGGGGGGAGGATATGAATGGGTGGTTCGGGGGATCCGATTTGGTGATGTTGTGACGTGATATGATGTGGTGTGATGAGATGGGAGGGGATGGGGCGCCCACTCTCTATCTATGACTTAGATACAGAGTACAGAGTAGCAATGTCGACTTTCTTAGATGGAGCTTGGGTTTGGTGGCTTTCTAGGCACGGGGAGGTAACTACGCTCTAGGGGTCTAGGTAAGTCAGTCCCAGTCCCCTTAGCTGTGCCTCCCATCTATCTACTATGAAGAGAGCGCGGTAGGTACTTACAGCAACCCCAGTCGCGACGACTACCGACACTAGGCAATCAGCGAACGGCAATCAGCACATGCCAAACAGTCAATAATATCCATTGGGTATCCATCCCGCACTGTCTCACTCACAGCCCAGCCCAAACCCAAACCCACTTACCCGACCGTTAACGCATCCCCCCGGCTATCTAATGGCTAAGCTGCAGAGTGCAGGCAGATGGGCTGACCTGACCTGACCGGCTGGATCGGCTAGCACGGAAGCGAAATGGAACAACCAAGGAAGGGCAGAAGGAACGTGCCGAAGACAACCAACCAACTAAACTTACCAGGATGAGACGGCCACCAGCTAACCCACCAACCATCCATTCTGCTTGGCTTGCAGCCTAACACTATCTATCTATCTACTAGATACCGGATACGTAGACAGATAATGAGGGAGTGCCAGTGGGGTGATATCATTCGTTCTATCCTCTACTCCGTGTACTCTGTAACAGTAGACGGTTATCAGGAGTCCTAGTAGGGATCCATTTAATTATGGGGAAGCGCTTTCCGCGCCGGCTTGGGTGGGTGCGCCCACGTGTCTTCGGGGTTTGGGTTATTGGGTGGGTTATTAGGGGGAGTCGTTTACTTACTTAGTGGGTAGATATTGTGGAGACGGACACGGAGACTGGAGGTGAAGCTAAAGCTCAATACCGAGATGGAAACGGAGTCTGTCCGCATCCTTTCGGTTTCGCGTTGTCGTCACTACTGTCTCCAATCCTCATCTATGATCCATACCCCACCTATCTAGTTGATAGTTTAATGAGGATGGGTGCTCCGAGGTATCCAATTTGGAATAAGATGAAGATGAAGACGAGACGGGGAGTCCCGGGATGGATAGCCGATGGGTTCGTTTAGCCGTCTTTCTTTCGGCTCGATGTTTTTCTTTTTCCATTTTTGGAAATGGAAGGCGATTTTCCACCAACCAGGCTGCGTGGGAGTGGAGTTGGGGGGGAATTCTTTGTTCCAGGAGATGTCCAGAGTCTGAATATGCTGTTTCTAGCTAGGGAGTATACTCCATAGCTCATAGCTCATAGCCATAGCCACCTCCTCTACCTCGACGGAATGGAATACTGAGACACCATTCGTATACCCACCGCCCCTTAGGTAGCTACGACACGCCCAGACCCATCGCATCTCAGCGGGCCTCAGCCCAATCAGTCCCCTAACTACCCCATTTTCCAAACTTCGTCTCCCACCTTCCAGAAAAATCCCAGCCATCCACAATTCCACCCCCCCCAAGCTAGCTTGGAATCTGGATAGATGCTATCTACCAACCCGCCGGCCGGCTAATTGCATCCCGGCCCTGCCGTGTCACCGCAACCGTTTATCCTGCCGCCGCGGCGCGAGCGGCACGATGCCGCGGTGTCGAACTGGCGGTGAATTGGACTTGGATTTGGATTTGGGGTTGGCGTTGGGGTTGGTAGATACTTGGTGATCGACATGCAATACAGACAGCACTAACAGACAGAACAAAGACGGGTGCTGTCTCCCTATGTATGTATCTACCTACTTGAGTACTAGGTTGTAACTAGTAGCGACGGTTGGAGCTAACTACTAGCTACTAGCTACTATCTAGTATTTAGGATATCCATCCATCTATTATATCGTAAAGTACTTTTGTTTCTACTTCTGTGGCACACCTACTTAAGTATAAGTAACCCATTGTCTTTGTCTTTGACTTTGTGGAGATGGCAGGTGGCAGGTGATAACTTAACTTCATCCATCCCCTTCCAGTTCCACGGATGAGTAAGTATCCTTTGGATCGCCGGATCATCGATCGCTGGATCCGTGGTTCTTTCCGTCCCCCCGTCTGTCCGTTTTTCCCTCCGTCTGTCCGTTTGTCCCTCCGTGTCCGACTCTCCGATCCTCCGCTCCGCTTCTTTGTTCTTGATGGAGTACAGGACATGGATTGTGGTGACGATCGACATGCGTCCCGTCCGTGGTAGGTAGGTAGGTAGGTAGGTAGGTAGGTAGGTAATTAGCTGTTGAGATAGTGTGATACTATATCCCGAGGACTTACAGTAAGGGCCAACGGGCTTATCTATCTTGATTGAGTGCTACGAAAGAAGTACGTTAGGGGCGGTGTTACGTATGGCATGTCGTATAACTATACCCGGCGGAGAAATATCACATACTATACTTACATACCTACATACTTACAGGTGCAAGTCCATGCACATCGAGATCGATAGATAGAAGCAGATTTTCCGTATATATGTGCAGTCAAAGTCAAGCGCTGCATGCATCGCTCTGCGACCTAGTTATTTTTTAAGTTCTGGGTTGGGATTAAACAAGGAACTTGGGGGGTCTGTAATTAGATCTTGGATCTGGGTTGTTAGTATTCGTCAAGTATGTAGGGGTTTGGTGAGCGGTGTGAGGAGTCTTTCTGTCTGTTTGTCTGTCTATCTATCTATTTTTTTTTACCGGGTTTGGAGGTGGTAGGTAACAGGTAGCAGGTAACAGGTGACAGGATTGGGATTGATGCGGTGGTGGGTTGTTGTTTTCTTGGTTATCGTCTTGGACTGTTGGACGGTGTGCACGGGGGACTTGCCTACCTGGGTAAGTGTAGATGTAGGTGTAGATGTAGGTGTAGGTGTAGGTGTAGGCGTTGGCGTTGGTGTTGGGATTTTCGCATTGTTGTTCCCCTTGACCGTTTACTCGGGACTGGGATCTTGGGGATCAGATGAGATGAGATGGAACGGGCGGTTGAAAGAGGGGGGAGGTGAGCTGAGCTGAGCCGAGCTGTTCTGTGTTGGGTTTGTCGATCACATCAAGCTTAATCATATCATATCAAATTAAACCAACCCAAGTCAAATCAGGTTGGATCAATTAACCTCGGCTGACAGCTGAAAATGAAAGCCGGCTGGGTCGGGATGTGCGGTGCGCTAGGGGACTTTAAGCTTACATCCCCGGACATGGGTTCGGCTGTTGTTGGGTCTGGAGGTGATAGTACTGGCTCGTTTTGGGAGGTTTGGGGGTTTGGGATGGGGATTAGGGCTGTGGACGTCATTTCTTGGCTTTTGGGGGGGAGGGGGCATGGTGGTGGGATGTTTCTGTTGGACGGTGGTTTCGTGGGTTGTTAGATGAGTGGGACAGTGTAGGCGGGATTTGGATCGATTCACAGGGTTGTTCTAGTGGGTTGAAGCTGTTATAGGGGATGAGTAGGAGAAGGGGAGACTGGGCTTGGATTCGTCCGGGGATGAAACAAGCATTAAATGATCTTGATAGTTGTTGGAAGTTATATTATAATGTAAGGATTCAAACTTGTATCCATAGAGACTTAAGATGTCGTCGTGAACGCTTTTAGAATTCTAATCTTTCAAGTAATATAACATCAGATGGAGCTATGGAGGTCTTTTCTTTTGTATTATACCAAGGGTAATAATGACAAAACAGAGGAGTAAAAGATGTCAATCAATTCCTGATAGCGCTCAATGGAACAAATGTTATATTCGCCCAATATATCTCCATCCAGAAAGCAAGAACTTAACAAAGCTTCCAAGTCTACAACGACGGGATGGAAAATCTGTCGTACATGTCTATCTTCTGTGTAGACGCGCCGCCATTTAGACCGAGCAGCGAGCACCAGTCTGGCCTCAACGATGGAAGAAGCGTACACGTCATAGCACCGCAAAAACCACAATGATTGCGAGTGCAAAGGACAGTGGGTATGTCTTGTGCAATTGGAATAGGAAGAGACATCCAGTTTCCAGTCAGCTGGCAAGCGTCGAGGTGTTCAAGATCTATTTCATGAGGAAATATCCTCCTTGCCATATACAATTCTATGTGACCTGTCCCTGGGTAACATGTGTTCGCTTTCGAGACTTGAATTCCCCAAGATTTGACGGATGGAACTAACTTGTGAACATTTGATAATGCATTACAGAAGTATGAAGCGGTCTAGACTTTGAGCTACCGATGCTGTATCTGCCTCCGGTCGGTTTGTCCACAGCAAGCCATGGCAGACAATTGGGATGATAGTTGCTTGATGACATTCACAGTGATATTTGGACAGTTCAAAGTCCACGCCCTGATGATAAATGCTTTGTCCTTTTGATGGTCATGGGCTATGGGCAGGTAAAGGATAGATTGGCAGTGGCAAACCTTTCAGTTAGAGTTGAAGCACAGGGTTTTTTCCCCGTAAAGGTGAAGGCGACTGTCAGGAATAAGTGAAGCTGAAAGCACAGCAGATATCATCAATGATCTAGGTATCATCAGTCTATATAGAGGAAGCCACGGTGAAAGGACAAGGTCCTGGTTGATAGTCTGCTCTACTGCTTACAACCAGAGACGATTAGTCCAGCACCCTGTTTATTGATGAAGAAGCCGATATGAACCATAGCAGCTAAATCAACGTTGGTTCTTATCACTGGTACTATCCTTTTGATAATCGAATAACCAGTAATTGATCTAACAGCCTCAAGGTGCAAACCAAGGCATTGGATGTGAGACCGCCAAAGATCTCCTGGTTGACAACTACTGTCGTCTGGGGTTCTCGAGACCCGGTGAAAGGCGAAGAAGCCGCCACGACCTTGCAAGCAATCCTCGGTATCGAAAATGGCGTATCCTCGATCCAGACTGACGTTCCCTGCGACAGGTTCTAGGACGACGCTTCTGCCCCGGTTAGATCTCAGTATGGAAGACTCGACGTTCTGGTGAACAATGCTAGGATCAAGGTCTTGGCGAAGTCACCAGACCGGGAGGCCTTGCGTAAGATCGTGAATGTGAACGTCGTCGGCGCACTCAGCACAACTGAGGCGTTTCTGGATACACTTCGCCTGCCTTCTGAGAGATGTCTCGTATTTGTTTCATCCGGCATGGGATCCATCACACACGCAGCAGACCCCACGTCTGTTCTCTATAGCTCTCAGATGACTGAAAATCGGACAAGCAAGGCGGCAGTGAACATGATGGTCATGTGTGTAGCGCGATTGAGGGACGAGGAGTTCGAAGTTGTTTGCAGGAACCCGGTCTCACTGAGCATCTGGGGTCTTTGCGACAGAGAAATGTGGCAGAGCCAGCCGGCGGGGACCAGAGAGTTTCGGTGGCGGTCAAGGAGGAGAAGGTCGCTGATGTGGAGAAGGTCCTGGGGGTGTATGGGGCAGGCCCTTTTCGATGTTGAAGACCTTTGAGGCCATGACCTTGTAAGAGTCAGTGCAAATGAGTAGAAAGTAGAAGCAAGGCTGTTCCTGATGAGTCATGCCTGAGTCATCACCGCGGGGGAAACGGTCGGCGGTGAAGCACCCGCGAAGGCCGCATAATGAACAACTAAAAACTTGTGGTTCGCATCCACATGCCACCACCACGGTTGCCCCTCGTTTGCCGGACGCTCTCGCTGCGACGTTTCAGTCGCTCTGCTATCATGGAGAGTCGCCAACAGCCTCCCTGGCAACAGCCGCCAGCTCACCCCGACGCTCGTCTGCCGCCCCTCAAAGTCTGGAACTCCCTCACTCGCTCCAAGACCCCCTTCGTGCCTTTGGACCCCAAGGGCCGCAAAGTCACCTGGTACGCCTGCGGTCCTACCGTCTACGACGATGCGCATCTCGGCCATGCCAGAAACTATGTCAGCACCGATATCCTGCGTCGAATCCTGCGGGACTACTTCAAGTTCGACGTGGAGTTCGTCATGAACATCACTGATGTTGATGACAAGGTATGTGTCATTGCCCTCCGGGTATACCAGTCTTGAGGATTGACGGTGTCGCTCCCAGATCATCCTCCGCGGTAGACAACAGCATCTGTTCAACAAGTACATCACGGCGCACCCCACGATCACTCCCGATGTCCTGGAAACCGCCCGGCTGGCATACAGCTCCTACATCAAGAAGAACCTCCCATTGGTCGACCCCGAAACGAAACCGGAGAACTTTGTCGCGGAAGCGGAGAAGGTCTATGGGGTGGTGCTCCAGGGCGGTGCTCTGGAGGCAGACAAGAAGCCCGGTGATGCGGAGGTCAAGATCAAGATGCACGTGAAGACCGTGACTGCGACGGCGTTGGCGATCGTCAAGGCCGACAAGAACTCTGCCAGTGATGCGACTGCCAGCCAGTCCTTTTACGATGCCACTCAGGATGTCTTCTGCTTCTATCTTGACGTCACAGAAGGGGCTACGATTCCCGGAGATGCCCATGAGATCTTCACCAAACTCACGAAGAAATACGAGGACCACTTCATGCGGGATATGCGGGACCTTAACGTTCTTGACCCCGATGCTATCACCAGGGTCACGGAGTACGGCCAGCAGATCGCTGACTTCGTCGAGAAGATCGTCGCAAACAAGTATGGCTACGTGACGTCGGATGGCTCTGTCTACTTCGACATCAAAGCTTTCGAAGAAGGCGGCAACCACTACGCAAGACTGGAACCTTGGAACCGCAACAACCAGCCCCTGCTGAGGGATGGCGAGGGCGCCCTGTCTCGGGCCACCGAGAAGAAGTCTCCCGATGATTTTGCCCTCTGGAAGGCCTCCCGCCCGGGAGAGCCCAGCTGGTCCAGCGTCTGGGGTCAAGGACGCCCAGGCTGGCACATCGAGTGTTCTGCCATGGCGTCGAGCTGCCTGGGAAGCCAGATCGACATCCACTCCGGTGGCATTGATCTTGCGTTCCCTCACCATGACAATGAACTCGCACAGAGTGAGGCTTACTGGTGCGAGCACAAGCAGCAGTGGGTCAACTACTTCCTGCACATGGGCCATCTTTCCATCCAGGGCTCCAAAATGTCCAAATCCCTCAAGAACTTCACCACCGTCAAGGATGCCCTTGAGCGCGGTGACTACACTCCCCGTAGTCTGAGAATAGTTTTCCTGTTAGGTGGGTGGCGCGACGGAGTGGAAATCACCGACGAGCTCGTGAAAAACGCCTCCTCCTGGGAGGACAAGCTCAACAACTTCTTTGTCAAAGCGAAGGACCCGTCTAGTTTCCGGGACTCCGCAGAGGCCACCAATTCTTCATCCGAGACTTTGGCGCAGGCCCTCAAGTCCACACAGGAGAAGGTCCATGAATTCTTCTGTGACTCCTTTGATACCCCGAAAGTTCTGACTGCTATTTCTGAGTTGGTAACGACATTCAACGCACTGGACAGCCACACCTTGGATCGCAAGGTGGCCGAAGACATGGGCACATGGGTCACCCGGATTGTCACTATCTTCGGTCTCAATGGCGCTGCTTCCCCTGACAACTGCGGAATCGGTTGGGAGGGCACCGACATCCCCGAAGCAGCCAAGCGCTTCCTATACCCCCTTTCAGCCATGCGTGACTCCTTGCGCCAGGCCGCGATGTCAGGCACCCAGATCACCTCTGAGCAGGTGAAGGACGTCATTGACACCAGCTTGGTCAAGGACGCAGCCGTGTCTGATTCATCCAAGCCCTACTCTCAAGTTCTAGATGACTTCGCTTCGCAGATTGCTTCTCTGAGCCTGGAAGAACCCAAGAGCGCATCCAAGCAGATCCTTTCGCTGTGTGACCGCCTGCGTGACGTTGAGCTTTTCAACCTCGGGATTTACTTAGAAGACCGCGAGAATAAGCCCGCCCTCGTGCGTCCTGTCACCAAGGACATGCTCCAGGCCCGCGAAGAACAAGCCCGCAAGGCTTTGCAGAAGCAGCTCGAAAAGGAAAAGCAAGAAAAGCTGGCCCAGGAAAGGCTCGAGAAGGGCAAGCTGAACCCTGTCGAGATGTTCCGTACTAGCGAGTACAGTGCCTGGGATGAGGACGGCCTCCCAACAAAGGACGCGGCCGGCGAGCCTGTCCCTAAAAGTAGGAGCAAGAAGCTTCGGAAGGACTGGGAACGTCAAAAGAAGGCGCACGAAGCCTGGCTTGCGAGCCAACAAGGGAAATGATAGACTACGATTCAATGAAGTACGTAATCCGTTTTGGTTGATCCAGCGCGGTTGGAGCTTTTCAGTTCTTTTCATTTTGGCAATCATGTAAAGATCCGGTCTGATATAGGAGATTTGCTGTTCCGCGTAGGCATTCAGACACATTTTGGCAAGTTCGGTATTCGAGATTAGCTGATGATGAAGGAGGAAAGCGGCTGAGTCTTCAGAGACACTCTGAATCCAAACATGGAGCAAGGCCCATTCAAAGCAAAGAACATTCGACACAAGGCATTTGACACAAGGCATTGACCACAATGCATCTGACACCAAGGACCCAGATAGTCCCTGCTGCAAGTATCGATACCTCCACATTGCACCTGGGTAGTGCAGCATCTTTGAGATCTTCGAAGTTCACTCAAGCTCTCATTGCTAGTAGAGGCACACCCACTCCCTCTTAGCAACCTCAAACCCCGGACAATTATACGATACAAATTTCACGATTCTTATCTTTATTCCGCACTCGATAGTCAGAGGCGGAATCAGAACCCTCCTTCTCTCAACCTGGTTACGATGGCAAAGAGGAAGAGCAAGGGAAACAAAACTCGCAATGAACCACAAAGTACAGAGAAAAGTCCCTGTTCCATTCCACCAGAGCTGGTCCCTACGAAGTCTACCAGTAATGACATCTGGTCCATCTGGTCTAACGTTTCCAGGTCTGACTTTTGTGCAATTTTGAGCCTTTCTAAAAAGCAGTGCGTACATGTCCACAATTTCTTCATATGCAGCCGCTCTGGTGAGACGTTGGGTGCTGGACAGGATTGGGGAGCCATCGAACTAAGAAGTAGCCTTCGTCGAGCTTTCGAAAGACTTCCCTTCAGTGATTTATACCTATCATTTGCAGAAATCAAGGCGCAAGTCTACGGGCAAGATTACTTCAGGTCCTACGATGCTGCCGCCATAGTCTTGGATCTTATTTCTCGCTACCGGAGCGATCCAATGTCGCTCACCTTGGACTTCAGAACAGCGATGTCGCCGGCTATAAGTCCAGAAATGATGAGTGATATTGGACGGATGAAAGAGATAGAATTCGACTGAGACCACTTCAGAGAACTGTCTGTGTACTTTGATGCGAATGCCGGAGATCTATGCATTGATTTGCTACAACAATTTGAACATGGCGTTTGTATGTTATTTCCCTGGTTGTAGTTACTCTGATAGACGTCTTCATGCATGGAAAGATGCCTTCATCTTGACCGGGGCATATTGGGCATAGACATGTTGAAATCCTCAGATACAGAAACCACTGTACATAGTCCCCGCGCTGTCTTTAGCTATGGCAACCCCTCGACACGATTGGAAGGGATCAATCACATCAAGAATCTACGGGCTTGTCGTCGATGCGAAACAGCAAATCTGAAGGAAGATTCACGGGGTGTTTCGCCCCCGGGTCACCTGCGCCTTCCTCTTCCTCTTCCCCTTCCCTTTTTCTTCCACTGCCACTTCCCCCCCTGCATCTTCCAATCTTTCCGTCTTTCCATCTTCCCATCGGCTCATCGGCTCATCTGCCCAACTGCCCACCCACCCAGAGTCAGACCAGTTCGGTACCTGCTGATCCATTCCCTGACCCACCGTTCGTGGGATGCGATCCACTGAAGCAATCTGCCGAAACACATGGGTGGCTTTTGCTGCCGGTGGAACCACCGAGGTATACTGGACTGTGCACGACAACAGCTTGCCAGATCACCGCCCCTTCTTGGCTTAGTCTTCTGATAGCTTCGAAGATGCTATCTGGAGCTCTCACGCGTCCTGACAGAATGGCGTAGGGTGTGAAACACGTGTCATGCCACCACCTCTTCAGCTACACTCATCACTTGTCGCGTATCATGTTACTGAGGTTCACAGGCACCAGCGATCGAGAGAAAGAAAAGTCAAGCTGGGACAGCCGTTGCCTATTTGACAAGGAATGAACAAATTCAAGGGATAGTGATTGTGCGAAGATCCAATCTCAACACCCAAGACCTCGAATCTTATCAATCAACGCGGTGGTTTGGAGGAAGCCTAAATGAAACAGGCAACCAATTACTGGGAGGCTAAAAGGCACAAGGAACCTGCGGTAATTATGACATTCGTCGTCCCCCAGACCCTTAAAAACGCGAGGCGCTGATTCCGGTGGTCGTAACAATGGCGTAGTGGCAGCCTGGCGAGATAACGATGGCGAACATCACACCACGTCGACTTGCCCACTTTCAAACCTATACAACACAACGCCCCTCCCCCCTCCCTGCAAACGACGTCACAACAACCGAGTAATGGCCATATTTCACCTGCATGTGTCCCCTGAAGCCAGGCGGCAAAAAATACAGAGTAGGATTAACGATACCCACGCCCTGGCCGAAATGTGCCTGCATGGCCCCGTTCAGCCTAAGCAGCTGTCGAAGCTAGGGATCCACGCCGTTCAGGTGTCGCTGCTCAAAAACGACCTCTTCAAGTTCAAACCGTGCTTTTTCTTGCCTGCTCCAGCTCAAACGATACGGACTTGTCTTCGGGCCAAATCTCATGACGAGCTACAGAACGCTGTCTCTGACGATGAAAAGACGGACTCTCGAGGAAGCTCGGATTCATCCATAAGCAGGACCCTTGTCACACAATACTCTCTCATCGTGGATAGTCGTTGCGATAAATTACCGACCGCTATCAGAAGTAACCTCTTCTTGGATAACCTAAGTTCCCTTCGGGAATGCGGGTGGGTGTTGTGTCATTTGGTTATTTAAGCGAAGAGGCTGACACGGTGCTTAGGGCGACATCGAAAGGGAAATGGCGATACCAACCGGATTTGGAGTTATCAAACCATGAGTTCGATACCGACCACTGGGAGATCCTCCACCTTTTCGAGGATGCCGAGCATGAACTGTCTCATATTATATTTGATCTTCGCCAGGACCTAGATGTCGACAAGACGGAATATCTCACGGCGGGTGAGATCAAGGCGATTCTCAGAGTCATGACAGTCCGGATGGGACTGGCCTGCTATCATGAACATGTCTTGATGCCAGTAAGCTCTTCCCATGCTACCTTGCTACTTTCGGTCGCCCATTGCCCAGGGTTTACCTGACAAAAACAAAACCAGATCCTGGTGGTGTCGTACTTAAATTCAAAACAAGGACGCATTCTCCAAGCACATCACGATGGTAGGAGCGTGATCATCCAGTATACGCCGCTGTTCAACTTTGGGGGGCTTGCATATGGGCCGGTCGAACTCTTTCTCCGCTACTACTGCAGCCGGCCCGCGGGAATAGCGATCAGTAAATAAGAGCAGTAAGGATCGAGTATCAAACCGGAATAGAACGATTGTATGTCGCAGAGTATCAGATCCCGAGATACGACCAGGGATCTAGACCGTCGGCCGCATTGCACTAACGCGTTATCTCCCCCATCCCCCGCCTGGTTATGAATTACGCACTCGATAGGATTGTCGCATCCAACCAGGAACCCTTGACAGTCTTATCAATTGCTACTGTTGCACGCCAAGACACACGTGGGTGATAGCTGCAGAACCAAACCATTGGAGTACGAAATCCTGTTGGCTCTGGGCCGCTGGCAAATTGTCCGAAATATTCGGTGCCGTCGCCGAGGGTTGGTTGGCTGGCGCATCCTATCAGGCTATCGCAGCCCTCGCATGTCTCCGCATCCCGGGTGCTGATTGTCAGATATCTCGGCCGTTATCCAAGATCTATCGAGGGGACACGATTCTTATCAGTCTGATGCCACTGCCCAGCCGCTAGGGATGTTCAGGTGTCACCAACTGAGGCGATAAGGAGCCCTACTGGGCTGATCAATTACGGAGTAACTTAAGAAGAATGAATCATCTCCCACGATGTCTGCCTCTGTGTCTTGCTCTTCCAGAGTCATCATCGTGCTGATCGCAGCCGTTCTCTGGCAAAATGGCCTCCGAAGAGCCTCTCGAGAAGACGTTCAAGTCCCCGCAAGTCACTGCGGATTTTGAGATCGAACAAGGGCGTTTTGACGAAGTAGAGCCCGAAGAAGAGCAAGAAAAAACCGAATATGGCTATGAATCAGAACACTCGCCTTTTCCTGAAGGTTGGTAACTTCTACACAAGCTGTGGCCTTTCTAATATGCGAACCATCAGTACGCGCCGTCGTCCCTGAAACGGACGATCCAAGTATGCCCGTCAACACGTTTCGCATGTGGGTTCTTGGGTTCATCTTCACCATAGTGGGATCCGGCATCAATCAGTTCTTCTCGCTACGATATCCCTCAGTCCATATTGTGTCACTAGTCGCAGAGTTACTGGCCTATCCATGCGGTGTCTTCCTTGCCAAAGTCTTGCCCCTATGGACTATTAATCTGGGATGGCTGGGGACTTTCACCCTTAATCCCGATCGCGAGTTCAACATCAAAGAGCACGCCCTGATCGTGATTATGAGCAATGTCTCGTTTGGCTATGGAAGCGCAGACTCGACGAACATCATCCAAGCATCCAGCGCCCGGTTCTACAACTTCGGTCTGTCAGCCGGATTCTCCGTCCTGGTGGTTCTCTGCGCACAATTACTGGGACTCGGGGTGGCTGGCCTGGCTGCTCCATGGCTCGTCGAACCTGCAAAAATCATCTGGCCCCAGGTATTATCCAACTGCGCCATGCTGGAGACTCTCCATAAGCGCGGAAACACCCTCGCCAACGGTTGGAAGATCTCCCGTCTGCGCTTCTTCCTCTACGTGACCGCAGCCGGCTTTGTGTGGTACTTCTTCCCAGGCCTGATGTTTACTGCGCTCTCATACTTTACCTGGATCTGCTGGATTGCGCCTCGCAATGTGGTCGTGAATCAGTTATTCGGGATGCAAACAGGCTTGGGATTGAGTCCTATCACCTTCGATTGGAGCCAAGTCGCGTACAACACCAACCCTCTCCTGTCCCCATCATGGGCGGCAATCAACGTCTTCGCCGGATTTGCCATCTTCTTCTGGATTGCCGTGCCTGGAATCTACTACACCAACACCTGGTTCACGGCCTATCTTCCCCTGATGACTGCAGACGTCTACGATCGAACTGGCTCGGAATATGACACAGCCCGTGTCATCAGTGCAGACAACACTCTCGACGTTGAAGCGTACAGGAAATACTCCCCCCCATACCTACCGGCAACCTATGCCTTCGTCTACGGGCTATCGTTCGCCTCCATCACCGCCGTCCTCACCCACATCGGTGTTTGGCACGGGAAGGAAGTCTGGGCTGCCCTGAAGGGCAAGAACAAGCTGGACATACACGCCCGACTGATGAAATCCTACAAGAAGACCCCCTGGTACTGGTACGCCGCCATCATCGCAGTCATCACCGCCATCGCCATCGTCATGGTCGAAGTCTACCACACCGACCTCCCCGTCTACGGCGTCTTTCTGGCTCTCATCATCCCCGCTATCTACATGATCCCTTGCGGAATTATCCAAGGCATCACCAACGTCGATGCCAACCAACTGAACGTCCTCGCCGAATTTGTCGGCGGCTACATGTTCGAGGGCAAGCCCCTCGCCAACATGATCTTCAAGATCCTCAGCACCGACGTCGTCGGTCAGGGTGTCTACTTCGCCATGGACATGAAACTCGGCCATTATCTGAAGATCCCCCCGCGCACACTCTTCATGGCCCAAGGCCTCGCCACCATCCTTGGGGCTCTGACCCAAGCTGGCGTCACCATCTGGATGCTTGGCCACATCACAGACATTTGCTCTTCCTCCCAGTCCGACGGCTTCACCTGTCCCAATGGCCGAACCGTCTACTCCTCATCTGTCATCTGGGGCCTGGTTGGTCCTCGTCGTCTCTACTCCGCCGGTCGCATTTACTCCTCCCTCCTCCATTTCTTCTGGATCGGTGCCATCGCCCCACTAGTCACCTACTTCCTCTACAAATACACCCGGCAGCGCGTCTGGAAGTACATCAACTGGCCCCTCATCTTCGTTGGAACCTACAACGTGCCTCCAGGTAAGGAACCGCCCAACCTTCCCCTTCCCCTTCCTCTTCCTTTCCCCTTCGTCCTCCCCCCATTCCCCCATTCCCCCACCTATCCCCATCCCCAACCCAAGAGCCCCAAGCTAACCCCACCTCCCCTCCCCGCAGCAACCGGAATCAACTACTCCAGCTGGGCCCTCGTAAACTTCCTCTTCAACCACATCATCAAGAAACGGTTCTTCCCCTGGTGGAAAAAATACAACTACATTCTCGCCGCCGCGCTGGACACCGGTCTGGCCCTCAGCGGCATCGTCATCTTCTTCTGCATCTCGTACCCTGGCGCCGTGTTCCCCAATTGGTGGGGGAATACCGTTTACCTGAATACCGCGGACGGGGAGGGGTTGCCGTATAAGTCGATGCCTGAGGTTGGGTACTTTGGGCCCGCGAATGGGACGTGGAGTTAGTATGTTGGTGAATGTTATTATGTTCGGGAGTGGGGGTTGTTTGTACCCTCTGTAATCTGTACTGATATTTGATTGATGATGATAATGATGGTTATGACTATGATGTGCTTTGTGATATGGCGATGTCTCGGGTGCTCTTGTTGGCTTGTATGTGTAATGGAGCTTATATCAGAGACCTGTGTTAATAGAACCTTGTTAAGAATTTTAATAAATAAGTGTGGTTACAGGAGGCCTATTAAAGCACCATTCAATGAAGACATCTACATGAACGTAGGGCTTGCTAACTGATTCATTGCGCAAGTTTATTAGATACATAGCCCCTCATCCCACCGATAAGATCCGAATAACAGTGGTAACATTAAGAACAAAACGCACTAAAAAGACATATCCGAAGAACAGCAAGGGGAAAAAAAAGCGAAAGCTTGAAACTCGAATCCAACCGGCAGACCCTGAGTGCGTAAAGATTGGCCGAGTGGCCGACCAATGTCAGCCCCTGCAGTCGATACGATTGACCCACTCTTTACAGTCGAGCCAAATGTAGCACGGAGAATTTACTAGGCAAATCAGTCCCAATTCCTATCGACTCGTGTCCGGAGAACTCACAGAAATCTCAGCCATGCCGAGGTCCTCGCCACCGGTGGCGGGCTGCTGCTGGACAGCGGGCGCAGCACCCTCGGCAGGACCGTTCTCGTTGGTTGCGAAGTAGTCCATCATCTCAGCGTCAAGCTCCTCGACAGTCTTGGGCTTCGGGCGGTTGGCACGGGCCGGACGACGAGGGCGGCTCTTGCGTCCCCGGGTGTTGTCGTTGGCCTTCGTGGCGGTAGCGGGCTTGGGTTGGGGTTTGGTTTGCCTGGTTGAGTCAGTCGCAATGCATGTCATGTGGAGCCTCAGGATACTTACGCAACACGGTCGCCCAGGGGCTTGGCCGCGGGGACAGCGGGGGCGTGGGAAGCGTCGACGACGACCTCAATCTTGGGAAAGTTAGTACACAATGTCGATATTCATATCCAGCAGACTCACCTTCATGGGCCTACTATCGACCAACAGTCCGTTCAACTCCTTGGCAGCCTTAGCAGCGGTGTCGGGCTTGCTGAACACGATCGAGGCAATGCCACGGCTCGTGCCATTTTGGTTGTAAGTAAGCATCACACGCTTAACGGGACCTGCAGACTTTGTGAAGTATTCCTATAGCACCAGGAGACCGAATTAGTATGTCGAGTCAACAAGTTGCAGAAGTCGTAAGAATTCCCGCATATCCAGAAACTCGAGAACGCGTAACACCGGCTTCAAACGCGAAACCAAGGAGCACCAGCGAGCACACAGCGGCGATTAGTAGTCAGTAGATGGACGGGGTCCAAATACGAAACTGGGATACCCAGATCACCGAGTCGAGACCCATTCCCTCATGGTCCTAGCTAAATGCACCTTCAAGCCTAGAGACTTGCACCAGTTATCCTTGTCCAACGAATCCGCCGATCAATCGACTTAAACCTCTCCACTATTGGGAAGACTTGGCCTCGGAACCTGCCGACTGTAGTTGCACACTACGCCGGCGGATGGTCAAAGGTCGCCAAAGACCACATGTGCGGCAGTTGAAAGGTTCTGTTCCCCCAGATTCCCGCATCGAAACCGAGTATAGGACAAGTGAGGCATAGCTTCTCTCCAACAGATCGCGATGGGAATGTCTCCTGCCCAATCTCAAAGACATTCCGCACGTCGCTCTGTGGTGGCATGATGCTCGATGGTGGATCGATTCGCCGAACGGATCGGTCTACTGCTGGTTCGCTGATGCGCTCGCTGATGCCCAACACCTCGACATGTAGAATTCGCATAGGTGCGACCAATCGGAATGGCTTCAGGATGGCGTGCTCCAACAACCATCCAGGGCACAGTCTGCAGCGTGGCTCCGCAGGCGGGTAACTGAGGGACCCGCCCGAGCTAACACGCTTTTCGCAAGACTACGGCAGAACTCAACTTCGGCGGATTCGCAAGATGCCAGCGTGCAATCACCACGTGCGAAGGAGTTTACTGCCTGTGCTGAAGACCCAAATCCACGACGGTGATATAAGAATAACGTGGCAAAGGTCGAAACGCGAGTGGAAGCCGTTGCGCCTCGAAGGTTTCGAGAAAAAACATGGCGAGAGAAACCCAAGGCCAAGGCCTTTCGATCAACATACCTTGATATTGGCCTCATTCACATCGGCAGGCTGAAGCAGTCAGTATACACAGCCACATGGAACAAAGAAACAAAGGCTGGGTGTGAAAGAGGTGGCACATACCAAGCCGCTGACCATGATCTTGCTCTCACGGGAGACGGGGTGGTGTCCATTCTGGACGGCCTTTCCAGCAGGCTGGGGGGCCCTGGTGCTCTTCTTCACTCCTCCGACCGGCACAGGCGCGTTGGCGGGCTTGGAAGGAGCTGAGTGACGAGCGCGACGACGAGCGCCCTGGCGACGGCTGACGAGGATCTCGTCGAGAGACTTGTCCAACTTGGTCGACATGATGGATAGAGTGATTTATTGGGAAAATCGAGGTTGTGGTAGTAACAGTTTGCGCGAGGCGTTACGTGTTACAGCTGTTGCGCCACCGAGGATCGCAACACTGGGAGAAAGGCTTGCTTTGGAAAGCGATGTCCAGAGACTGGCAGATGGACTGGACAGTGGGCAGGTAGTAAAAGGTAGTAAAAAAGAGACAAGATGGCAGTTAAGTAAGATGCAGCACACGCGTGGTGGAGGGTGCGATGCGGGATGGAAGTGAAAGATGGAGATGGAAGAGAGAGTGAGAGGGAGAGAGTGAGTCGAGAGATGGAAGCGGAAGGAAGATAAGCAGCGAACTTGGAAGGGGAAAGGGAACGCCAGCACGCTAGCCCCGATCAGGGTGGGGGGCCTGAGGAATCCACCCCAGGCCTCATCCCTCGTCTTCCCGATGCCCAAGCCGAGATGGCAATGGCTAGATATCTACCTCGATACTATGCACGCACTTCAGGACTCAGCCAATATCTACACTCCAGGCCCTGTATATGCATTCATTCTAACTAGTCGTCTCGCCTCATAAGCTCACGGGCATCTGTAGCATCCCGCGGCGCCAAGAATCACTGCTGCCCAAAGACCAAAAGCGATCAGTCAATCAATCCCAGCCCCAACCCAACGATGCACGACAAAAGTATTTACCAGCAGGGATATTGTAGGAAGGAAAACGATCAAATAGGGATGCAAGGCACGATGCAATCAAGCAGGTTCCGGGACCAGAGCCAGCCCCGTAATCCAGGAGATAAATAAGTAACAGCTCAATACGCAGCAAGATTAACGCCCAAACACGCCTCCCCCGCCCAAACACCCTTTACAGCTCAAAAGAAAACATGGCTCGCTCCAACATCATCTTGCACGGCTTCGTGGAAGGACCCCGAGGGTCTGGTTCAATCTCATTTGTGGAATGGATCAGCTCTTCAGGACTTCCAGGCGTCCTCGCATCTGCTCCAGCGTCGCTTCGGGGTCCACGAACTCTTCCTCCGGTTCCGGGGCCTCTTCCAATGGCTTCTCGGGCCGCACCCCTTCGACCTGGGACAGCTTGCCGTGCAAGATCTCCTGCAGGACCTTGTCGACCTCCTCCTCGGCTTCGTCCTCCTCTTCATCGAGCAGCTCGTTACTGGGAATCGCGTCGTCGACCATCTCCTCGATGATGCCGGCCCGCACCAGCTCCGTGGAGAGTTGATGCATGGTGGCCGACAGTTCGGGCATGCGGACCAAGGTATTTACGTCTTTCATGATCCCCGTGGATTTCTTCAGGCTGCCCTGGATCTTGCGGACCGAGAACGCCTCGTTGACCTGCATCTGGACGCTCTGGAGTTGTGCGCGACTGGTGTGTAGACGTGTCGACTGTTTTCGAATCCGCACGAGTTCTCGCGCAAAGGTCTTGGCTTCATTGTTGGCCTGCTTGGCCTGGGATGGGTTGCGTTGGGCTCGCCGGGAGGAGTTCATGATGAACTGCCGCGTCCTGCTCTCGAGGGTCTTGAGTTGTGCGATGTCGCGGTCCAATTGACGGGTATTGGCGCGAATGAGTTGGTTACATTTCCTCATCTGCGGGCAACGGGATCATGGTCAGGGTCGTCTGCGGCTGTCGATGGCTGTGAATGAGCACTCACCTGCGTTTGAGGATCAGGTCCAAAAAAGACCGCCTTGAGGGTCTCCATGCCGGACGAAGGGAAGCGGACACAATGTATATGGGTAGAGTGGGTGTACACGTCGAGTGTGAAGTGTGCAGTCGGCTATCTCGCACGAGGTGGGCGTCGAACGATCGGATGGTCGTTATCAGAGGGACGGTTTGTCCCAGGCAAATCTGGAGACCTTGGCAATGCGGTGGGGTCCGAATCCGGGCAGGCCAGGCTCGTTCCGGGTATACACAGAGTCGTCCAGAGGGGGTGATGGGCGGGCTCAGGCGACCAAAAGTGCAAGTCGCCGGTGGAATAGAGTTATGCGATCGGGGAAAGGGTCTCAAAGGGCATTCAAGAGCGCCGTGCCAGCCGTGGATCGCATGGTGGTCTGGTGGGCGAGGCTGGAAGTTGGAGTGGATGTCCGACCCACTCGGTGGCTGAGTCAGCCCGGCTCAGTGACGTCGCCACACAGTTGGCGGCCTCAGGCAGAAGGAAGCCGCAAACAGGGCAAACGGCGGGCGCGGGAGAGTTCCAGTACTTTCTAGCAGCCGGAGGCCGATCGTCAGCTAAGAGCAACCGGCTGCTGCATCTTCACCACCACTGCCACTGCCACTACGACTACTCCTCTACCACTTCACCTACCACCCTACCATCAACCACTCTTCTCACCTTCACCTTCCTCCCCCGATCTCATCTCTCATCCCAACTCCCCTTTACCCCATACCATCATCCCCCCACCATGTCTCTCCCCCAGGTCCACCCCGAAGGTGCGTTATTCCGCCGTCCCTCATTCCTTCCCCGCTCTGGATTTTCGTGGCTGGGCTCGGCTGAAGCGAGTCACCACGCCCCGTCACCGACCGAATGATCCGTCATTTGCGGCCTCTGGCGTTCTGTTTGGATGCTCGCATGCATCCCTGCTGGCATGAGATACTGACCGGGTCTTTTTTTCCCCACCAGTCACATGGGCTCAGCGCTCCTCGGCTTCTGATGTCGAGCGCAACTACCTCTACGTCAACCTCAAGGCTGCCGATGTACCCAAGTCCGCCGCTACCCTCGACCTCAAGCCCACCAGTGTCACCTTCACCGGCGACTCCAAGAAGGGCGTAAAATATCACGTCGAGCTCGAGCTCTATGGCGAAATTGATCCCGAGAACTCCAAGGTCAACCACAGCGACCGCGAGGTCGAGCTGGTCCTGCGCAAGAAGGAACTGAAGGAGGAGTTCTGGCCCCGTCTGCTGAAGACCACCCAGAAGATCCACTTCCTCAAGACCGACTTCGACAAGGTATGGTGTCTGCCGTCGCGGCGTGTGAGCGGAACGGAAATATGATGCTGACAGGGGTCTAGTGGGTTGACGAGGATGAGCAAGACGAGACGAACGAGGACGACTACGCCAACAACTTCGGCGGATTCGAAGGCATGGGCGGCATGGGCGGCGAAGGCGGCGGTCTCTCCAACATTGACTTCTCCAAGCTCGGCGGTGCTGGTGGTCTGGGTGACCTGGGTGACCTGGCTGGCGGTGCTGGCTTCGGCGGTGCTGCCGAGGGTGAGGAGGAAGATGTTCGTTTCCCTCATTTCCCCAAATTGACCCGCATCGCACCACTAACGACTATTCCAGGATGATGACATGCCCGAGCTCGAGGAGGAGGGCCAGTCCAAGATCCAGGAGGTTTCCTAGATGCGATGCCCCTCTAGCGAGCTAGGCAACGTATTGCCACCGACTGAAGAAAATCATAATGGCGCGCGATGAATACCACAACCACTGAGCTGTATTTGCTCATGTTAACCCCCCTATACTACTATACCGCTGATGGGCAAGGTTTTATGGATTGGAGCTACCTGGCGCACCCAGTGGACAGGTTGGTTGGCCTGCCTTGGAGGCGAAGAAAAACGGAACAGGAACCACCAATTTTCTCTTTATTGGTACGACATGATGAGATAACTGACTAGGCTTTCGATGAATCGGAGTCGTCTTCCTTACTTTTTTTCTTTCTCTTTTTACATGTAGACATAGGCTGTAGTTGATGGCCGCGACCGGCCCGCGTAGAGGGGGAAACCCAAACATCACCAACGATCGAGATCTAGACCCAATCAGCGCAGAATTTGAGCCGTCGCAGCAACAAAAGCATTCATCCCGACAAGCAAACAACAGCCCAACAGCCCATCATATGTACTGTGAATGCCCAGTAACCACCACACACGTAGGGGGGGGGTCAAGGGAGGGCGGCGAGGCCAAACGCACCATCGATTGGCCGACAGGATGATTATGTGAAGTTGTTCCGCCACATTTGGGCCAAACCCACACCTTGAAAATGTGGAGGGACCACAAAACAACACCCTTTCTTCTTTCTCGCACGTTTCTTCTCACGATCCATCTTCCCCCTCTTTTGTTTTAGCCTCGATTGGATTTTAAGACATTAAGAAAGGTGTTCCATCTCATCAGGTGACCGCCCACCTTTGTTGTCGGTGACGTCTTTCACCTTTTCCTACTTTTTTTTCTCCCGTGGTCGGACGGTCCACTTCACAACTTCCCTTCCACATCACACTTCCCACAGCCTGGTTGTCTGTCGGTCGTCTGTCCACTGCGCGAAATAAAAGTTCTTGCTTTTTTTCTTTTTTTTTAGATTCTTGTTGTCTATTTTTTTTTATTTAGAGGAGTGCAGATAAATTATCAACCGCCATCATGCCTCCCAAGAAGGCGGATCAGCCGAAGAAGAAGAAGGCCACTGTCGATGACAAGGTTTGATTTTCCCCCTCCTGGTTGCTCTCTCGCTGTCTTGGCGTGAGGGTCGAAGTAGGAAACAGTATCTATATATTTAAGAAACACAAAGAAGAATATGAATGAGGCTAATGTATGTGTCTCTTCCTCTAGACCTTTGGTATGAAAAACGTACGTGAACGAAATCAAACAAATCACCCACCACCCATCCCTTCCACCTATCTATCTAGCAGTCCTCCCTGCTACACAACCATCCCCCATACTACCTCCATCACCCATTTACCACCGCCCCCGAAAACGACCCCCCAACAAGAGGACCCCCACTAACGCAGCGCAGAAAAAAGGCGGTTCAGCCAAGCGTCAAATCGCGCAACTGAACGCGCAAGCGGCGACGAACCAAACGGCCGAAGCGAAGCGCAAGCAAGCGGAGAAGGACCGACGCGATGCGGAAAAGAAGGCCTCGGAGCAAGCGCGGAAGGAGGCGATGGAGCTGTTCAAGCCGGTGCAGATCCAGAAGGTGCCGTTTGGGGTGGACCCGAAGACGGTGCTGTGCGTGTTCTTCAAGCAGGGGAACTGCGAGAAGGGACGCAAGTGCAAGTTCAGTCACGATCCGAACGTGGAGCGCAAGGCGGCCAAGAAGGATCTGTATACGGATTCGCGAGACGTGAAGGCGGAGGAGGAGGAGGCCAAGAAGAAGGATACCATTGATCAGTGGGATGAGGAGACGCTGCGCAAGGTCATTCTCAGCAAGCATGGTAACCCGCGGACGACGACCGATAAGGTCTGCAAGTACTTCATCGAGGCTGTCGAGAACCAGAAGTATGGTTGGTTCTGGGTCTGTCCGAATGGAGGTGATAAGTGCATGTACAAGCACAGTTTGCCGCCTGGGTACGTTCTATTTTTCTGGTTTGGTTTTTTGGCGTTTTGTCTGCGAGACTGACTCACTGACTGACTGGTTGGGTAGATTCGTCCTGAAAACGAAGGAACAGAAGATGGCAGAGAAAGCTCTCATGGACAAGTCCCCGCTCAACACCCTGACGCTGGAGGACTGGCTGGAGAGCGAACGACACAAGCTCACGGGCAACCTGACGCCCGTCACGCCCGAATCCTTCGCCACGTGGAAGAAGGGCCGTCTAGACAAGAAGGCCGCCGAGGAGCAGGCCCAGAAGGCCAAGGAGGCGACTGGACGAACGCTATTCGAGAGCGGCAACTGGCGCGACGAGGACGAGAGCAGTGAGGAAGAGGATGGGGCCGCGGACGATGACATGTGGAACCTGGAAGCCATGCGCCGGGAGACGGAGAGGATACGAGAGGAGAAGGAGGCCGAGCGCTTCGCCAAGCTCAACGGCGCGCCCGTGCCAGCGTCGAACGACGAGACGATCGCCCAGGAGGGAGAAGGCTGAAGCCGGTGTGACGCTCCCAAGTACGCAGGAAACCTTGGGCGATTGGGTTGCGGACCTCCCACCCCTGGAAACGGTGGACCGGGCCGTCCGTCGTCCGGGGCCCGGGATGTTGATCGTGTTGATGGATTGGTAGATACACTTGGTGTGGGCGACTCGGTTATTTGCTCGCGGATACACCTGACCTGTCGCCTTGTATTGCCGTCTACACCTGGGTTGTTGGGTGGCTCTTGCGGTTCCCGTGAACGGTTGGTCGTGTCGCCTGGGGTTCATCGTGGCGACTGTTCGGTTGCTGGGGGTGTATCGGAACCCCCCTTTGGCATGGATCGGAGGGCACGGAGGGAAGGAGGGCAACGGGGGTTCCATAGTACACAGTACACGAGATTGAGATAGATCCCAGTGTCGGGGATTGGAAGTTGAAGACTGCCTCATGATTTGCTATGCCATATTTGTACGTAAAACAAGTTTGCTTCCAACCACCCTCCGAAATGATCTACCAACCAAACCCTAAGCTATGAATTATACCATCCCCGTCCATCACTGCCCCTGTGCGTCCTGTGCGTCCTGTGCGTCCTGTGCGTCCTGTGCGGCATAGATGGTACGCCTACGCTTAGCCCAGTAGGCCACTGCGAAGTGTAGGTAGACTTGACTTTCGCGTATTGCCTCGTGCACTGGGAGCCGCCAGATATCAGAGCGGGCTAGAATACCATGTCAGTCAACTGGAACCCAATCCGTTTGCCCGCCGAGCCAGCAGACTTACATGGCCTGGATGAGCGGACTTTTTCAGCGCCGAGATATTGAGCGTCCGGTCCCGCGTACTCCATATGTGCAGTTAGCACATGAAACAGCTCTCTGAACATGGCCGAGCATCGTGGGCGGATGATCAAATACCCCGGACGGTTCACGAAGTCAGGACGGTCCAAGGCCGTCAGCGTGTTGACGTTGTTGGTATAGACCGCCGGGCAGAGCGTTACTGTGTCTTGCCACAGGTGCTTCACGTCAATATGCATATTCCGAGTGAGTTGTTTCCAGGACTGCCAGGTATCGGTGAAACTATATTCTAGCCCCGGTTGCCGTCCATCTTCGATACACCAGGTCTTGTGGGTCGTGAAATAATAGCTCATCTGTGCCGGTACCCAGAATATACGACATCTCCACGCCCAGCAGTATTCGCCAACGTCTCCAAAGGCATCCCGGACATTGACCGGAAGCTGGGAGGCTGGGTTCATAATCAACTGGCCTGTTAGATCGTGCAGTGCAGGACGGTCCCACGCAGAAGGCACAAAATAACCATCGCCACAGAGGAGGACAGGGCGCTGTCTTGGGACCAAACCCCGGCAGGCGCCAGGGTAATCCCGATTGCCGTTCAGGTAGTCATCCACGGTGTTGACGTACACTGGGATTCCGGTGGGATCAGCCATGATGCCGGGTGTGCCATTAGGGTAAGAAAGCTCTCACACTTAAGGCGGCGCCAATCGTCCCAGTATCTGGGCTCCGGCATCATCCCTTGAGGCCCATCTCCCAGGCGAATCCCAAAGAAGTCGGCTATCATGTCGGCGACAATGGTGTCACGTAAAGGGTTTGGATGGGAGACTCGTTCAATGGCGTGTTTGAGCGCGCCGACAAGTACTTTCACTTCTTGCACATCCTCATTCAGAGCCTGTCGGTACGGGTCACAGCTCTCTGGATTGGGCCCAGTGGCAACCTCGAAAACCTCATCGATCGGCTCAGCACGCACCCCCAGTCTGGGGCAGATGAGAAGCCCGAGAATGAGAAGACCCCGGCGCATTGTAGTGGGTTGATGGTTTTCTTCCACGGCACGGATGTTGGGCCGACAGGATGATGGGATGATGGGATAAGTCGATGGCAGACGCCTGGGGAAGAACGGCGACCCGGTTGTTTTGATTGTTTTAAAAGCCGGCTTCATGGTTGACGACGAGGCAGGAGCAAACCGTCGGGGTGCCTTCCGCTGTCTGCCCAGGCATGGGGATGTGTGCATCTGCATCATCGATATTGTTAGGGCTCACCCAAGAATGCTGCAGACGAAGCCCTGAAAGATCGACAGTTGGTCTCGGCCATGGCAGACTATCGGCCCGATCGTCCATTCCTCTGGACTTAAATACAGCGACTGCTGCACCCTTCGACACCCTTCTACACCCCACCAATTCTCACCAATTCTCCCTCCGGCATGATAAACCCCATTGCCTTCGCCACGCTCCTGCTGGCCGGCCTGTTTGGCCATTTCCAGCCCGCCACCGCGGTGGGGAGAGCCTGCGACCCCGGATCGCGTCCCTACTCGGCGTGGATGACCGACAGCGTCATTGCCCGACAAGATGCGATCCTCAGCGGCAAAACCGAAGACGACGTCTCCATCGTCTTCAAGATCGGTCTGTTCGAGTCGACGGTCATCCGGCTGAAGGAATACTACGATGCCGACTCCTGCGGGAAGGAAGACTGGCATAGCTATCTGCTCGCGGGCGCGGAGAGTCTCATCCCTCGATTGCTGAACCTGACGGGGGACATCGATGCTCCCATGGACGTCTTTGCCACGGGCGAGGCCATCTATCACCAGTGAGTTCTGATCTAAACACCCACCTCGCGTCGCATCCACCCTGACCAGTCCCCCAGGTACGACCGGGCCCACAACGCAACTTACAAGCAAGTCCTCGATACGCTGTGGCAGGCACTCAACGACAGGCCCAGAAACTCGGAAGGTGCGCGAGATCCCACCGTCCAAACCACACGCTGACACTCTCCAGGTGGATTCTGGTTCTACAAGAACTACCCCAACCTAAGCTATCTCGACGAAAGCTACCCGCTCAGCTCCTTCTCTAGCATCTGGAAAACCTACTTCGAGCCCACCAACACCACCATCGCCGACACCCTGATCAACGACCTCGACCTCCTCAAGAACCACTGCCACCACGACGACACCGGCCTCATCGTCCACGGCTACGACGCCAGCAAATCCGCCTCGTGGGCGAACGCCACCACCGGTGCCAGCCCGTACGTCTGGGACCGCGCCCTGGGATGGTACCACATGGCGCTGGTCGATCTCCTCGAGAACGCCGACAAGAACGCCGTTCTCAGCCAGACGCAGCGGAACGACGTGTACACGAAGTTCTACAACCTCGCGAACACGATCATCAACGACGCGGATAACGCGACCGGCTGCTGGTGGCAGGTCATGGAGCACGGCGGCCAGAAAGGGAACTACATCGAGACGAGCGGATCGTCCATGTTCGTGTACTCGCTTCTCAAGGGCGCCAGACTGGGATATCTGTCTGGCGCGACACCAAAGGGTGTGGGGTATACGGACGCGGCGCACAAGTGCTACAACTATCTGGTTGACCATGTCGTGAGCAAGGAGGAAGACGGGACGTTGGGTCTGGACCAGACGGTGTCGGTTTGCAGTCTGACCACCCCGACTTATGAGGTATATTTCTCCCTTCTCAACATTACATGGTTGCATGTGTGCAAGGATGGTTACTAATAATTGTATAGTACTACACCTCCCAGCCCATCGACTACAACAGCGTCTATGGCACCGCGCCATTCATCCTGGCCAGTTGGGAGCATGAGATGTTCCTCAGTGGGGATTTTCCGTGATGCGATACTCAGCACACATATCATACCTCCAACAACTGCACCATATAGCTGATCCGAAGTAATGAATAGACTTACTTGAGATTGATTTTTTTTTGTGATTGGTGTCTTCGCGTCGAGTGATGGCGGGGCAAGAGCATTGTCCATCTATCTACTTAGTTACTGGATACAATACCCATATGCAAGGGGTGACAACCCTTGATGGCCGTATCAAGGCTAGTAGACAGATAGCTACTCACCGCAAGATACCCAGTTCAATGCGGCTTGTCCGGAGAGGTTCTAGATTTCTCGGTGAGAGTAATGGATAGATGGATTCCTTGGCTGTGGGTGGGTGGTATTCCCTGTTCTACATTCCCTATTCCCTATTCCCTACCCAGCACCAGTATAATCAAACCACGCAACAAAAAACTAAAAGACTCTCCTGTTGTATCATCATCATCGATCTGACACTATCTACTCTATAGTAGTGCAGACAACCGTAGAAAATGATCCCCGGCCACTCTTACTTACATAGGAATGAAGGGACCGTCTTACTTACCACAGCAAAATCACTTATGCTCGAGAGACACATACATAGATAGATACATACATACATACATACAGACATACAGACATACAGACGTATATAACTTACACCTTCCCTTCCCTCTTTCCATAAACCCTTCCGTACTTTTACTTACACCGGGAGAATTTAGAAATCACTGTAGTTACTCTACCCGGATAACTAAGATGTAATAACTACACTACCGTACGCAGAAATACAAAAAGCTGATTGATTGCGATTTCTTGTGTATTTATTCGTTTTTCACATCACTCATCATTGATAGTAGTAGTAGTAGTAGTAGTAGTAGTAGTAGTTGAATTCATTCTCATCGTAAATCCATGGGTGGATGGATGGATGGATGTATGCATGCATGCATACACCAGATCCAACCCCCCACCTCCCCCCCCCACCTCCCCCCCCTCCTCTTCCAAACCTACTCATTCAACCAACTCCACCACAAAGAAACCCACCCACAACCAGCTAACAAACTCTAGCTCTAGTTCTTCAACACCGGCTGAGGAGAAGCCAACACCTTCTCGAACCACGTGTACGAAGGCGCCAGACTATGCGGGTAGCCCATGTGCGGGAGGCCGTGGAAGAACCTGTCATTGTTGGTTAGTATTCTTGAAAAATCGAACCGCGACGTGACGGGAATGTGAATGGTACTAGACTAGGTAGGGGAATACGTACCGGCCTTCCTTGGGACTACCGTGGTTGAAGAGCATGAGGCAGTCTTCGATGGGGGTGACGCCGTCGTCGACGCCCTGTTATCGTGTGTTAGTGGGGGGAATTTACTGTGAGGGAAAGGGGGGGGAGGTGAGCCATACGTTCAGCAGCAAGAGTCTAGTGCTAGGCTGGTCGAGGATGCCTGTCTCCAAAAGCGAGAACTTCTTCTGGCCGTTCTTGCGGAATTCCTCGGGGTCATCGTAGCCGTATTTCTTGGCCCAGGCGGGGGTGAGACTGTTTCTCGTTGTTAGAGGGTGGTGGATGTAGGATGGGATGGATGGATATGTTGGGGGGGGGGGGGGGGGGGGGGGACATGGGATGCAAGCTCACAGGAAAGGATACTCGTGGTCATCGACCTTGCTCAACCACTCAGGGTCCATGAAGTAGTGGCAGCCCGGACCGTGGGCAATTATCCCCGCGAAGCGCTCGCGGTGGGTGTGCGCAGCGCGGATGGCATAGAAGCCACCGGCACTGAGACCCCAGGCGGCGACGCGCGACATGTCGAACTCGGGACGAGTGGCCATGTAGTCCAGCACGGTGGACCACTGACGGTCCGGACCCTCGGGGTCGCTGGGGTCGGCGGGAGAGTCGGCGGTGCCAGGGATCTCGCAGACGACGGTGGCCCAGCCACGGTCGATGATCTCGTGGGTACGCTGGCTGTTGTCGGGACGGTAGCCGTCCAGGCCGGTCATGAGGAGCACGACGGGGACGGGGTTCTCGGCGGAGGCGTTCTCCGGGACACGGACGAACAGCGGGACGTAGGCACCGTCAGTGGGGGACTTGTGGGTGTGTGGGATGATGACTTCCTCGATCTTGGGGGTCCAGAACGAAGCCGCCTTGAGGTACACTTTCTTCTGGCGGTTGAAGGCCAGCTTCTTGATGTCGTCCTTGGTCGGGTCGACGTAGGGGAAGCGGGAGATGCGGTACACCACGGCGGCGCGACGGAGGAGGTCGGACGCCATTTGGGTGTTGTTGGTGCTCAGGGCGGCGGTGGCCTGGTTCTCCAGGGCTTCGGCGATGGGGAAGAACGCCTGGGTGTAGGCGTCCGTGCAGGCATCGTTGATGTTTTCCTTCGGGGATGTTACTTCTTGGGCTCTATGGGGGTGATGTGAATGGATGTGGATATAGACTTACGTCGATAAGCTTCTGGAAGATAGGCCTAAAGTCCTCGATGGAGCCATCGTGGAAGGGATAGATCGATTTTTCGCACTATGGACTATCTTAGAACAGAGCGGCGTCTGGACACCCGGCTAATAACCGAGCAAGGGATGATGGTTTCGGATGGAAAAGCTTACTGCGAATTTCCATTTGGTCTCCCAAAGGGCCTTGATAGAGCCCTTATGGGGGTAGACGGTGTTGAACTTATCACCGAGGATCCAGGGCGCCATGGTGCTTCGGTAGTCTAGTAGGTACGGGTTCGGTGGAATAGAGTGATGGTCTTGTCCGCAGAGGGAGGCCCCCATGGATCCCTTTTAAATGCGATTGATTCCATGCAAGGTAATCCAGGCAAAGCTTGGCCACTTGGGCGAGACATGACTTCGTGTTTTGGGGTTGGTGACACCTTCGCCACGATGCGGTGTGTTAGGGTTCCCGATGCAGGGGGGCTGCCAATCCTGGCCAGCTTGGGAAATACGAGACAGCATGATCTCGGGCAATCCGTCCATCTGAACACCGAACGCCGAGCACTGGGAAAGATTTTTGGTAAGCCCCTCGCCGTGGCTTCCGGCCACCCTGTCTGGCCGTTGTCCACGCTCCCTTGCCTGGTTTGTATCTATATTGAAGGCGTCCGCTACCTGTGAACTCTCGGTCCGGGCGTCTCCCAGCATCTTCTCTAGGCATCCACTTTCAAGCTCGGGCATTATCGTATTCCCTGTCTGAGACGGAGTAAAATGCTGAGAAGACTTGTCCAGCTTGCGACTTCAGACCGGAATCCTCCATCTCGGTTTTAGGCATCCGTGTACGAGCTCGGGCAATATTCTCTCCCCCGCTCGAAACGAAGTACGAGGTTGGCGGCTTAGTATTGATGGCCTGTGCGTCCATGTGGATAAGATGAACAAAGAACCCCGAGCCTCTTGCAAGCTTCAAGTTCGTGGGGTTGGGTTAGAGAAAGGTTTCACCATCGGGGGTAAGGAAGACCTTGGATTTTTCATTCCGTGTTCCTTTCGATCCCATCGTGGCAGCACCCCGGCAATTCAAAACGGGACCTGGTTGTTCACAAGAAGGGCATGATTGACGGAACGGCTTTCGGATTTAACCCGTGCCTTACATTATATCGATTCTAGGCGTGGAAGCGCATTCCAGCTGGATTGACATCAAGCATGCAGAAAGCTGGGACTGCGGATAATTTTCTTTGCCTCTTTCTGATTGCCCCTTCCTCGGAAAGCCCCTTCCTGCAACTGGTTCAATGCTCCTGTAGATCTGTTCGGGCTGATGACTGTACCTAGTGCCCGGTACAAGCTGACTTCAGTCTATGTTGAAAGAACAAGATATGCAACAACTCACAGACATCACTCAAGCGCATCTGCTGATACATCAATGACTTGGTATCCTTGATACAGTGTCTTGGCCCCTTCATAGTCCGGGTAATTGGCACCAGGCATCAGTCCATCGGCGATGAAAACGCGTGCCAGTACTTGAAAAGCTGATTGCTCGGAATTTTGCACATCTCAACCGGGAAGGAATCTGCATCGGCGAGAACCGACTTGGCTGGGTGGAGGTTGGGCTCGTCTGGTCCCCTACCGAGCCTTATCCCTTGAAGCAAGGAAAGATGCATGCTAGCATTCTGGTGTCTTTGATGGAATGATTCTCCGAGCGCATAGCCCAAGTGACGATTCATGTCGGGTCGGCTCATTTGCAGGCTTTGTTTCCGAATATGCGAGATATGTTTGTTTCGATTTGGGCCCGAGGGGCCCGGACTTGTAAAGTTCCCCAATGATATCGCCATCGCCACGATCATCCCTCTTATTGTCTTCCGATTGACTGCCTTTTGTCTCTCAATTGCGCATTCCCTGTCGCCTCCCGGGGATATTTATTCCTCACCCTTTCTCTGACAATTCAATTGACCCGTCATTCTCTGTATGCTTGTGGTGGATGTCAAACTCAGAGCAGCGGAAATGATCCGGACCCTCTTGACGCTCGCCCTGTACGGGTTGGTGCAAGATACGCTGGCAAAAGATGTGTATCTCGATTGGAATATAACGTGGGTCACTGCTGCGCCTGACGGTTATGCGCGCCCGGTGATTGGAATCAATGGCCAATGGCCGTGCCCGCAGATTGATGTCAGTGTTGGCGATAACCTCGTCGTTGACGTTTACAACGCCCTCGGCAACCAGTCCACCGGAATCCACTGGCATGGCCTGCATCAGAATTATAATGGATACATGGACGGTGCTCCAGGGGTTACTCAATGCGAGCTTAGACCCCACCAGCGGATGCGCTATGTTGTTCCGGTGATTATGCCTGCTCGTTTGATTAGTATACAGACAACTTCTGACGCATCGTGGTTATAGATGAATCAAACCGGGACGTATTGGTATCATTCCCACGAAACGGGCCAGTATCCGGACGGCCTGCGAGGCCCGATCGTCGTGCATGACACCGTCCCCCTGCCGTTCGAATACGATGAAGAAATAACACTGACATTAACGGACTGGTACCATGTGCAAATGCCCCAGCTGGTCTCTGAATTTGAAGCGCCGTCCGAATACGCCTCTGTCGGTGGTCAAGAACCCCTTCCTGATGCTGTATTGTTCAACGATGCATTCGGCACCAAGATCAAGGTCAAGCCGAGCACGACGTATCTGATCCACGTTGTGTGTATGGGGAACTGGGCAGGTCACGCACTCATCATTGATGACCACGACATGACAATCGTGGGCGCGGATGGCATTGGCATAGAACCGCACTTCCTCACGCCTCAGTATATCCGAATGACGGTCGGGCAGCGCTTGGATATCCTCCTCACCACGAAGGATGATACTAGCAGAAACTATCCAATCTGGGACGGGCTCGATATCGACGAGATGTTCAAGCAAGAAAATCGGTCCATTCCTGACGGTTACAATCCCAATGGCACAGCGTGGCTCACATATGACGACAGCCTGCCGTTCCCACCAATGCCTGACATCCACATTGGCAACGCAAGTCTGGACTTCCTTGACGATGTGACTTTGCAGCCAAGAGACCGACTGCCTTTGATTGAGCCTGTTGACCTTCAGATCATTCTTGACACGGACGCGACCACTCTGGACGGGAAGCCTGCCTACACCATAAACAACATGACATACAAGACTCCAAATGAGCCCACATTGTACACTGCCATCGCTGCTGATCCCGAAACGGCCATGGATCCCTCAATATATGGCGAGGTCAATCCCTTCGTTGTTAACTATGGCGATGTGGTGGAGATTGTGCTGAACAACCATCATACCAATCTCCACCCCTGGCATCTGCACGGCCACGACTTCCAGATCGTGCAACGGACCTACCCGTACGGTGGGTTCTTCAACGGCTATGGGAATGTCTCCAGCCATCCCATGCGACGAGACACGATCATGGTGGAGCCCAAGGGGCATTTCGTCATCAGATTCCGCGCCATGAACCCAGATAAGTAACCCTCCCAGTCTGCAGCGTTCTTCAACTGACCAATATATACGCATCTGGATGCTCCACTGTCACGTTGAATGGCACGTTGAGGTCCGCCTTATGGCGATTATTATCGAAGCGCCGGATAGACTCCAGAACCTTACAGTCCCAACTGACCACCAAGAAATCTGCGGTGGTGCTCCCAGTCATTGGGCCCCGTTGCCGCCCTTGTATTAGTGAAATCTCGCCAACGTGCATGTGCACCCTGGAAGATCTTGGGAATCCGTGTCACTAGTATTGGAGTGTCAGGCATCAAAGGAGCCATTACCTAGTGCTGATAATCCTGGCCCTGCAAGCAACGATTCCTGTCAATTTGAGTAGCTGGCGGGGCCAAGCACTCATACACGATCACACTGGTAGGGAGAGGGCTGGTAACGAAGGGACTGGTAATGAAGGGAATAGTATCCTGCACATGGTTGGATCTACCTGATCACGATAAAATTAGTTAGTCAAAAGCAATCTCACGACCTATAGATGAAACAAAGTATCTGTTCAAGTAGATAGATGGTGTCCTGCAATGGCGCTGCTGGTTTTGAAGCTCTGTGCTCATATATAATAAGTAGTTGACATGATCATCTTCCAGCGTAAGTAGATTCCCAAATTACGGTATCAGGCGAACTTACAACGAAGCCTTTTCCCTCACCAATCCAATCTTTTTCATCAACCCAAACACATCTTCCGCCACTCCCCAAGACAGCTCGAACCCACGGCCTCCAGCCCCGTAAGCATGAACAAGAGTTCCGGAGCCACGATCTAACTTCTCCGCCTCTAGCCTCATCCCACCTTCTCTCGCAGGTCGACGACCGAGAATATCTCGAATGACGTCAAACTGCTCCTTACTCCCCTCCGCAAAGGGAAACCACTTCGCAGCATTCGCCAGCAGTTGAGCCCGTGTCTCCAACGACGGCTTCGGGTCCCAGTTATGCGGTTGCTTCGTACCCCCGATAATGGTCCCACCATCTAGAGGACGCGGGATACAGAAAGACCATGAGCCATCGATATTCTGTCGAGTGATTGTCAGCGAGCAGGGATTCCGAACGAGACACGTTTGTCCTGCGCAAACCATCGTAAGCATCGACGCACCCAGCCACCCCCAGCCCACAACGACCAGACTCACCTCGAATAATAAACGACTTCTCATCTCCAAACCCCATGCCCGAACAGTTCACCACCGTCTTCACCCCATCCGCCAAATGAAACGCCTCCCTCGGATCCACAAACGTATACTCCCTTACCTCCCCACCCCTCAACACAAACTGTCGGAGCAAATACGCACAATACACCGGCGGGTTAACCACAAACGTCTGATACCTTACCCCCCACTTCACGCCAGGCGGACATTCCCCCTCCGTCAACCGCTCGAAGCCATCAAGGTGGGCATACGCATTCCGGATATTCTCCGGAGCGAGGTACTCCACCGGCGGGTTCTCGAGATATTCGACCCCGGGCACGGATTGCACCCCGCAGCCCTGTTCGTGGGCCGCGAGGTTTTTAAAGTGCGCGTAGGTGCGTTTAGCTTGAGACTCTTCGCGGGTGAATTGCGGGGTTGAGCCTGGGACGGGGCGGTAGTGGGCGCCTGCCCAAGGAGATGCGTAGTTGAGGGAGGTAGTGTGGGGGAATTCGCGGGCTGAAAGTATGAGGGATTGTGATGGGGTAAGGTGCTGTTGGATGTAGAGGGCACAGGAGAGGCCGATGACGCCGGCTCTGAGGGGTTGGATGTTGCGTTAGGGAGGCGATGTTTGGATGGGCTGTGCATGCCTTGGGGGAGTATACGCACCCGATCACGACGATGGTCTCCTTTTCTGCCATTGTGAATGTGGTGGATGTGATCCTATAGCTGGATGGGATGTGTTTGTTTGTTTGTTGGGGTGGGTGGGTTTGACTTTGGGGGAGAGCTGATAAAGCGGAGGGCATCCCCGCATGTTGACGGGCAAGGCTGTCGGGGCCAGAACCGGCGAGTCTCATTTGCTATGTCTTTGTGGTATTCCCCATAGTGTACTTGAGATGGAATTTCCGTAAATTCTACGTGCGCAAAGATGGAGGTTGATGTAAGAGGAAATTGTACGATTCAACTGCTTTAATGAAATCTATGTGTAACCAGACAGGATAGACTGCATCTCAGGCGTGTCAAGAGTATCGTCTATCTGCTAACCAACTCTTCCATACGATCTGCTCCTCCCTCTCAATGTGACCAGGCCCACTGCCTTAATGGATCATGGCGGTCATTTGGGAATCTTCTCATTTTAGCACTGGCCAGCGACCTCACGTGCACACAGGCCACTCCACGGCGCAACCTGGCCTGCCAGATATTGCCGATATCCCAGTAGGCTCTGCATAAACGAGGGCGTAGCCTGCGTGCCGTATGATCGGGCCAACTTCTGTGGACTCGAGACGAACCGGGTCCGTTGACACGCGGTGGTCGGGGTATATCTTCGTAAGACATAATATAATGCGTTGGCTTGGTATCGGGACATTCCTTCCGTTTTTTCCTTTTCTCCTTCGAAAGCGATCAGACGGCTAGGGTATTTAATCCAAAGCGTCGGGCAGCTTCTCGATCGTGAATTTGCCTCTTGCGACCTTCATGATCGGAACACCCGGAATCTTGCGCAGCCGGCGACACAGGTCCTGATCATTGGTTGCCACGATATAGATTCTATGTTTGGTCACCTATCGCAGTGGTTAGCGGGCTGTAACACCGCACGTTGGGATATTTGCGTAACAACATACCCGATCAACGATGCAGTCATCTGCATACGTGCCCTTGTGAGAGCACTTGACCCTAGACCACCGAGGGTCTTTGGCCACCCGCAGGGCGAGGCGGTACTTGTCACCTAACTTTTCCAACTCCGCAATGGTACAGTCCGAGAAGGTCGGGATACATTTCGCGTACAGCCTACACGAAGTCTTAGCATTGGTCCGTATTATCCAGCCCTGTGTCCAACTCACAGATCCATCATCGACGTCAGCATGTCCTGCTTCGCTCGAATGGCGTGGGAGACAAAGTTGGTATCGACGAGCACGTGGTAGGGAGGCCCAAGGGCCGTGTTTGCGGCGAAGAACATGTTGGAAGGGGCTTGGGTGATTTGCCGGGTCAGTTGATCCTCCTTGGGCTGCTCTTTTTTCGTGGTGCTCGGCTTCTTCAACCGCTCGTCGTGGGCCTTGATGGCACGTTTCATCTATTCGTTGCTCATGGTCAGTTTCCATCTTCCATCTAACGCCTGTCTTTGCAACCTGGGAAATTTGCATACCTGCGCAAACTTGCGGGTCTTCTTTTGGACACCCATTTTGAGAATATAGCCTCGGGTGGCTCGAGTAGGTACGACAGGGTAAATGTGTCAGATCAGACGTGGCTATCCGTTGCGATGCAGTGGTCGAACTCGGAAGATTTTGGAGATGACGGAAAATCATATCGCGGGCCGATGTTTCACCGCGATAGCAAAGCCAAGGCCGCTCCGCCGTCATGTGATTTTGGCTACCAGGGCCCAGGTAGCGTCTGGATGCCGGTCGGGTCCCACCGCATATCTACCGCTTCCCAGCCGCCTGTCTCCATGAGCAACTGCCTGTATCTATCCAGGTCTCAACGTGCTACGATCCCAGGATCCCAGGATTGTCCCACCGTGCTCGTGTTGACTCAACGCACCCAGAAGAGTTACAGCGCCCTTCCGCCTTCAATTTCGGCATTCAGTCGAGTCACAACCGCCACAATGCCCTTGTTGGCCGTGCAATTCTGGCCGGACTCTGGGTGAGGGCCATCGTATGATAAGGTTCGTGGAGTTTGTTCGGGCTTTTCAGACCGTCACAGACAGGGCAGAACGTACAACATACTAGTCGAGGGCACATACATTCTTATCACATCCAAAAATAAGCGGAAGGAAGCCCATCACCGTCCGAGCTCCTCCAGCACCCCCGCAATGTCTTACTCTCAGAACCTCTCACTAGTGCGGAAGAACGCCAGTCACAATACTGCTTGTTGGTCACATCACATTGCATCCACAGTCAGGGTATATTCCGTGAAAGGATGATTTGACGTACGTCATCCTGTGGGCTCAGCGTTTAGGTAGCTGGGTTAATCCAACGCTTCTGTATTAAGTATCACAGTACAAGTTGCTGTCTCGGTCACTGTGACAGGTTCGGGCGTGTCGGTCACTCCAGGATGAAATAGCCGAGATTGGGTGCGACAGAGAGGCGCTCCAACGAAGGTACAGAGTGCTACTACTTGTGTGATAGGAATTCTGTGCCCCCGTCTATGAAGCCTCTGGCAACCGGTTTCTATCGCATATCTCCAAATACCCGGCGGTTACACCAAGTTGTGCGGAGGGCGGAATGCGGAATGTGCTGGGTGGTTTTATATACTTCCGAGTCGTTGCTTTTCCCCTTCCCTTGTCTCCCTTTTCCCGAGCCTGGTCACCAGGGAAATATGCTGTAGGTGACAGTCACCGCACCGTAAGCACGCAGAGCACAGACCTAGTAGTGTCTGGTACATACGAGCACTGGGGCTTCTCCCAGGCCTCCCAGTACCATCCGGGAACGATAGTATGCAGCGTACACCGCACCTCACGCGATGTGACTCGAGAGAGCCCAGCGCATTGCTCAAGATTGGCATCCATCCTCGTGGGCTCAACGGTCTGCGATTGGGAAAGAGGAGCGAATTTACGCGCCGGGCAGGTCACTTGAGGGCCACTACAGCGCGGGCACGGGCGGTGATTGGCGGGGTCGAGTGATGAGAGCTGCAGCGTGAAGAAACGCCTTCTGCACTCGCCGGCCAATCAGGCACCCTTCAGGCTCACTGCCCCGGCGGGAAAGGTCCCTGACAGCAGCCGCTCATGGCCGGGCCATGCAGAACTACACCATGTTCCCTTCTCCTCTCTTACCCCCCCCCCCCCCCATCTTCCCTTCTCCCCTCATCCCATTACCAGATTGCCAATGCCTGCCTAGGGTCCCACAATTGGCCACCATCTCTCATCGTTCATTTTAGCCTCAAACTCATTCTCTCCTCGCGGCAACTAGATACTACGCCTCATAGCCCACACTGGCACACCGAACAGCTCTCGTCCGCTGATTAGGTAGCCACCACTATCCCCATCTTGCTAGCTGCTCTAACACGGGCATGGTTGAGCCATTCCGGATTCCCCCACCCCCCTAGTCAGGCGCGGGAGGATCGACTGGCCGTCTGCTTCGCATTTGGGGTTCCATGTCTGTCCCGTGCTGCATGCTTGTTGGTGTGCCAGTGCGAGGGCCACCAACAGGCCCTCATGCCGCTCGACGGGTCCTATCTGCCCTCGTCCGCTAATTGAGTGATCGGACGCCCTGTTCACCACATTTCAATGGCATCCTGGTCCATGGAAGCGCCGTCCACCGACCTTGGCGCTAGCTCCAGCTGCTCGATGGCTGGAGATTTCGATCGACTATCGCCGTTGCCTTCGAGACGTCTCAGATCCCATCCGGTCTGTCTTCAGGCACTCTCGACAGGTGGAGAGGCTGGCGCCATCGCGAGATTAATAACAATCCACAAAGACCAAAGTATGTCCCCAATCTATCCCTGAAGGATGCGTCTGTGTATGTAGATCCGGTCACTCGTGGTAGTGCATTCTTCTCTCCCCTTTCCCTCTGCCTCCCCTCCCCACCTCCGCGCTGAGAATTTTTTTTATCTCTTTCTCCACCCCTCATGCCAGCAACGTGGTAGCCTACCTAGTGCTCTGTCTTCCTGGTCGTTCCACTGCATTTTTCCTTGTCTTTCACTTGCATGCTTGTACGTCTGCGTTCTTGTTCGGTTCCAACTTAGCGCGCTATCATTGTTAACTTCCACTGCCCTTGCTATATCCCCGTCACTTCCCCCCGCTCAGTTATCCCGTTGCCGCTGGTCCTACCGCCGCATCGGTTTATCTGTTGCCTGCCTGCAGAGCGTCGACTTTACTGACCATCTTCATCTCTAAGTCGGATGTCTCTTGAGTTCGCATTGAATTGTGTCTTCTTTCGATAGACATTTGGAGCCGTGACGTGTTGGCCCTACTGGGAAGGACTGCATTCGGTTGATATCGGATTGGCTCTATCCTGGTCATACGTGCCAATGGGAAAGTTCGTCTGAAAGTACACTGTCCTTGTCACACCGCGCCCTTTTTTCCGTTGTCAAGTCGTCACTACAGACTGTGCAGCCATCCTAGAAGAGAATACTGCTTTCTCTGAACCCAGAATTTGACACCCACAGTTGGCGGATAATTTGAGGAGAGGGCAGAGGTGAAAGAGGAAAGCATCCAAAATATCTTGTCCAAGTATTCTTGGGCAGTGCAGTCAAGGATGGTTGAGCTATCATGGAGCAGAAATCCCGTTTCAGATCAACGACCCCCAAAGATGAAACCACTGGTCCCTCCCACGACATTGCAGTCGCAAGCACCCACAGCTCGCTTCGAGCCATGTGCTTCGACTCCGTCATTATTCCTCTATGCCCAGGGATCTTCGATTATATGTCTTCATCACGATACCTTGGCTCTTGAGCGACGATTCGAAAATCATCAAAACGATATAGGATTCATCTACGTGGACAATGTCAGCGAGCGGGGAGCAGGGAGGTTGGTTGTGAGCTATGACGTTGGACAGACGGCAATTGTTTGGGATCTGTTCACAGGAGGCATAATTGCTAGGTTTGCCTCTGTCGAGCAGCTTAAAGTGGCAGCTTGGATGAGAAACGGGAATGTGGTGTTTGGTACATACCAGGTTTTGCTTCCCCCCCTTAAGCTCTACAACTAACACCCCTATAGGCAACGAGAAAGGAGATGTGATCATTTTTGAACCTTCCACCTCGGAGCATACTTCCTGTCGCACCATCTTTGATCCCATCACAGCTTTAGCACCAGCCACAGATTGTCGCACATATGCTATCGGGTACGTATGCTAGACTCGGAATCATATGGCGCCTTGTGGTCTAACAGAGTATCTATAGTTACCAGAACGGCTCCATAGTGCTTGCAACTCTGCATCCGACATGTACCATCCTACACACCATGACAGCTTCCAGAGGGCCATCAGCTATACTGTCATTAGCATGGCACGCATCATCGTCCAAACAGAAGTCTGATATGCTGGCTACCTTGTCAGACAATGGCGATCTGAGGGTCTGGAGTGTAGCAAAGCCTCCTGGCAAGGAAGTCCCCCGTGTGATACGAGTCCTCAAGCGGTCAGATGGTTCTCCGGCCTCCGAGCCCAAGTGGATGGCTTGGTCAAAGAACGGGAGGATTGTACAGTATCTTGAAGGGTAAGTCGAATCCCTTGCCAGCAACTGTTGGGTCTGAAAAGCTGAGCACGGCCGGTTTTAGAGAAACATGGGCCTGGGACGTCAAAACGAAGCACGTCACATACGAGCCGATTCCAACAATAGACAAACCCCGCGGGTTTGCCAGCTACGGCCCAACAGCCACGCTTTTCACACTTGGGCCGCAATATACAGTTCAACAGTACGATGTAGACAGTCCTGCGATGGTCGCAAACGTACAACACGCCCCACACGGGGTTTTGCCAGCTCCTTTAGAGCCATCGAGGCTGCGCACCCTACAGGATCCCCCGGACATGAGGGAGTCAGGCGCTATGTTTAATACCCGGAGAACGCCGTTTGATCTGAATGGGATTGAAGACGTCCGACAACAGCGAGCAGACATAAGCAGTCCTGCTTCCTCGAGGAGCCACGCAAATTCGGTCAGTTCAAAGACGTCCTCGGAAAACTACCAAACGGTGCCATATTCACCACCGAGTCGATCCGGCCACACCGGAACCTCGTTTTCCTTGACTTCGGCATCCGATAGACAAACCCCTCAGCCATCTGGAGCCTCTTTTGCGTATGCATCATCCGTTTCAATGTCGTCTATGAAAAGCTCGCGTGCGGGTTCACGACTCAAGAATGAAGTACAACTCAGTCCCGCAGAAAAGCCGGCTGATCTGTTTCCATTTACGCGCGCACGACTCAACGACGTGCCTTATGGACATCACCCCCCGCTTGATGAGTCTCGCCTTACCCCGGACGATCTGCGCCAGCAAATGCTTAGCCTTGTATTTGGCTTCAATGGGGACATTGAAGAACTGATCAAGGACGAACGTATGTTACCACTGTGCTGAATCTCATTATACTCACTAACTCTGCAACCAGTCAGCAACCATCCCCCATCCAGCCAAAGCGCCATTCTTTTAGCACAATGGCTAGGTGGGTTTGATACAGAGAGCATGTTATCGCTGATCAGCTCAAGCCCGACTTCGATCACCGATTGGATGCTTCTCGCGTTCAGTCACATTGATAGAGGATCTCAAACCAACAAGCTGGGACAAGCTTTTGTTCAGAAGCTATTGGAAGTCGGGGATGTTCATACCGCGGCCACTATGCTGCTAGCATTGGGCGATCGAAACGATGCCATCGAGGTCTATGTTTCCCAGAACTATTATATGGAAGCCATACTAATGACTTGCCTCGTGATGCCTACGGAATGGCGGCGGCAATCATTCCTTGTTCGTCGATGGGGTGAACATGTTGTGTCTCAATCTCAGCAGCAGCTTGCAATCCGCTGTTTTATGTGCACGGGTGTGGAGCCTTCAGAGCCTTGGACATCCCCAGCCGCGCAGCAAGCTACCTCTTTCGCTGAAGTGATCGCAAAAGGATCGCCTCTGACATCGCCCGAGCCCCCCTACCCCAACCCAGCCAATCCTATGGTCCCCAGCTCGCAGCCTATCGGCAATGCCAGACAGCCGGTGAAGACGCCAGCTCTCAAGTTAATCACGTCTTTTGACTCCCAGTCAGGCCATAAGTTCAAGTTTTCCGGTTTGAAATCAGATGATCGAACGCCAACCAATGCTCCTGGGGTTACGCCAATTGCCGAATCAGCTGTGGTTGAATCTGCTATGTCTCCGGGCGGACTGGGGTCATACAAGCTGAACAACATTCAGAGCATAAACAATGCGATGAATGCACGTACAAATACGCCAGGATTCAACAGACGACGGCTCCCATCCATCGGAGAAACGCCGATCGACGTTCACCCTCCTACATTTCCATCTGCCGTCTTTAAACAGCCGTTGGTGGACTATGGATCAACGTCGGAAAATGATGACAGTCAGCCTCCAGATCAGGATGACAATGAAAATGAGGATGAAAGCCTAGGACTGTTGTCATCGGCACGTTATGAACCGGATGAATATAAACCGAGCCCCCAGACTGCAGTTCAGGCCACAGCCGACAAGTTTGCCACCATAAAGGGTCTCCCCTCTCCTGCCGCTGGGGTTTTTGAGGCTCTGAGAGAACGCTCAGACAGTCGAGCTGGAACTAGAGACCGAAGGCCCGATGGTCTACACCTCCACTTGGATCATGGAAACTCTTCCCAGGATGACATACAGGAACAGTCTGACATGATGCTGGCCAACTCTAGAAGCCCAGCATCGACATTGAATAGCTTTAGCTCTGCAAGGAGTCCCAGCGTTAGTGGTCGCAGCATAGACCAATACATCAGTAGTCTGGGCGAGGCGAACTACCACACCAAGAAATATCAACCCCCCCGTTCTCATGGTCGGGCAAGAAGGAACACGGACGACTCGATCAGCCAGGCTTCAACTCGAAGGTACCGCTCCAGAAATGTTTCCAAAGACACTCGTGGACGAAATGAAAATCGACACATACAAGCCGCAAAACGCTCACCGTCTTCGCCCGTTCCAATGTCACCAGAGGATCTGGCTCAAATAAATGCAAATGGTACGGATAAGGCGTCCTCGAGGACACGGAGTGCCAGTAGAGTCCGAAAACCACGCTCTCGGAACTCCTCTGAGCGCCGCCAGAACCGCTCTGCGAGTCGAACCACAGCCAGTCGCGTTGGTGCAGACAGAAACGATCCTATCAGCCGAGGACGCAGCATAGACAGACAGGGGTCAAGTTCTAGGTCTCCTTCGTCTCCATTGCCTGCTACGAATGCCGACAATGCACTCAGGCTTGTCACAAGCGACCGGGAGCGATTGCGAATCCGCCAGCGGAGCAGCAGTCGGCGGCCGGATAAAGGTACAGGATCAAGAACAGATGTATCCTCCGATACAAAGTGGGCAAGTGCACGGTCTCGTAGCCGTCAAGATCCGGAACGACGAGCTGGCACCGAGCAGGAAGCATTCGACCCTATTCCAACTGGCAACTATCACGGGAATGTCTTCTTAGGTGACACCCCGAATGTTGCTAAGACCATAGTGGCAGAAGTATCTGCCCCGGTAACAATCCCGCAGATCAGTCTCGCTGAGCAGAAACGGAAGGAGCTTGCCGCCGCAGAGCTGGAAGCACGTCGCCTTTCACTTGCGCGCAACCCGTCGGCGCCTAATATACCATTTCCTGGAGAGCGACAGCCGACTCGGATGGGCTTTGAAAGCCCGCCATTTTCAGTCAACGCTTTTGCGCCACGTACCCCTGGTCGCAACCGGGTCCCTACAAACAAAGGATCGCCGGAGTATCCCAGTAGCTCTGACTCAAATTCGTCCAAGTCTGGTGTTCCCTTGGGATTGCCCGCGACTCCCAAGTCGAGGAACACGAAGCACAATGGGTACGAAGAGACTACATTAGTTCCTCCGGTGTCTGACAGCAGTGCTCTTCTCAGTGACGCTAGATACCAGGGCGATGCTGAGCGGATTGGCCGCTCAATGTCCGTCCCCGTCCCGGAAAACCATCAGCCTGGTCCCATGCCCACGGATCTCCCAATGCATCCGAGATTCAACCCTCACCTGCCAAGAAGTCGGTCAACCAGTCGAACACGGAGCATGGCGCACCGCCGAGACAGTGGTGGATATAGCTATGGCGGTTCTCCCGTGACCGTGAGCATTGAGGAAACAATTGAAAATGCTATATCCACCCAGCAGGTCGAACACCCTCCCATCTTGCCAGAACTCCAACATCTCAACCCTCCGCCGCCACCACCACCCCCAGCGGCTCCTTTGGCATCGCCCCGCGAGTCTTCGGGGACGATAGACATTGCCATCGACAATGAGGATTTTGGACGACTGCTCCCTCGAGCGATGACCGCAGCTCCTGCGTCCCACATGGACGGCCGACCAGGACTGGAACGCCGCCGCATGTCCTTCGAGCATCGACGAGGGCGCAGCGTGAATGAGAGTCTCAGCACTAGAATCCGTAACTTGACTCGGATGGGTAGCGCAAAGGGCCCTGACAGCTGGGTTTCCCCAGACATTCCGCTCCCATACGAGAGTGTACAGATATTTGAGGGTCGCTTCTAAACCAAGCGAACCGCCCCTAGAAAGGACATCGATGACTTGGCGAACTTCTCGAGGTCCAACCATTACTATGATTAACGATACTTATTTCTTTTCCCTCCTTTATATGCTATTGACACCCCGATTCTTTCTTGTTTTGGTTAGCAAAGGCATATCACGTTTTCCAGATATTTCGATAACTGGAGCTGTATACCCTGACGACATGTTTCTTTCCTTGATAATGACAGCGGACGTGCAAACTTATTTATCTACCCGAGTGATGCACTATAATTGGTATTTCTTTGTCTCCTTCTCTTTCATTCCTTCTTCTTTCCTCGTATGTAAACACCGCCCGCAAGGGCACGAGAAAAGTCGCTCCTTGACCTTGCTCACCCGACGTGCTTGTTTTTTTTATACATCAAGTGCATTTAGTGATTAATTGAGTCGTACTATCTGACACCCCAAATCTGACCTCCAGAGAGCCGTAGTGATCGCAATGCGAAGTCATTATCCATAGAAGACATTAGTGAGATTGGGACCTCATTGTTCCTAATCGAATCTTTACGTAAGGATAGAATGGAGTATGTCCACTTTCAAAAAGAACGAAATGATAACAACGCTAAAAACGATCACTCGATTGAACATGTCACTCTCAACTTTACAAAGTGGGAAGACCACTAGTCGGACGCATTTACCTCCACAAGCCACCGCTCTTTCTGCCGAAACCCTCCGCCGAATCAGAAGTCATATTCCGCTCCGCGTCGACCAACCTGTCAAACTCCGCCTGCTTCTTCTGCTGTTCGGTCAACTGCTCATTGAACGGGGTGGGGTATGAGCCCGGCTGCTGGCGAGCTGCCGAAGGATTGGCATTCTGATTCCTGAGGCGGTCCCAGGCACTTCCCTGAGGTTGCTGCGATTGCCCGAACCGGTAGTCCGACGCGACAGGACTGGCATCGTCGTCGTCCCAGAAGCCCTTTCCTGTGCTCTCACCCTGGCTCGACCAAGTTGTGTTATTGTTGATGTTGTTGGAACCCCCATATGACCGACCCCAAGTATCATTACCACCGCCAGACACAGTATCGGAGACAAAGCCAGATGTCGAGTTGTTTTCCTCCACATAGTCCCCGGAATGGTGAAATTCATTTAACGGGTACTCATCCGCGCCACGCTGGTTCTGCTGTTCTTGCTGCGCAGGGGGATACGGCGGAGGAGAAATTTGTCCCGTCTTGGTGGGCAGCTTTTTCTCAATCTGGTTCCGAATGAGGGTATTATATTCCCTCAGCCTGGGGTCGCTATCAAGACCACGCATTTCCTTCACTTTAGAGATAACACCACCATGAATATACCCAGCGAAATAAAACCACGACAGAGTAACGAACGCCCTCCAGAGGACGTGCGGACCTTGACCGGAATTAAGGAGATTGAACGCTCCCATGCGCAGCTCCGACCAAGGCCGGAACAGGGTCCTTCGCTTATCCATTGGATAACAGACATCCCAGAGCGGGGACTTTCGTCCCCTGTAGAAAAAGTACCCGAGGCCGGCAGTCATGGCGGGAGCTATCGAGAAGCCCGTGCTGTAAGTGCTGTCGCTGACGAGGGTGGTGAGGCCGTTCACTTCGTCTTGGTTGAGGCGTCGTTGTACCGTTATCTCGCATCTGGCAATTGACGCCGCGAGGTGCCATTCGTAGGCGCGCTGCCACTTGGTTTTGCCCCAGAAACCGACGTACATGGTGACAAGGTCCGGTCGGACGATGAGTTCGGGGTTGATTTGGTACTTGGATAATACGTCTTTGGGTACGAGTAAGCCGTATCGCGTGGTTAATTTCCCCCCTCCTCCTTGAGGAGGGTTTTCGGCGGGATCCATGGTGGGTGTGTTGTGGAGGGAGGACAGGGGATTGGAAGAATGGTTATTCGAGGTGAGTGATGTGATGGAATGGGAAGTGATGAAGCTTGAAAGGCGGCGAGTGATTATGACAGGTTGTGCAGACGCTGAGTCAGCTATACTTGGATGCATTTGTTACTGGATTAGGACTAGTCACTCCTGCTACTCCTCCCTCTAATTAACTACTACTACTACTATCTTCCCAACTTCTCCCATCAATCAATCACCCCTCCTAGATCTGCTCGAAAGACAAGTTCCGGATCAGGTAGTACGTGTCTGCCACTCAGTCAGTCTCTGCGTCTAACCTACTCCCACTCCCACCGTTGTAGACTACTGACCCGTTGTTGGACCAGGCGATCCAGACGATCCCTCCATCTGGAGATCAATGATCCTAGCATTCCAGTCAATACAGTCTTCCCCATCATCCCATAGTAGCCCCCAAGCAGCACTCACAAATACAGCGGCTTGCCAATATAATCCTCGCCATATTCCGTGGTGACAAGCTCCCCGTCGAGATAAAACTTGACCGAGATGTTCGACCCATCCTCATCCCGGATCTCGCCTCTCACAGTATGGAACTCATCGGGGGACGGATAATCGACATTCACGGCCTCGACCTCAGACGAAGTCTGTCTCTTATTAGCGTGGACTTTGCTCCCATCTTTACCATGGACACTCTCTCACATTGAACGTATTGAAACTGATATCCCCAGTGCCTAATACACACACCCGTCAGCAACAGCCAACAACAAGCCCCCTTTAGGGAAAGGAAGAGCCACAAACCCTTCCATTCCGCAAGATCGATCTCAGGCGGCCAGGAATCTACTCCCGTCAGCCAAAAGGCAGGCCAGGTGCCCTTCTCCGTGGGAGCCTGGAACTCCGCCTGGATGTCGAATCCCGAGCCTGCTTCTACGGTGAACGTCTGCGCCGCATACACGGTTCCGGAGAGATAGTTGATCGCCACACCGCTGCTGGTGGGCGGCTGACCGGTCACGGGCTTTGCGACCAGTGTCAAGGTGCTGGAGTTGACGGAGATGTATTCGTGGTCGGTGGAGTTGCCGACCATGCGGGCTGCGCCGTTGTGGTCGGAGCCCCACGGGTAGAGGTAGTCGAAGTATTTCTCCAGCGAGGCGTAGGAGTCGAAGCAGGTGGTTGGGATGAGGGTGGTTGTGCCCAGGCCTAGCTGGGCTAGGCTGAGAACGGTGAGGAGATGCATCTTGGATGTCGTGGGAGGTTGAAGATGGGATGAGATGATTCTGGGGGATCGAGTTCCATTATATAGTTCTGGATACACGCTGCTAAACTGGATAACATGACTTCATTGCATAAATCGCATAACGCCTGATTCGGAGCCGAATACTTCCAGGGTGTTCAAGCCTCGCAATCAACCCACGACGTTCCCCTCCCACCCCACCGGAATATGTCTCCAAATGTCGCGATCGACAGTCCAAACGGGTAGGTCCCCTGTCAAGTCCATGCAGATCGCGGAATCCGTCTCAATTCCTCCGTCGTAGCTGCATCCGCCCTAGATATCTACTCGTCGACTGCACGGGTGCTTGGCGCAGGGGACTACCATTTCTCCACATACGGCCGAAGATCCAACTCAAACCCGAAAGTTGTGCGAGGTTGTTCATGCAAATGCCAATACGACTCAGCAATCTACACGCAAGTATTATTAGCCCAGTCACTAGCCCAGCAAAAAAGCACAACACATAAGAAGAATCACTCACAGCCTCAGGATCCAGCTTCGCATCCTCATGCTCAAACTGCCACCCCTTCGTACGGGGGATATCGATCACGCCATCAATAATCACATGAGACACATGGACGCCCTTAGGCCCAAACTCCCGCGCCAACGACTGCGCCAACGCGCGGAGCGCAAACTTGCCAGACGCGAAGCCAGCGAAGTTCGCCGATCCCTTCAGACTCGCCGTCGCACCGGTGAAGATAAGAGTGGGCGGGTTCTGGAGCCCCTTCGCCTGAAGCAACAGAGGCAGAACGCCTTGGGCGAAGTTGAAGGCTCCCTTTCTGTGGCGCGCGATTTAGCTATCTACCGGCTCGCAAGTTGACAGGGGAGCAGGAAGAACTATATATACCCTTGACTCTCGAAGCCCCCCGAGAATTCCTGCTCGGTCAGCTCGAGGAACGGCTTTCGGACAAAGCCTCCCCCGGAGTTGAAGACTGCAGCAGCCAGCGCAGAGCCCGAGTACTGCTCCGCGATCTTCTCGAAAGCGGATTTGACGCCCGGAGTGTCCGACAGGTCCGCGCTGATGCCGGTGGCTTGGCCGCCGGCGGAGTTGATCTCGTCGACGACGGGCTGGAAGTTGGCTGGGTTGCGCGCCAGCACAACAACCGAGTATGCTTTGGCGAAGCGTCTGGCGATGGAGGCGCCCTGGAGGTTGGTTGGTTAGCTTGCGGATGGTTGTACTTGTGTGGTTGGGAAGGGTTGGGAAGGGAGACGTACAGTGCCGGGGCCGACACCGGCGATGATAGCGAAGGGTTTGGAGGCCATTTTGAAATTGTTAGGGATGGATGAATTGGAAGTTCGTTACTGGAAGGGGGGGGGGCGGGGATGAGGGGATTGATATAGCTCCCTCGTGTCTCCTCATGTCGTCATTTGGGTCGGGCTTCTTGTCATGCCGAGATTAGAAATCATTGTTGCTATCAGTCATCCTCATTCGTGTTTGACAAATGGATCCCGGGCGGCCATATCAAGGGGTGGGACCGGTGGGAGTACACCATCTGGACCATGTAGAGTCTGTAAAGAGTGTTGGAGAGTTCGATTGCCTATGTTCCTGCGATAAGCACCACCGCATGAGGCATTAAGGCAGAAGGGCAATAAGGCAACACCGAGGCAGTCAGGATCAGGCATTCAGGCAGCCAGGCCCAGGCCCCCCAGGATAATATCGATAAGATAAGTCGCTCCGAACATTTTTCTCTCCGCGCATCATTTCTCTTTCTCCAACTGTAACTCCAACAACAATGAACCATTCTTAACCTCTACTCCCCTTCTCTTGCCCTCCGACAAAGGTTCAACCATACCTACTCACCAACAAAATGTCCACCCCCGACTCCCCCCTCTCCGACCTCTGCACAATCTGGTAACAATCCCCACCCATCTCCCCGATCGCAATCCAACCGATCGCAAACTCACTCAAAACAAAAACACAGTCACATCCAGCCCCCGAAATACCGCTGCCCACGATGCTCCATCCGCACCTGCTCCCTACCCTGCACGCGCCGCCACAAACTCTGGTCCCAGTGTTCCGGAGTCCGCGACCCAGCCGCCTACCTCCGCCGCAACGAGCTCGCGACCGAAGCCTCCTTCGACAGGGACTTTAACTTCATCACGGGGATCGAACGGTCGATTGAGCGGGCGGGTCGGGACGTCGAGAACCGTGGGATTAAGGTCGGTGAGAATACGGGGTATGTGGAGGATTTGTCGGTTGTGGGGTTGGAGGATGAGGAGGGGTTGGTTGCTCCGGAGCAGCAGGATAGGAAGAGGAAGAGAGGTCCGCCTGGGGCTGGGAATGCAGAGGGTAAAAGGCCTATGATGAAGGGGGAGGCGGCTTTCTTGCGTCGGGCGGAGAGTGCTGGGGCTAAGGTTGTGAGGGCGCCGAAGGGGATGAGTCGGAATAAGATGAATGAGTCGAGGTGGTTGCCTAAGTATGTTCTCTTCTTTCTTCTTTCTGGTTGGGCTGGAATTGGTATACTGATAATTGGATATAGGCAGCAGGCTTTGACTTGGACAGTCGAATGGATTACAGGTGATGGGCAGAAGACGATGAGGACTTGTATGGAGACATCGTCGATTGCGGATTCTTACGACCGGACCTTTCCTTTGCCGAAGGAGGAGAAGAAGCATAACAAGCAGGAGGATGAGAAGTCCGAGCAGAAGACACTAGAGGAGCAACCACAGGAAGGGACCGTCCAAGATCAACCCTCAACGACAGAGATTCCGGCTCCGTCGACAGTGGCTTTACCAGATGGTCAGCCAGAAACGTCAGATGCCAATGCTCAACCACAACAACCAAGTGCGCCGTCAGAGCCCCTCGAGATAACATCCCACCGCGATGTCTACTTCTACCTCCATCGTCCGCGAACAACCACCAAGCATCCCGTCCTGATTCCTCTGTCCCCGGCCATGACCATCACATCAGCTTTGCGTGATCACACCGTTCTAGAATTCCCTACAATCTACACACTATCTGACTCACCTGATGCCATTCTATCTTCGAGGGAAGATCCACGGTACATCCTCGAGGAAGAATACATCCGCACACACCAATCTCCCGAGGAAAGCAGCGAGGATAGCGCCGAAGTACAGGACAATCAACTGCCTCCCGGCGCCATCGATCTGGCAGATGTCGATGAAACCAAGGTGTTGGAGGTCCTAACAAAGGATCTCTTTGAACCTACAACAGCAGCTTGATGAGATTGGAACGCCTGAGTGGCAAGGGTGCCGGGGAAGCGCTGTATATTACCTCTATATACTTACTTTAATTGCATGGTGGCTGGAAACTCGGTCCGGTCTCGTTACGTATCGTGTGGCCTTTCCGATAAAATTCATATTAGTTGAACGGGAAGTCCGCAAGAATATGTAGTATTTGCCATGGTCTCTGGCCCATTAATGCGGACAATTGTGCCGAAAACAAACGCTTGGGGACAGCCATCGTGCCATACCAACTGTCAGCCAGTTCTATACTCCCACAAGCTAAGTTGAAGAATTCCTATCTTCAGTTCCAGCTCAAAACTTACCCCTTGAAACTCATCAGCCGTTGGAGCCTACCCATCGCCAGAATGATGCCTAAACCCCGTCCTCAACGGAGATGTCCTCCCATGACGTACCTTCCATGTCAACCTCTCCCTAAATCTTCTCCATATCAGATACCAATAAATCCTCCGAATTCACCTCCAAGCAGCCCCAATATCCATATCTCTCTCATTCCCTACTACCTATCTATTTACTTAACCTATCTACAAAATGAAGTTCATCTTCCACTCGTTTATCCTCTCCTTCCTATCAACAACAACCACCGCCGCCATATCCCTACCCAACCTCAAAATCAACACCAACACCAGCAAAAACACACTCACGAACCCCCCCTCCACCCTCTGCGACTGCTACATCAACACACCCACCCCCTCCGACCCAGATACCACGATCTTCACACACTACAAACTCTGGGACTTCCGCAACGTGCCCCTGCCCGCCCTATCCATCGAAAGCACGCCAACCAACCCATCCTCCCCATCCTCCCTCCTCGAAACCTACCCCCTCACCAAAACCCCCTTCGACAGCGACTGGCGCGCCCAGAACTGGCAACGAAACGCCACCCCCCTGGGTCCAATTCCCATGATCAACACAGACCGGAACGTCTTCCTCCTGAAAGACGTGACCAGCAGTCCGCAAGACCCCAAGTCGTCATTCCTGGTTCTCCGCACAACACGATTCCCGGACCACGCGTCCACAGCGGAGTTGGACGGCCAGTTTGGGCCCGTGTATCATTGCTCACTGAGGGTGCGGATGCGGATCATGTCCGAGAGGGAGATATTGCGCGCTGCAGGGAAGGTTAGGAAGGATAAGAATACCGTGGACTCCAAGACTAACTCCAACTCCAACTCCAAGACCGGTAACGCCATCAACCCGAACCCCAAAACCCACACCGACATCCCCACCCACATCCTCCCCTCCCCAGACCAAGACCCGGACCAAGACCCCATCCCCCCCGGCACCTGCGCCGGCATATTCACCTACCTCACACCGACCTGTGAATCCGACATCGAGATCCTCACCTCCGAAGACCCGCACACAATCCACTACGCCAACCAACCGGACTACGATCCAGTCTCAGACACCTCGATCCCGGGGTCCAGCACCACCGTGAACCTCTCGACGCCATGGACCTTGTGGACGACGCACCGACTCGACTGGCACGCCGGGTCCTCCGTCTGGTTTGCTGACGGCCAGGTAGTGAGTAATCTCTCGTACTCGGTGCCGGATCAACCGAGTGTGGTGGCTGTGAATCTGTGGAGTGATGGGGGCAATTGGTCGGGGGATATGAAGGTGGGGGAGAGTGTGTTTATGGGGATTGAGTGGATCGAGATGCTTTATAATGTTTCTTCTTCTGGGGCTGGAGGGGGTTTGGGGATGGGGATGGAGAATCTGGGACGGAAGGTTCGTCAGAGGCACTCGGGTGGTGGTGGTGGTAGCGGTAGTGGTCTTTCTGCTGGTTCTGGGCGAGAGGATACGGTTACTGTGGTCAACTGGGAGAGAGCAGTGGAGAGCTCTCGGGGTCAGATGAAGCGGCAGACGAGGATTGCTGGGTGTCAGCAGCCCTGCTGGATTGGCGAGTGGCGCCGTCCGTAAGGGGTGAGTGATGGCGTTAGTGTCGGTGGTGGTGTTGCTTTGTCCTTTCATCATTCGTCCTATACTTCAATCCTAGCTTTAGAGGTTGATTTACAATCTAATTGGCCCTTCTCGTCTCGTAATATCATTGTAGGCTTTAGGTAGTGGGTTCTCATAAGCTGGACCTTCATGAGACCGTGAACAAAAAATGGACTGAGCATTGAGGGACCGGTGAAAGGTTGAACGTTCAGGTATCCTAACTCGAAGCATCGTAGGATACCGCTCCTATAATAACAATCCGGAAGAATGCCACCCAAGGTACAGCAATGACAAATAAAATGAACAGAAACAAATTCCCCCATGCCTCAGAGCAAGAGCTATCCGTCTTGGTTTCGGTTGAACTCGCCCTCCAGGCCCCCGGTCATCAGCTCGGCCACAGCCTTGACTGTTGGCATGAGAAAGCCCCGTGGCCAGACTTGATACAAAGCTGCCATCCACTCGGCCACCATTTTCCGACACAGCAACCTCGCCTCTGTTGCTCTATACTCCACAGCACATGCCACTCCTTCTCCACTTAGAGAAATCCCAGCTCTCCACACAGCCATCTCTTGACTACCAGTATGTAGTATAGAGATCTGGCACCGAGAGTCAAGATGTTCAAGACGCGGTTGAGAAGGATGAACGACTATCAGAGTCCAGTGATGTCGTTTATTGACTGGTACAAACACCGTGTTACCGTTGAGGAGGGTTGGTCCTCCGCTCTCCCTTCGCCCTTTTTGCCCAGCAGGTAATAAACTGTGAGCTGAGTTCGCCACGAAGGCAGGTTTTGATAACCATCATGTAGTATAGTGATCGGGTTCCTAGGGAATCGAAATATTCAATGCATCATTGAGCGGAATGTACGACGGCCAATGTCCAATGATGGTGACGGTGTAAAATTATTGAAAGCTTACTAGAGATTCAGAAAGAAAGCGCCAGCAGAGATCTAACGCAAAAAGGCAACAGAAAAAGAGGAATGAATTCGCCACAAAGACAGGTTTTAATAATCATCATACAATAGAGTGATCTTATTCCGAGGGAATTGAAATGCTCAATGGATCGTTGAGCGGGATGTACCATCATCAACATCCGGTGTTGATGAAGATGGACTGGTATGAAAACCTTCTCCATGTTAAGTACAAAGGCCGTTAAGGCCGATGGCCATAGCCTTGGCCAATATTGGCACCAAATTATCGAAGCTTACTGGAGGTTCAGAAAGAAAGTATCAGCAGAGATCTAAGGCAAAACGGCAACAGGAAAAGGGGAATACGGTTCGTATTCAGGAGCAATGAGACCGTGTCGTACTAATTTGGGTATTGGTTTGATCATCCCATTCCATGAATGCACGGAGTCATCAGGCAGTGTATTGATGATGAAAGAAGACTGGGCGCTGTCAGATATTCGGGAAGAAGTGTACTTGATCCGAGTATGATTCAGGCAGGTGTGGTTTGTCGGAAGGAGAAGGAGAGAAGGAGAGGCCGATGGGGCAGGTGCGGGTGAGAGTTCACTTGCGATCATCTTATGGGTTAGATGCTGCGAGGAGGAGGAGTAGCTCGTGTCTACTGTTGCATGTATCTGGCTTTATCCAAAGAATCTTGATATTTTTGAGAAGCTAAAACCTAAAAGATCAAGTAAAGGGTTCTCCAGAGCTCTCCTCATGCAAACCCAGTCCGACCTTGCCTATTACTCTTCCTGACTGGAGGATCTCGTGGCCTTCCTTGACACCTTGAAGTGTAACCTCAACCCCACCGGCGCCATTGATGATTAGGAGGGCTACCTGCTCGCCCCTTTTATTTCCATTCGTTCGATGAGGGCCGCATATGCGGTGATATATGTCAATGGCATGGCAGCTGACTCAAAAAGTCCATTCTCTTAGGTTAATGACCGAAACTCCTTTTGCCTACTAGTTGGTATTCGGCATTCGATCCCTGTCTTATTGGGCTTCCCGAGTAGAACACCTCGTCTCCGACCTTATAAAACGAGCAATCTGATCCGGCAGCCTCCACGGTTCCTGACGCATCTTATCCAGGGATCTGGAATGGTCTGGGAGCGCGGTCATAGTAGTCTGCGGCAGTGTTAGACATACACAGTCCCACGATCGAGCCTATGCGTTGTTGGCCATACCAGGATAATCATCATGTGTCCCATTTCGTAGTTTGGTATCCACCGGGCCCACAGAAGCGCCCTTTTATCCTGCCCACGGCTTTCTGTAGCTGTTATCTGGACCTAGCGATGTGGAAGACGTACCGAACCAGAAGATCCCGAGATTGAGGATCCGATGGCTTCGGGACTTCCCGACTTTGGAGCCGGTCGACTGGACCGTAGTCCTTTACATCAATTGTCTTCATTTTGGCGTAGAATGATCAATAGAATTGTGCGTCAAAACAGTACTCAGATCAATGGATATGCTACTGTTAAAAGACCCTTGACAGCTGGTTACATCATTGGAACGTCAAGTCAATGAACTATGAAGTGTATCCGTAGTAGGCACTGCCAGTCTCGTTATAGTTTGGACGGAGGGAGGAGGTACTAGAGGGGAATTCAATCGCATCTTGGTCAGGATGTGTCAAACCTAGTATCATTCAGTATCACGCCTACTTAGGAGTCTGGACACCTTTTTAGTCGAGTGGTCTGTTTGGTCTGTCAGGATGTCTTGCATCAGCAATACTGTTGCTCTCCGCCTTTTCCTTCGCGTACCAACGAGAGAAGATTTGAAGACGCACTCCTTGGATTGCTTGGATTGACAAGCTTTACTACACAACACCTGCCCTTCAAATGTCGCACTGGCGGTTTCCGAGCGTACATAGTGTTATTATTGTAGTGTATTTGGCTGCAACAGAACCCGTGTGCGTAAGCCAGGCAAGTAGGATGCGGCCTTTGGGCGTATTTACTGAAACAGGTTTCCCGAGCAGGAACTGGAATAAAAATGATATATCTGAAGATTTGTTATCATGTATAAGTTCAATGTGGGCCTTTCATAGTTAAAAGCCATCCCCACTGCGCAACTGCATTGTCGTCACTGCGGTGCCATTATTAGTGTCAGAGATGCAACTCCGAATCTCCGACATCACACTCTTATCGATGGCAGCTAAGCGGACAGAAAGGCGGTCAGGGCGATTGACCGGCACAATCAACAAAGCCATACCGGATTGGGACGGCGAGGCACCGGCCCGCCTCGAGCAGCCACAACGAAACGAACAATTCAAAGCAATCAACGAACGCGTATGCGAATCGAGGACCATACAAGCAGAATACTACTCTGGATCCGGCATTTCCCCAGATCCGAACCCCCATCCTCTGCTATTTCCGTTCAACTTAACCTTCTTCCACGCATAACCGTCACCATGTCAACGACTCCGAGCGCCAAACCCCGATCGTCCAGCCCAACGGTGTTCGAGCAGCAGCGGGCGGAATTGGTGAGGGAGATAGCAGGGGTAAGTCAATAAGCCAAGCCATGGTCTTCTCGACTCTCCACATGGATGCTGCTATCCTATCGACCATCCTGTCTTCCGTCTTGTCTTTTCTTTCTTTGCGTGTATCTTCGTTTCCATCTCATAAGACGCTCCGGCCAACAAACCCCGCATTTACAGGGCATGGAGCAAGTCCTCCAAAACATCAATCGCCTCAATCGGAACCTAGAAAGCATTATCTCTGTGCGTGATCGACCCCACTCCCTCCCCGGTCCATTCCGACCCTAGATCAGTCGATTTAATTCTAATGGAATGAAGGTGGGGAATGAGTTCGGTTCTGTCGAGGCTTTGTGGTCGCAATTTGAAAACTTCATGGGGCGTCCCGCAGAGGAGAACGAGGCGCAGGACAGGCAAAAGGATGGCCAGCATGATGAAGGCCAAAGTGAGCTTCCAGAGCAGGAGATACGGGATTGAAGGGGGGGTGGAGTTGAGATTATGACTTAAAGGTTATGGTGGGCTTGCTTGGATTGGGGTAATGTGCATATATTATGGGTGTTTCCGTTGCTTTTGTTTTGTTTTTTTTTTTTTTACTGCTTGCATGGAGATTTACCGTGCGCTTGTGGGATATCTTGATACCAAGGGGTCAGTGATAGGTGTGAGTTTTTGTGATAATTTCAGTATTCAAGTACACGGGATTTTCGCTTGCGCCAATAAACACCAATCCCATGCAGTGTAAAAACTGGTCCTCGGACCATATTCGTGACAGACATCAAGCATCAAGAGACAAAGGCAGAAATCGACATGTCAAGGCCAAGGGGGTAATGAGATGGTAAACAGGTCATGGCGATTGAAGGCCAAGCAGGTATAACAGCATGAAAAGAGCAGAACAATCAGAAAACCACCAGCATGTGCAATGGGGGAGAGGAAGAAATGTGAAGCAACACAGGATGAAAAAATGGCAGGGGGGAACAAAATGCCAGTGCTCTCCAAGTTCATATCCACTGGTCAGGTCATGTCACGTACAAGGAGAGTCGGGGGAACCGTCAAAGCAACCAGGCTTTTCATTCGGCAAAACCAGAATGGGGAGGAGAAACAGAAGTGTCAAAAGAAGGGGGCTGAACCAAAAGTAAACATCCAAGGTGTCAAGGCGGCCTACAGGAGCTTGCAGGTACGCTTCTTGACCTTCCTCCCGCCGCCGCCACCACCTCCCCCAACTCGAGGTTTGCTTCCAGTGCTGGGATTTGTCTGACGGTCGTTCCAATCTTGCTCCTCGGCAGAGACAACGGTATCAACTGCGAGGGCGAAAACCCCATCAACACCCCGCATTTCTTTGCTGCTACATTCCACGTATGATGCGTTCATCCTGCGCGCCACCGCCTCGCCTTGTTCGGGTGTCACAGGGGTTAGCCCCTGGGTTTTCAACAGTTCGATACATGTTCTCTTGTTGCGCAGATCTGACTTCAACCCGACAAGGATGAGTGGGGTGGTAGGACAGAAGTGCAGGACCTCGGGATACCACTGTGCTATGGGTTAGCCGTTGTATGTTACCGCGGGGTAAGCCAGCAATACCTTATCCATGACATTCTCTAATGATGCCGGGCAGTCGATAGCAAAGCAGACAAACAAAAGGTCGGTTTCCGGATATGAAAGTGGGCGCAGTCGATCGTATTCTTCCTGGCCAGCAGTATCCCAGAGGGCTAGTTCGACCGTCTTTCCCGAGGCTCGGTGGGTGGTTTGCGTGATGTAGTTTTCGAATACCGTCGGGACGTATTTCTGGGAGAGAGGGTGTGTGTGAGTATCGCCTCAAGAAGGGAGGCCATTCGTGATCACCTACCTCTGGAAAGTAGCCTTGGGAGTAGCTGATCAGAAGGCAGGTCTTCCCACACCCACCGTCACCAACCACCACGAACTTTTTCGAATACGCGGGCGGGTGCGTGATGTTCGTGGCCTCCGACATCCTCCCACTTGAGACACTAGTATTTGTGCTCACGGTTCCGTTGCTGACTCTGACGCTCTGACTGCGCGTCCGACTCTGTCGGGGGGTCATGGATGGAGGGGGGGTAGCAACTGAATGGCGCCGCGAGGGTGCATACACATGCTCGTCGTACATCGTGCCTGACATGATGGCGGAGTAGGAGAATTTTGTGGAATGTGGTATACAGCAATTCCGGAAGGGGGTGGGAATTGTCGGTCAGGGAAATGCAGATGGGTAATAGTTGCTGCTCAGCAGTCCAGTGACTTGTCAAAAGCACGGCGGAGACTTTTTTTCCCCCTTCAATAGGCTAAGTATTCTTTCTTGTTGTCCGGGTAGCGATGTTCGATGTAAGGTTGTGAAGTTGTAAAGTTGTAAAGTTGCTGTACAAAGGATTCGGGGGAGGAGGAGTAGAACTGAGGGGGGAGAGAGACTAGAAGAACAACACGCGAATCCAGCACGAAGAAGTCCAAGGAAGAAAGGGATGTCAGGCTCGCGATAGTGTGTCTCCACGAAGGACCAGCCCCATGGCTGCTCCAACAACGAGGCCGTCGTCGCTGACATGAAACCGCAAGACCGATGTTTACCGGCCGAGGGGCTGCCATGGCAACGCCGCGGGACAATGACGCACGAGCTCCGCCCGTCAACCTCCAGTTCAGCTCGCTCGCGCCTGTCCAAGAAAGACTGAAAGAAAGACTGACTACCTTGGTCTAGTCAAGTCAAATTCGCCTCCGCGCCTGCCAGTCTATTTTATTTTTAGCCGGTGCGCGAGGATTATCGCGATGTCTGTCTGTCCTGCCTTGTTGTTGTCCCTCGTCCCGGACTCCCGACTTCGCTAATCCTGGAATTCCTGGCCGCTGGCCGGGCCAGAACCAGAACCACCAGTTGTACTTTAGTTTGTAGAAAGTAGTAGTACTCCCCTCCTCCCTTGAACCGCTTCCCCCGATCTTCGAATCACATTGCTCCTTTCGTGCCAGGGTTGGGCCTGATGATCGATAACAAAAATGCAATCGGTCTGGACATCGATCAAGGTTTTCCTTCGTCTGACACGATCATCCCTTGCAGGCCCGTGCTAGACACTCTCCGCTAGTATCTACTCCGTGCCTTCCAGACGGTATATATATCTAAGTGTGTGCCACTTGTCTAGCTCTCCTGAAACACCGTGCAGTCTTCACCGGTTCTTTTACCTACATGTCTTCTCCATACCCCGTGACGTAATTCTCCCATTTCCCCCAATATTTCGACCACATTTGTCGTGGTCTTTGCCCCAGGATGGGTCTAGGTTTCGGCCTACGCTCGGGATCTTGATAGGGAGGCTACTAGTAATACCCACTGGCAGGCGGCGGGCAGAATTTTAGAATCACGTGATATGTTTCTTAAGTCCTTAGTCAGTACGGCATGCAAAGTAGTTATCCAAAGTAGCAGGCGGTGGCTTGAGAAGGGTGTGGCTGTGGCGAGGCAGATGTGGCTGTAGCGCCCCCTGTTTTATATCAGACAATATCTTCTCACTGCTGAACCCTACTTCAGGTCGGAGTACCGGAAAGAAATACCTGTCAGCGACGAGCCGAGGGTGATTGACACTGCACAGGCAGATGGCGGGGGGTACTACCTACTGTACTTATGGCTGCAGCAGTAGATACTTTACTGCAGAAGGCAGCACCGGGCTGATGTCACTACTGTATGACCACGTGACAATCCCAATGAGGAAAGGTGGCGGCCAAGCTCCCGCCGTCCTTTCCCCAGAGTGGTTCTTTATCCATTGTTCATCTTCAACGCCGCGGCTTCAACTTCTCCGATTGCGCCGTCCTGCCCTCCTCCTCCCCTCCTTCTCCCCTCGTCCTCCCCTCGTCCTCCCCTGCTCCTGCTTCCTTCCCTCTGCGCGCCCAGAGCCCATCACCCTCCTCCCGCTCTTCCCCATGGAGCTCCAATTCACTGCCACCACTCGGGCGACCTGAGCTCCTCCATCATGGCTGCCTTCCATGGCTGCCACTGAATGTATCTGTCTTGGTCCCTCCTTCCCTTCACGTCCGACACGCGCTATAAAACCGCCCTCATCGCCTGCTTTATCCTTTCCTTCTTCTTCCCTTTCTTCCTCTTCTTCCTCTCCACCACCACTTTGCCCATTTACGAAAGCTCACCAAATTCTCGTTTTCAGCGAATTCTTGCTTTCGTAGCCTACTTTGCTTAGCAGCACTTTCCTAACCCCTGACACTTCTACACGCAAACCCTTGTACCTTTTAACCCTTCAACCCTTCCTCCTACACTTGAACCCTTCCACCCCCCCACCTTCAGAAATGGCTGGTCTTCTTCCCGTCGACATGCACCTCCATCTGGAGGATGCGGAGTTGCGTGAAGTGAGCCCACCACCCACAGGCAGCCCATGCCCAGATGCCCTGGACCCTTTTGACCCTATGGACACTGCGCCTGATTGCCCTCAATTTGAGTCTGACATCAAACAGACGTCTAGCAGCGCCCCGCTTTACGACGGCCAAGAAGAAACCTTTGAGAGAAGCGCGCAATACCAGCTGAGATCGGTGAAGCTCGCCGGCAAGCCTATTGCTCTTCGCGTCGGTGGTCCTGGTCAGGAGAAACAGTACTTGAACTCGAAGGTTCCTTTCAGAACTCCTTGGATCAGACCAGTGCACCATTTCTCCCCAATATCGAATACCGCCAACTTCCTCCTCTCCCCGTCCGCTCGCCCCGCGCACGAGATCTTGACCACTCAGCCAAGAAGAAGTCCTTTTGTCAAGCCGGACTTCCTGTGCAACAACCTAGGCACGGCCAATTTCCGGTCAGCTGGATTGAACCGGTCTTCTCATTCGTGGGCTTTCGCCAGTAACCCCCTACTGGCTTGCCATCAACACACCAATCTCTCAGACGCAGCTGTCCCCCCTTCGATCCCCTGCAAGAGGTCTTTCGGAGAACAACAAGAAGTTCGGGCTCAGCGTACGGAATCTGGCCCGAAATATCGTCGTCTGCGGTTCGGCCCACTTATAGGTGGTGCTAAACCATACGTGAACCCTCAGCCTGAGAAAGTTCCCACCGGCCCGAGTACCGTTGACCCGGCTCCTTTGAAAATATTTCCAGCTCAGCCGAATGTCACGACGGCTTTTGCTGATATTGAGAACCGACCTCCCTCCTGCCACCACGTTCCAACGGGCAACCCGGGAACCGGCTCGACTGGAGTGACTGATGTGACTGATGACCTTATCACTGCGGCTCAAATCCCTGGGGCATGGCCTGATATGGCAGCGCCTGTCCCTATAGAAGGATGGGCTGCATACTGGTCGCGTTGGCATAGTGCCATCCAAACAGTTATGCATGTACCCGTTGGGCTGTCCCAAAATGTCTCCTCTGCAGTCAGACGCGCTGCTGCTGCTGCTGGCACAGCCAAGCGACATGTGCTTGAAGTCTGGGGGACGCGGTACCAATTCCGACGTGATCACAATACTCCACCTTTCGAACTCGAATGTACACCGGCACGTACATCTCCCGCGCATATGGATACTTTCGAACCCAAATGTACACTGGCACGTACATCTCCCGCGCATATGGATACTTTCGAACCCAATTGTACACTGGCAGGTACATTTCCCGCGCATATGGATACTTTCGAACCCAATTGTACACTGGCACGTACATCTCCCGCGCATATGGATACTTTCGAACCCAATTGTACACTGGCACGTACATCTCCCGCGCATATGGATACTTTCGAACCCAATTGTACACTGGCACGTACATCTCCCGCGCATATGGATACTTTCGAACCCAATTGTACACTGGCACGTACATCTCCCGCGCATATGGATACTTTCGAACCCAATTGTACACCGGCACGTACATCTCCCGCGCATATGGATACTTTCGAACCCAATTGTACACTGGCACGTACATCTCCCGCGCATATGGATACGGAACATGAGCAGCCAGCCCGTCAATCCAATGAGAAACGCGACATTTTCCTCGAACTATACTATGAGATGGAAATGAAAGCCGGACGGTTGGGCAGGGAAGGAGACTGTATGAGACGCCACAAAGCTCTTACCCGTGGCGACACACTCTACCCTGGATCACGGCCCTACTATCATCCTCTCCGCCGCCCTCATCGAATCTCCCGCGATTTATCTAACAAAGAGCATGACGCATTCGAGGATCCGTCTTGGCCTCGCCGGGCCATTCGTATGCCCCCAAGCAACCGCGATTGTGACTTCTACCCGCGCGTCCGACCAACTTCTACGCCCAACGAATATGGCCGTTTTGGTTACAGAATCGACCCAGGCATCGATGTCTGCCATGAGAAAGAATTTCATCGCAAACCTCGAAGTATATTGGTGAAGCACGCCCACTCAACGAACAAGACCGTTCGTTTTCGCGAGCCGCTGGTGACAGAGTATGTCACGGACATTCGTGACCTCTGGTATTGGGAGGACGAGACTCCGGAGACCAAGTCTACCTACGAACAAACTGACGATGAGCGTATTGTTGACCCGGGGAGTCAACCCTTCAAATTCCCCCTTGGAACCGCAGTCTCTGCCGTCAATCTGGTCCGCCCCCACCCGCAGCCGATCCCGGAAGGTCGGACCGAATCGATTTATGCTTCCCATTGGAGAAAGATGGAGGCAGAGAAAAAGAAGCGACAGCAGGATGACGAATTCCCTGCGCGCATCACACCCAACGGCCCAGCTGTCCGCCCCCTTTCGTCCGCCTGGGAGGCCCGGGTAGCGGCTTTCAAAAGTGTGCCAGCAAACAAAACCGTCGTGACCACACGCTCTGGTCAACCACTCACGAATAGATCTCTGGCCACCTGCTATACTCCCAAGGAGTGGCTTAACGACGAAATCATCAACGAGTACCTGGACATGATCATCGACTATCTCCGGCGGACGAACAATAACGATGGACGGCACGACACGCCCCGTTTCCACGCCTTTAATTCTTTTTTTTTCACGCAACTACAAGACAATGGATATGCACGGGTGGCGCGATGGGCAAAAAAAGCGAAGATCGGAGGACCAGACCTCCTCAAAGTCGACAAGGTCTTCATTCCCATCAACCGTCATCATCACTGGACCTTGGCTGTGGTGCATCCCGCCGAGCGGGCCATTGAGCATTTCGACTCTCTCGGAACGAGGTCCCTTTACTATATGATGATTCTAAAAGTCTGGCTTCGCGCGGAACTCGGCTCCCAATATGTTGAGAGCGAATGGCGGCTCCTTCCGTCTCTGTCGCCGCAGCAGGACAATGGATCTGACTGCGGTGTTTTTCTTTTGACCACAGCGAAAGCCGTAGCTGTCGGTATTGAGCCGATGGCATATCGAGCACGCGATGCGATACTGCTACGTCGCAAGATAGTAGCTGAGTTAGTAGCCGGTGGCCTGGAAGATGAGCTTTTCCCCAGCAAAGATGGACAGCTTTTGCTGTGAAGCATGGGGTGATTTGTTCCACTTTTTTCTTTTCTTCTTTTCTTCTTTTATTTTTTTTTTTTTGATTGTTGTACCTGGAGCGACATTCTTCCTGATTATTGGTATAGGAGCGGCATTCTTCCTAATTATTGGTATAGGAGCGGTATTCTTATTGTATTTTTAAAGCAGAAGCACAAATACAAGAGCCATTTTTAGACAATATCTGAACCAGTGTGCGAAGCGGACAGCCAGAGTTTGACATTGCCATTCACGACAAGGATGATCCAGGCCTCCCTCTTGTTTTTAACCCGGCCGGTTTCAACGAAGGTAGGACAACCCCCTGTGTCTGGGCCAGTCCGATATATTAGCTATTAACAGACTCCTACCGAAGGCGGGGACCCAGCTGCGTTGCGAACAGATTTGCAGTCTTTAAAAGACATCAGAACCGTTTACATCGTCCGTGCCGACCAAGCCCCCAGTAGGCTGCTCGATCTAGGAATCATACCACGCGTACATATCCAGGCTAACGGATACTTGTTCTGCACCACCAACAGAAAGGCGACCATACATCCACCCCTTCTCGTCTTTGCGGGAAACCAGATCGTGACAACCACTTTCACTGAGCTTCGTGAACGCGACGCTCCAGTCCACGTCTCCATTACCCCCTCCCCCGCGCGCGCCTCATATAGTAAGTTGGATACCGGACTGATCGGGGAAATGTGGATTGTTGGTGTTCCTTACGCGGTCATTCGCGTATTGATGTACATAGATAGTACTGTACACAGAGAGTGGGAAGGGATGGAACAGGAGGCAGATCGTGCTGTATCATGGTACGGAGTACATAGCACAGTACAACAATTCATCGCTCAAAGTATACAGTAGCACCTGAGAGAAGTCCGCCTAGCAAGGACATACCTATACTCGACTGTCATGGTGGAATGATGACAGGTGGATAGACTAGTTACTACTTTGTATCTAAACGGACCCACACCCATACATAAATAACATCATTACTATAGTATCTAGATACCGTCGATGGATGCCTGGTGACCTCCAGGCAGCAACCACCATCTCATCCATAATAGTACATACTGACGTACTCCACGTACCCCTCGATGACTCCCACATCCCAACCCATCACATGACTCGAAAGTGGATGTATGCCCAAGCACTTACATACATGTTAGACAGAAGTCGAGTGTAGAGTATAAGAATACTCCATTACGCCACCACTTGCGTAATCACTCAAAGCAAGAAAGAAAGACAAAGAAATTCAGCCAATTAGGATGATTAGCGGGCGGGTAAGATCTAAGTACTGCGATACAAGCAAAGCTACAAGAATAGACTAAAGGGGGAACTAAGCGGTATGTACTTAATTTGTTTAATTGGATAGGTAGATACTTAACTGCTAACCTAACTGGATCCTATCTAGTGTAAGTAAGGTAAGTCGGTCGGTCGATTGGTTTATCTAGGAGCGATGATGTCAGAATTTGGGGTTTTTTTTTTTTTTATTTTTTTTTTTTATTTTTTTGCTTTCCTGACTCATGGTCGTTCAGGCACCCAAGAAAGAAAAAATCGGATTGTGAAAATAGATGAGATCGGTTCTGTAATAATGACTCATTGGGTATCAAAGGAATACTGAGACTGACTAGCCCGTTGGTTATTTGTTGGCGCGAGGTATTCTGCTTTTAATTTCAAGAAGAGAAGAAAAGGAAAGGAAAGGAAAGGAAAAAAGAGGTGAAAAGAAGAAGAGGGGAGGAAGAGGGGAAGAAAAGAAGAATTAGAAGAAGAATGGTGAAAGAAATTTCGCTAATAATTCAAGCCACATGGGCAGAGCAGAGTTCATCGTATCCCCGATAATTCAAATTGATTCTGCCTACTCCATCGCTAAGGCTAATAGTAATAGCCCAACTAAATCGAAATCGAACTGAGCTGAAGGTATTTATCCCGTGTCTAAGCAAACTCCCGAGTAGCATGTCTTCGTGGTATGTCGTCTTGTCTTGTATTGTCTTGAGGTCTTTGTTTTGTTTTCGTATATATCGTAGTGGGTTGTGAGTGAGTGAATGGATTCGTGACGGTCGCCGGGACCTTGTCTTCGTCATGGTGGATAGTGCAGGGGAGGGGAGGAGAGGAGCAAGGAGGGAAGGCTGGTATCACGTGGAGCCCCGCCTCACCGCTGGAACGAGCATGGTGCTCAGTCGTTTCCAACGGGGTGATGTGGGGTTTTCGCGATCTAGACTGGGCTTCGAGGAGGACTGGGTGGAGGAGCGCGGGCGGGTGACGAAGGCTTCATGGTCGGCCAGGACATCTTCTAGACGGACGTCGCATTCTGAAATGCGTGGGTGAGTGTCGTTGGGGTCAAGGATTTCGATGAATTTGGAAGGCATGTCGCGCATATTGTATGTGGACGATTGTGGACGGTGTGTTGGGAGTGGTGGTTGAGACTCTTGCGCTGGTCGCTGATCCGTGTGGGGTGGATTTCTGACGGTTCTGATTCGCGCTCTTCGATGCTTTGGACGGAGTTGACGATCAGGTCGCGAGGGGGACAGAGAGCTCTATTTAACCCAAATGGAGCCTGGTGTGGGAAAGGATGAACGGCCGGGGTCGGAACGGAGAAGAGATGGGCTTTGAGGGGAAGAGTCCGAATAATAACCGCTGGCGGAGATGATTTCCGCACGGACGGAGAATGGATGGGGACGGGAGATGAGCAGAGGGGTAGGTGACTGGGATGAAGAAGACAAAGGATGAGAAGAACAACGAGAGTGAAGATGAAAAGGCCCAGACGGTGCAGTAGTGGAACCTGCCGATTCGTTGGTTGCAGTTTCAAGTATGCGCCGGGCAGGGATGTCAAGGGTTTATGCGTCAGGACGGATTGATCGAGCCCACAGTGTCGAGTTTGAAAGAAAAAAAACTTCGCTGAGAGAGAATCTCAGGCGCCGCCGAGGCCCAGGGAATGGGCGTCCTATTAATATTCAAAGGAATTCTGGTCGGTTCCTTATGATGCGACCCGCCAGTCAATGTGCCGCAAGTTCCGCATCACAGCCAAAAGAAAAACGCCCAACTATTTGCCAGAACATGCGGGGGTTGGGAAGGGATCAACTGCAGGCCTGGTATGGTGGCGCGCCAGCCAGAGTACGGGTGAGCAAGGGCAGAGCGCCCATATCCGCTTGTGCCCGGGGCGAGCATGTCGTGATGGGTTGTCGGACCCTCTGATTGACGGGGCTGGCGGGGACAAAACCGCAGGAGGGAGGGAGGAGTCCCGACGATGGTTCGTCCGTCGTACCGAAGGGTGTGAGTGTGATGCCGGCGCTGATGAAGCGGATGAAGCGGTGGATGCGTGGCGCTGGTCCTCAGGATCTCGTCCGATCACTACACAATATCCCCCTCGATATTAGCTCGCCCGTTAGTCGGGAAACGCTGCCCTTCCTTCTTATCCCTCATTCAGTAAGATGCGATATCGACTCCACTGACCTTCGGACCCTCCCGTCCGTCCCGACCAGCGTTGGATGGAGGGGGTATGACGTCGAGCGCAATAAGGCGATCCATGGGTCGTGGTGTTTTATTTCCCCCCCATAGCGCACCGTTGCCGTCCGACCTGGTGCCTGCTGGCCCCGTACTGCGTACATACATAGTGGTAGTACTCCGTACTCGTCAGTCTTGTGGTACGTGAGAGTGCAGTGGAGGCTGTTCGAGTCATCCGGGGCGAGCTGATGTGTCGGGGCTCCATCAATCTCAGGGTCTGTCCACACAGCTTGCGGCAGACGAGGGCCGATCGGCTCATCGATGGGGACTTGCCTCGGGATACCTCCAGGAGCAACGAAAATGCTTTCCTTAATAACAAGAATCCCTACTATTTTGTACTGCGCATGCCATCGATCAGCACAGTTAAAAATAGACGATCAACGGGGCTTGCTGGGTGGAATGTGCTGTCTGGTCGGGATTAATTGTGACAGACCGAAGAGGATCGAAAATTCGACCGAAACGAAACGAACGTACAGAAAGTCGGTCACGGTCACGGTCACGGGTGCCCGCAAATCACCCGCCCGCCCGTGACGTCATGTCTTCTTGCCTCTTTCTTTCCATCCTCGCTGGTATCTCGTTGGCCTCCCCAGTCGGCAGGCAATGTCGCTCGACACAGTACAGACGATACAAAGAAATGCCCACCGGTAGCACAAAGCCACCACCGTGGTGTCGCCACATTTGTTGGGTGAAATCCTACAATGGTTTCCAGAACCGAAATTGCGGGCTTGGAGGACGCAAATGAGGCCAAATCCTTGACGACGATGATGAAATATCAGAGTGAACAGACATCTGGATGGCGACCTACAGGAAGGGCCTGGAACGAAAAACAGAGGCACGCAGCCATGACAATTGAAGGATCGCATACCTGGTCCTACAATTCCTGAGAACGGAAAAGAGAACACGGAGGAGCCTGAACTCTGGCAGACAGACTGTCTGGTGAGAAACCGACGTGCAAGGGCGGTCAGTATAGGAAACAAGTGGTGTCTTAGCGGGAGCAGAGCGCCACGTGTTAATGGTATGCCACCAAGTATGCTGTATCATTTTTTTAAGGTAGACTTACGTTCTCTGTTAGCATGTCAAGAAAGTAGATGTGAATACGTACGAGACATACCTGACGGGCTCCAAGCATACCTCCCCTACAACCCTGTCGTCGGACCCGAGGGCTGTGCCGACTGTCAAGAAGCGACGTGGTCAAGAACTTGGATTGTTGGAGGTCCAGAACGATGTGTTTACTGCCTAACCCCCTGTGCTGGTGTCAGAAAACGTCAGCATTAACATATCCGAGAATGTGCAGATGAAACCCGGTAGTCTGATCCGCAAAGCCCTCCGTACAGGAACGACGCGATCGCGGAGGCCGACACCGAGTTTGGAGAAACTCTGTCCTTTTACAGCAGCGCCAGCTCGAACGGTCTCATAACCTCCAATGGTGGCAAGAATTGGTACCCCGATGCTATGAGGATCGCAAAGAACTGTTTCGGAGACATTGTGCAGGCGTGATATAGGAGATCTACTTGATTATGCCACTCACGGTGGGAGAAAGATCACGTGGCGGAGGGAGGGTTTGGAATATGGGTGTGAGATTTTTATCTCGTCGACGGTATTCCCATGTCATTCTGTGGTCACACGAGGGATGCTATTCTCTTTGGGGTTATTTGAAGATTAGTTTGGGCTTTCGGAGTAGTGAAGGAGCATATCCTTGGATGATTTTAGTACTTTCGAGCAAATCGTGAGCCAAACCGCCAAGTTCTCAAGTTATCCATATAAATAAGATATTCCAACGAACTGTTTCAAAAGTTTCAACTCCTAAGTAGCAAACTAAATCTCCGAATCAAGTTAAGGAACGGTTACAGTGGATGATGAAAATGAGACACTAATGTTGATCCATTCCTACGGCGATTTCCATATACAAAAGGACAAGTAACAAACACATGCACAACCGAGACACACAACCTAAGCATGAAGGTAAGCTCGTCTTGGCTTCGCCAATATGCGGCTACTGGACTCCAACACCACGATGAGGTGCGAGCTCGTCATTGGAGGAGGGATAGGAGGGAGGCTATCCGAGAGCTGAGGGAGGGTATCCCAGAGCATAGGTAGGTGCGGAGTTATAGAAGAGGATAGGATGAGAGGCTATCCCAGAGAAGAGGAGGGAGGAAGAAGAGGGGGCAGTGGGCAGTGGCAGGGAGAGGGCAGTGGCAGGGAAGGGCAGTGACAGGGGAGGAGAAGGCAGTGGGCAGTGGCAGGGGCAGGGAAAGGCAGTGGCAGGCAGGG